GGGAAAAGTTAAGGGGGAGTGCACAACAGACCAATTAGCAGCGATGATCTCGTTAGCAATTCTCCTCCATCACTTCCCAGGGCAAGGCAGCTGTAAGACAATAGCTTTGTTTATGACAAATTTAATTGGACAGTTCAAAGGGAAGCTGATGAGCTTCTCGTAATTGCTCGGATGCCATGGGAACTTGGAGGGTGAGAAGGGTTTTTTGTGTGTCTGTGTGTTGAAAGCCACATGAAATGTTGTTTGAAAAGCTCTGAAATTATTTAATGGTGCTGTTCTGTTGCAGTCTTAACCTCTGGCGGTATTTACTGGTTGGAACCAAACGACTGAGTGCAGCAAGGGACACTCTTTGTGGTATGGGAATAGAAGGGCAGTACGGTATTTCACTAAATCACTGCATGAGCAGAATGACTTCCACATCTGCAGTGGGACTTCTGCCCCATCTCCTTCCAATGCATCTCCCCCTAATTTGCTCCAGAGTTGGGGGGAAACCCAGAATAGATTTAGGGGCAGAGGGGGAAAGGGGTGGAAATAGTCCTGTTGCACAAGCCCCATTGCACAAGTCCTTCGGCTCGGTACCTAGTGCTACTTAGCACTACCTTTAATACTGACCCATCTCTTTCTGCCCTGCCAACAGTGTGAGAACACCTGCTAAGTCTGAGCTCCAGCTCAGACACTATTTTAAGCTAGACTTAAGTTACATAAGTCTTTGTAACCAATTTACCATATTAAGCCTGCCTGAACAAAGCTGCTGTATCTGTTGCTCTTCAACAAGTATTCTGAGTGAGTATACAGTGGTACCTTGGTTTTCAAACGTCTCTGTTTTTGAACATTTCGGTTTTCGGATGCCGTAAACCCGGAACTAAATGCTTTGGTTTTCGAACTTGCCTCAGAAGTCGAACATGCCATGTGGCTTCCATACTGAGTTTTCTGTATTGAGTTTTCCATATTGAGCAGGGGTCAGCAAAGTAAGGCCTGCGGGCCGGATCAGACCCAATTGCCTTCAGGATCCGGCTTGCGAACTGTCTGTGGATTGGTGTGGGGATTCTGTTTGTTTGGGCTGCGCCATTCCATCCCCCCCACACACCGTGACAGCGCCTCCTCCCTCCCTCCATTGGCGGAGGAAGAGGGGGTCAGGGGGAGCACATCACCCCCAGCACCACAATCCTGGTGGGGTGCCACGCTGGGATGCGCACCAGCCATGCCCCCGCCTGCTCTCTGCCCTCGGTGCTGGAGCATGAAGCTCCACTACTGCCTCCCCCCTCCTGGCTTCTCCCCGCCCTGCCTAGAGAAGGAAGAGGACTGGGCTGAACTGGCTGGGTGCCATTTTAAGCAGCCCCTCTCCAGAGACAGCCCTTTCATGCTGTTCATCTCCCCTCCGCCGCTGCCACCCTGGTGTTCCTGTGGGCCAGATAGCAGAGCGGACAAGCTTCCTCTGCCTACCCATGAGAAGCAGCAGCAACAATGGCGGTGGTGGTGGCGGTGGCGGCTGCCTCAGGGAAGGTAAGCGCAGCGGCTGGGGTTGGGGCTGGGGGTGTGTGGAGGAGGACTTCTTGCCCTCCTTGCCTCTTCTTCCAGCTCCCCCCCCCCGGTGCCGCTTTCCCGGCCCACCACAAGGTCTGAGGGACAGTGGACCGGCCTGCGGCTAAAATTTTTTGACGCCCCCTGGTATTGAGGCTTCCTTACAGAGTTTTCAGTTTTCAAACGTTTCAGAACTCGAACGGATTACGTTTGAAAGCCGAGGTACCACTGTATGTTATTTTTACCTTTTACAAGACTCTTTGTGGGATTATTGTTTTAAGGGGGAGAAAAGGGAGAGATACCAGGAGAATCCAGTCTGCCTTAAAGCACCCTGGATTACTTCAACGAAAAGGCTAACACTAGCCTATCTAAGCTTCCCTTTAAGTTGCAAAGGGATGACACTCTGCTGGACTCATAAACGTGAGGAAGGAAGGATAATATCTTAATAAATATATCCTCTCCTAGCATCTATTCAGGGACGCGGGTGGCGCTGTAGGTTAAACCACAGAGCCTAGGACTTGCCGATCAGAAGGTTGGCGGTTCGAATCCCCGCGACGGGGTGAGCTCCTGTTGCTGGGTCCCTGCTCCTGCCAACCTAGCAGTTCAAAAGCACGTCAAAGTGCAAGTAGATAAATAGGTACCGCTCCAGCGGGAAGGTAAACAGCGTTTCCGTGCGCTGCTCTGGTTCGCCAGAAGCGGCTTAGTCATGCTGGCCACATGACCCAGAAGCTGTACGCCGGCTCCCTCAGCCAATAATGCCAGATGAGCACCGCAACCCCAGAGTCGGCCACGACTGGACCTAATGGTCAGGGGTCCCTTTACCTTTACTAGCATCTATTCACATCTCACATCTGGACCTTGTGCCTGAGATTCCCAACTGCTGGTTCTATCACTTTGCCACACTGACTATGATGAAAAGCCCCACCTATCTATTTCTCAGCTTCCCATGCAGGAAAGGACAACTGTGTTTTTTTAAAGCTTGGGGTGGGGGGAGCGGGGAAGAAACCCAGAAGCGAGATAAGAACACTGCTTTTGACTGAAGAGCAGCGATTCACATGGAATCCCTCCAGCAGTGAGGTTTCAAAACAAAATGTTCCTGTGTGTGTGAGAGAGGGAGCTGGTGGCAATGGGAACCAGGCATGCAAAATAAGGGAAAGTCTTGTTTTCAAAGCTCCAGCGGTTTGGGATGTGTTTATTTCCTCTCGTCACTGTAGGACTCTTCGCCGCTGTAAAAAGAAAGAGCTCCTCGTGTCTGGACTTCTCAACGTTGCTGCTGTTTTCAAAAGCAGACCCCCAAGCACTTAACGCTGCCTGTCCTTGCCATGCCTTAATTTGAACTCTCATTTTTCTCTAATGCCAAGGTCTCAGCCTTGACATATTAGAAATCATGAGGCAGTCTCTGAGCTGGCACAGATATTCTGGTAACCTGTTATTCAGCAGCACTGTGAGCTGGTCTTACCACAAGGCAGAGCGAGATGCTTGCTTCCAGGGGCTGATTTTGTGTCTATTGTGATAGGGCATGGGTAGGCAAACTAAGGCCCAGGGGCCGGATGCGGCCCAATCACCTTCTAAATCCGGCCCACGGATGGTCCAGGAATCAGTGTGTTTTTACATGAGTAGAATGTGTCCTTTTATTTAAAATGCATCTCTGGGTAATAGTAATGATGATGATGATGATAATAATACCTTTATTGTCAATGTACAGAGGGCCTTCTCGGTAGTGGCGTCCGCCCTGTGGAACGCCCTCCCATCAGATGTCAAAGAGATAAACAACTACCTGACATTCAGAAGACATCTTAAGGCAGCCCTGTTCAGGGAAGTTTTTAATGTATGACATATTAGTGTATTTTTGGTCTTTGTGGAAGCTGCCCAGAGTGGCTGGGGAAACCCAGCCAGATGGGCGGGGTACAAATAAGAAATTATTATTATTATTATTATTATTATTATTATTATTATTATTATACAACCTGTGTACAATGAAATTAACAATTAATTACAATGAAATTATTTGTGGGGCATAGGAATTCTTTCATTCCCCCCCCCAATATAGTCTGGTCCCCCACAAGGTCTGAGGGACAGTGGACCCTGCCCCCTGCTGAAAAAGTTTGCTGACCCCTGTGATAGAGCACCCAACGGTTAGCTATTTAACCTGAGTATTACTGTTGTATTTTATTTTTTTACTCCCCAAGAAAGAGGTGCTTGTGGGGCTTTCTGAATCAGGTGCCAATATAACACAAATAGCCGTGGGTGCTGTGCATCTTCACTGGGGGTGCCGAGTGGGAAAGGTGCAGAAAGGGGCAAGCAAAATTGTTGGGGAGGGAGAGGGGTAAAAGCACTTTCCGTAGGAGAAAAGGTTGCAACATTTCAGGGAAGGGCCATACACGACAGAGCACCTGCTTGGCTCTTGGTATGGCTCCTTGTCTGAAACCCCATAGAGCTGCTGCCAGTCAGAGTAGACAGTACAGAGTTAGATGGATAGGAGAAAAAACTCTGTTGTAACTCAGAATCATGAGGCAGAATGGTGGGAGATTCAGGACAGGCAAAAGGAAAGACATTTAAAATTGTATACTCCGTGGTAGCAGAGAGCTCTCTTTGTCACTCTGCAAGGCACCAGGCATTCAAGGGCACTCCAGGCCATTCAAGGGTGGCTCAGCTCAATGGCAGAGTTTTTGCTGTGCATGGAGAAGGTCCCAGGTTAAATCTCCAGAGACTTCTGGAGAGACATCTGCCTGAAACCCTGGAGGGCTGCTACCAGTCAGTGCAGACAATACTGAGTTAAATGGGGCAATGGTCAGACTCAACATAAGGCAGCTTCCTATGTAGTGTATTCTTTGTTTGCTTTGGGGAAGCTGAGGGCAGTGGCATAGGGAAGCAGGGACGAATCGCCACCCCTTGTTTAATCTACTTCATCGCTATTTGCCAATCCTTTGCATGCCAAATAAGTGAGCTTTTCACAAAGAGAAACCTACCCAATAAGCAAAGCAGAAGAAGGGGAGGTTGCATTATTTACATGCACGGCTAAAGGTTAAAACTGCCCCTTTTGTTTTTCAGAACTACCAGAAAATCAAAACACCACAAAGTAGTGAGCAAGCTTTTGAGTCTGGCAGAACTCTTCATCACCAGGCTGGATGTTAAGCAAAATGTGTGTGTGTGAGAGAGGGGGGGAGGAGAAGAAGAAGAAGAAGAAGAAGAAGAAGAAGAAGAAGAAGAAGAAGAAGAAGAAAAAGAAGAAGACAGAGGGTGGGCTTGGTATTGAAACCATAACGTCTTCACTGGTCAAAATTTCATTTTGTACTACAGCTGTAGAAGGGGCATGGTTATGGGGTTGTCATAAATTTACCACCACCACTGGCCCAGAGTGCAAGCCACCCTGCATATCATAGCTGCTTTCTATCAAGTCAGACCATTGATCCACCTACCACAGTATTGTTGACACTGACTGGCAGCAGCTCTGCAGGAGACATTTTCACAACCCTTCTTGGAGATTCTGGGGATTGAACTTGGAACTTTCTGCACACAAAGCAGATGCTCTACCACTGAACCTTCCCTTTAAGAGCCAGGCGCATAGGAATCACAGAAGCATCGCATCGTAGAGTTGGAAGACCCGCTGCAATGCAGGAATCTTTTGCCCAGTGTGGGGCTCGAACCCATAGCCCTGAGATTAAGCATCTCACGCTCCAATGACAGAGCTATCCATCAGGAGTCCTACACAGGAAGCTGCGTCAGACCATGAATCAGACCATGAGTTCATCTAGTATTGCCTACACTGACTGGCAGTAGCTTTGAAGGGTTTCAGGAAGAGGAAGGTCCCAGCCCCACCTGGAGATGCTTCTGGGGTTTGAACCTGTGAACTCCTGGATTCAAAGCAGATGCTCTGCCCTTGCCCTATGGCTGTTGCCAAATAAGAATATACAATTGCTACCTTAAAGGTAAAGGTAAAGGTAAAGGGACCCCTGACCATTAGGTCCAGTCGTGACCGACTCTGGGGTTGCGGCACTCATCTCACTTTATTGGCCAAGGGAGCCAGCGTACAGCTTCCGGGTCATGTGGCCAGCATGACTAGGCCGCTTCTGGCAAACCAGAGCAGCACATGGAAAAGCCGTTTACCTTCCCGCCGGAGTGGTACCTATTTATCTACTTGCACTTTGACGTGCTTTTGAACTGCTAGGTTGGCAGGAGCAGGGACTGAGCAACGGGAGCTCACTCCGTCACAGGGATTCGAACCGCCGACCTTCTGATCGGCAAGTCCTAGGCTCTGTGGTTTAACCACAATGCCACCCGCGTCCCTAGATTGCTACCTTAGCTTTGGCAATTCCTTTAAACATAATACTCCATTCCTCATGGTTCTGAATAAAGGACTGATTTAAATAAGGGTCTAGGAAGCTGCCTTATCCTGGGCCAGACTGTTGGCCCATCTAGCTCAGTATTGTTGACACTGACTGGGAGCCTGCTCTCTGGGGTTTCAGATGGGAGCCCCACCCCCACCCCACCTAGAGAATCTGGGGACTGAACCTGGAGCCTTCAGATGCTCTGCCGCTGAGTTAGGACCCTTTATGGAACGGAATCTGTCTCTTGCCTTCTCCAGTTTTTGTTGCCACCCTTGCCCTCTCACTCCCCCAAAGCCTCTTGTCCAAACAGACTTCTCTGCACAGCTTGCAGGGAGGCCAGACTGAGAGGGGGCTGGGCGGTGGCGGCAGAGGGAGGAGGAAACCTCCATGCCTAAGAATAATGCATCCACCACCCATCCTCAGAAGAGCAATGAGAGGTGGTTGTGCATGCAATAAATATTTATGAGAGCCAGCATAATGAAATGAACTTATTATACATAAGCTCCCGGAGGGCATGAGCATCTAAAGGGCTGCTTCCCCTCCCTTTTCGCTGTACAGAATTGCCCTGATATCTCTTGAGTTGTTGAGCAAATTGCGTATTTTGTTGTTCACTTACATTATGCCTATTAAATGCAGCCAGCTGCTGCTCTTTGGCACGGCTGATCCAGACAAGACTTGTGGCTGCTGCTTGGGGTGTGTGTGTGTGTGTGTGTGTGTGTGTGTGTGTGTTTGCCAGCAGACAGAGTCTTTGGTGGTTTACTTCACACACCCACACCCACACACCCCTGCCCATCGGACCCAGTTGGGTTGGTAGGGTAGCAATCTGTCAGATCACACAGACATCTTCTTCATCCAAGAGAACTTTTCTGCTACATATTTCAGAAAGGGCTAGTTGTACCTTCTTCACATGTGTATGTGTGCCCAATGGACCCAGTTGGGTTGGCAAGGTGGCAGGCTTTCAGATCACACAGGCATCTTCCTCACTCAATAACACTTCCCTACTATTTCAGACAGAACTGGTTTTACGTGTGTGTGTGTGTGTGTGTGTGTGTGTGTTTGCTTGCTTGCAGTTAGGGTCAGTGATGGTTCACTGTATCCTCCCCCTTCCTCACCATAGGTCCAGTTGTGTTGGCAAGGTGGCAGGCTTTCAGATCACACAGGCATCTTCTTCACTCAGAACACTTGTCTGTTTCCCACCCCCTCCATTTTCCAATAGGCTGTTAAAACTTACCAAGTTACCAATTAGCAACCAATGGAGTCCTGCTGAGCTGTATAGATTCCACATTGAGTAGACATTTACGCCAGGCACAGAACTATGCAGTTATCAGCTTCAAAACGCTTCTCTCCCTGACCTGATGTGAATTTAAAGGTGCAGTTTTTGTTAAGCCTGTGCCAATAGGCTTGGAAGCATGTGAGGAGCCTATGGCAGAATCAGAAGTCTGAGTGTCCAGCAGTCTTCCTAGGGCCCTACACTCTTTTCATATACTTGTGATTCCTGCATTGCAGAGGGTTAGATAAGATGACCTTTAGGGTCCATTCCAGCCCTGCCATTATATGGTCCATATATCACTGTGCTATGTAAGAACATAAGAGCCCATTGGATCAGGCCAATGGCCTATCCAGTCCAGTCCAGAGCATGCTGTTCTCACAGTGGCAGAACACATGCTTGACTGGGAAACTGGCAAGCAGGACTCAAACATAACAGCCTCCTCCCCTCCTGTGGCTTCCAGCAACTGGTATTCGGAATCATAGAGCTGTAGAGTTGGGAGGTACCCCGAGGGTCATCTAGTCCAACCCCCTGCAATGCAGGAATCTTTCATCCAGTGTGGGGCTCAAACCCACAACCCTGAGATTAAGACTTGAAGCCTTGCTGCCTCTGACTGTGGGGGCAGACGATAGTCATCGCGGGTGGAAGCCACTGGTAGCTTCGTCCTCCATGGATTTGTTCAACCCGCTGTTAAAGACTACCAAGTTGATGACCATCCCTTGCCTCTTGCGGGAGCGAATTCCAGAGGTTAACCACGCGCTGCGTAAAGTTCTTGTCCCTTCCATCATGCAGCTCATGCGTTCTGGTGCTCTGAGAGAGGGAGAAAAACTTTTCTCTCTCTCCTTTCTGAATGCCCTGCATGATTTTTATCTCTGGGTGCAAAAAGAAAGCAAGGACGGGGCGAGGAAATAGAGATTCATTCCTCCTCTCGCGTCCGGCCAGCAAAAGCAGGGGGAAAGCAATGCTCCCTTTTGCCTTCTCCGTCCCCTTGTTTTGCGCTGGCAGAGAGACCACCCCCTTCCCCTTCCCAGGAGAGAGAGAGAGAGAGAGAGAGAGAGACCCATCTGTCTGGGCTCAGCAGCCTAGAAGAGAAAGCCAAGGGGGCGCGCGCGCGAGGGGCAGTCCAGGGGGAGCGGCCGGCGGGAGGTGGCGCCCGGGGCGTCTCCCTCGGGCACCGAAAGGGGGACTCGGCTCGGGCCGGGCGCGCGTGGTTGCGCGTGTGTGCCTTGCAACTCCCAGAGTCACCTCTTCTCCTTTTTTTCCCTTTTCCTTTTTTTTTTTTTTTTTGCATTCACACAAGATGGCGATGGAGGAGGGGAGGCAGCAGCGACAGCAGCAGCCCTTCGCTCGCGCGCGCGTCTAACCCTCGCGCGCCAGACCCAACAGGCGAGCCGCGGAGCAGACTCCGGCCGCCGGGGTTGCTGCCTCGCTCGCTCGCCCGCTCGCCGCCACCTTCTCCTCCCGACGCCCCCTTTCGCACACCCGGAGCTCCGAAGGGCTTACATGGCGCTAGAGGGACTGTTTGGCCTCGCGATTCTTGCCTTGACCTTGACCGTGGAAGGTAAAGACCCAAACCCAGGAGAGGGGTCCGGGGAGGGGGGCTGAGGGCGCTTGGCGTGGCTGGGCGCTTTTTTTTCTTCGTGGGATGGGGATTTGTGGTTGTATTTCCTACCCCCCCTCCAACCTTGCTAGTCGGTCGGTGCAAAGAACCGGGCGCGGTGGAGCGCAGAGCGGGAGCTGGGCAGGGCGCGCGGGACCCCTCGCCCTGGGGCCACGCAAAAGGAAACGCGCAAATAATGGGTTGTGTGTAGACGTGAAGAGGTCAGGCTCGCCGCTCCGTGGTTCCATCTCAGCCTCCAATCTTCGCTGGCGCGTCCACAATGGGCAACGTGGTGGTGATGGCCCTGGCGAGGGGGGAGGGTGCGCGCCGCGGGGCTCCGGCCGTCCCGTTGCTCGGCGGGGTGACGAGCGCAAACAGGTGTGTGCGCGTTTGCACGTGCAATCCGCGCGCCGAATCCCAGGGCGGCCTCGCCTCGCCTCTTGCGACTGGTCGCCGGGCTGGCGTGGCCGGAGCTGCCCGCTCCCCACGCGGGGTGGGTTTGTTTGCTGGCTTACGAGGCGTCGTGGAAGCGGGACGCGCGCGGCGGGGAAAGGCTCTGCGCAAACGGACCTTCCTCTGGAGATCGGATGGTGCCCTCTTTGTGATGGCCTTGGTTTTTCGACAATGCCCCCCCCCTCCAAAAAAACACACACCCGTCCTGCATACTGGGGTGGGGGGTGTTAAAGAAAGCCTTGCAAAAAATGCGAGGTGGAGAGGGGAGTTTCAGGTACTTCCATGGCGACGTTTCCAGCGTTCTATGAGATTTGCGCGGGGGGTGGGGGATCAACAAACAAAGACCGCCATGCTCTCCAAGCGGGCTTTGGAACGGGGTCTTCCCGGCTGTCCAACAGATAAAGGATCTATTGGCAACGAGAGAAAATCACACCCGCATTAGCCAGCTGTCTTGTTTGCAAGATGGCATTGGTGTTCACCGCCCGCCACCCTTTCCCATTCAGTCTTTGTCCAGGGTTATGATCGCGTTCGCCCTCCCCACGTCCCTCAAAAGTTGTTTTCCTAGGGAACTTCTCGCCCCTGCCTGGCAAAACTGTCTCGGGGGCTGCTGTGAGACATCTCACCAAAGATGAGTGAAGAGCCTTCCCAGGCGAGTAACTCTGAAGAACCGCTGCAATGAGCCTTAGGGAAAAGTCAGCAGGTTGGTGGTAGCCAGGCAGCTGCTTTCCTGATACTTTCAGACAGGGCTGGGTATGTCCCCTGGCTGAAACTCGGCTGGTCAGTATGGACAGTGCTAAGCTAGATAGACCAATGGACTGTACCAGGCAAATTCCTGTGCTCCTGAGACACGGCAGGTGCAGGCAAGCTGGCTGGCGACTTAACCCAAATCTTCCCCTGGTTTTCTATGAGACTTTCATAGAGGCAGAGTTGCAACTACTGCAGCTGCTAGTTGAGTTGAGTTGGAAAGCAGAATAGAGCAGCTTTTCCTGCAATGGGTACCCTCCGTGATGTTTTCAGGCTGATGGGAGTTGCAGTCCAAGATTTCTGGAGGGCACCTTCTGCGGAAGACAATTCCTAAAGTAGTGTAGACTTTCTGGCCAGGATGGAATGGGCAGAAGGTAGCCATGGCTGCTTCTGAAAACCTCAGGTGGCTGGCCAGTGGAGTGTCATTTGTGACACCTTTGTTCCAAAATCCATGCAGTATAGAGCACGCGGCTGGGCTCACTGGCATGAGCGGCCTGGAAAGTATTTGCTTTGCCAACGGACGAAAAGGGAACATTCTTCCGTTCCTTTTTTCCTGCTCTGTAACTGGATTAGTTTTGAAACAGCTGTATTAAAAATCCAGAGAATGTAATAAAGTGTCACTTAATATTTGGTTGAACGATTCTTTCATACAATCATAGAATTGTAGAATGGGAAGGGAACCTGAGGGTCATCTAGTCCAACCCCCTGCAATGCAGGAATCCTGCTCATAGCTGTGAGCCATCCCTGGGTGGGCTCGAACCACCAGCCTTGTGGTTAACAGCCAGATGCACTGACCCATCAAACTGTAAAGAGCAACTGATTCTTATTATTAAACAATTCCTGCAACTGACATACAGTTCAGGTAGTGGCTCCCCACCCCCCATAGGCTATCTCTGTGCTGTGAAAAAACCCCACTACAGTATTGTTTGTTAATTTCTACCATGCCAGACTGTTGCTCAAAGGAGCAGGAGTGGTGAAAGAAGTTTGCAACCTTCATTTCATATGAAAACAGCTGTCTGGCAAACTACTTTCTGAAGCACTTTCTCCCTCTTTTGAAAGGGCTTGAGGCTTGGGCCAAGCAGGGAGGGGAGGGGCTTCAGGCAGGGAGATGGGTGAGGGACTGGGTGAGGTGCAAAGAGAGGTGGATTTGGTCAGGTGAAAAGGGGCAGGTTTTGGTGAGCTGTGGGGAAAAGGGGTTGGGAAAGGGACTAGCGAGTGGAGCAAGCAGGGGTGGTAGCCCCTACTTTATAGGACCAGGGGCTTACATGTAGGCATGGCTAGGAAGCTGCTTTGGACAGTGTTGGAAATGGAGTCAGGGAAGAAGAGACTAGGGAGAACAGTGTGTTCTTTAGAGGCTGCTGGATCAGGCCAATGGCCCATCTAGTCCAGCATCCTGTTCTCACAGTGGCCAACCAGATGCCTTTGGGAAACCCACAAGCAAGACCTGAGCACAAGAGCTCCTGAGGTTTGCAGCAGCTGATATTCAGGAACAATGCCAGAGCACAGCCTTTGCTGCATGTAGCAATTAATAGCTCCATGAATTTGTCTTTTAAAGCCATCTACACTGCTGGCCATCACTGCCTCCTGTGAGAGCAAGTTCCGTAGGTTAACTATGTACTGCTTGAATAAGTCCTTTCTTTCAGCTCTCATATCCAAAAAATTTATTAGTTTTCCAGCATAGTTTTGACACAAATAAACAAACAATATAAACAAACATAAATCTTCACTCTAAACCAAACTTCAGTAACTTTGTTAAGTGACTTACTCATGTCTCCCTAGTTGAATTTCAGTGTAAATCATTTTAACGGTTTTCAACACCAATATTCTCAAATTTTTTTTAAACTTATTCATTAACATCTTTCTTTCTTTTCAATTCAGCATTACCTCTTCTTAATTCATCACTTAACATATTAAAATCCTAAGCCTATCTGGTATTTACAAGCTTCTTCAATTAACTTAACTTCACATATTTAGCTAAATAATCTTTAAATTTCGTCCATTCTTCCTAGTAGTCCTCCTCCTCCTGGTCACAGATTCTCCAGGTCAGGTCGGCTAGCTCTGAAAAGTCCATCATCTTCATCTGCCTCTTTCAGCTCTCATATCTGGTGCACTTGCCTTTAGAGTAATAAAGAGCAAATTTTCAAATGATTCTCAAATGAATGATGTTCAAATTCTCAAACGAAATACCTCCTCTCCACTGTTAAACTTTGCTGCAGTTGCATTTAGTGGGGGGGGGGGCGGACTTCAGAGAGGTGATTGTCAAATGTCTCTCTGAAGTACCTCACCCCTCTATTAAACAGCTCACCTGGACCACCTGTTGCCTGCCTGCCTGCCATCATACTGCTGGTGGCGTGGCCACCTATTAGCAGCCATGTGTACTACAGCATGACAACAGCCTTACGTTTTTATGTATATAGGAAGATGTGTGTCTATAGTAGAGGGGATTTCAGGGCAGAGATGAGTTGTACCTGTTGACATTCCCCCTTGCACACATATATGAACTGTTCCAGGAGCTCTTTGGCTTCTCTTTCTGCTGCCTCTGGATTATTAAAAAGTGTTAAATGTGGCCAAATGGGAGCCCCGCTTTCCAGATCAAACTGATTTGCAGCTCCCTCAAACTTTGCTCCTGCTGCTGTTTTGGTTAATGAAAAATTTTGCTGTGGCTTTAGCTTAATGCAGGTCTGTAAATTGTTAACACATTCTGTACATTATTCAGCTGGAGTTCCTTTAAAGAAACCTTTCTCTCATTTTCCAAGGTGTGCAGTATAAGGCTTGCAAAACAGCAGGTTTTTTGCTTGATTTTACTAGCCTCCATTCTTCAAGCAGATAGGAAACAACTTTCCCCATCAAGGCAGGCAACCACTAGGGCCTGAGACACTTTCTAAAAGCCCCCTTTCCCAACCCATCAAACACAGCATCCCCCCACCCCCCAATTCCACTGGAGATGTACACAGTCTTTCCTTATCCAAATTTCTGTTTGTGTAGGGGTGTGCAAGTTTTTGGATGCCACAGGAGTCTTCCTCAAGCAGGATGGAAAGAGGGGCAGTAGCTTGGGGGTGTGGAGAGCAAAGCCCAGCTATCAAAGTTTCTAAGCCTCATAATTGTAGCCCATCAAACAGCCTGATTGTGCATGTGCTTAATCAGAGGCAAGCCCCAGTAATTTCAATGGGGCTTTCCTTTCAATAGGACCGCAGTCATATTCCTTGCCCACCCCCTTCTCTAATCAAAATCTTGTCTTCGCGTTCTGCATCTCTGTGGCTTGGTTTGGTTGCAGTTTTTAAGGCTTGCGCACATCTCAATAAAAGAGGCGAAGGAGAAATTTTGGCAGATGTCACTTGTCATGCAATTCTTTTCTCTGTTGCACAAGAGGTCGTTAACGCAGAAGCCCATAATCTCCTTTGTGTCAGGATTATTCAGATAAAAATCAGGCAAGCCACGTTATGTGCTGAAAACGTAAAACCTTTAAGAAGTGGATGGGAAAAGGCAGCTGAGGAAATATGGCTTTCGTTGTTTTCTAAAAATGCTTTCGGGGGATGGCTTTTCACAACTTGTGTCTGGATAAATATGCATTTATAAAAATTATAATGACTTGCTAATAATCGGAACAATAGCACAGAGCTATACATCGTATTGCATTACAGTTTCAAGCATCTTTCTTTCTTTTTTTATAAGATATTTATTAAAGTTTCAGCATATTACAAAAATAAGAGAAAAAAGTAAAAGAAAATAAAAAAACGAAAATAAAAATACAGGGTAAAAACAGTTAAAAACAAGTCAGTCTTTCCATATCTTATCTTTCATTTGCTTGCTTCCCTGACCTCCTCACACCTCCCTTTTTTGTATTCCAGTTCAATTAGTTAATTCAGCAATTCCTTTCCCTCTTTGATTTTATCTTAATCTTTTATCTTAATATATTATAGCTTTAAATTATCACCTGTTAACAATCCTTTTTTACATATTCCTTTATAACATTACTACTAAAGACCACTTAACTTCAATCCAACATCATTCTAACATTCTCAAGCATCTTTCTTTCTTTCTTTCTTTCTTTCTTTCTTTCCATGTCTTTCACTTTCTTTGCCCACTGAACGTTTTCAATAAAATATAAATATTTTTAAAAAAACTTTTCCAGGGGGAAGTGATCACTCGGAAGAAACACTATAAAAAATCATGTACCCCTTCCCCTCCCCTAAAAGTTGCCATCATGTTCCCCTGGCACACATAAATTAAACAGGTTCCCTTTCTCCCGCATTACTCTCCCCTCTGTACAAGGGAGGAAACCCTACTAAATTTTGCTGTGCCTCTCTTAAAAGCACAGGACTAGACCCAGTGAAAAACCTGGCAACCCTCCTTTCTCTTTTGTCATTCTTTTGTCATGTTTGCTCTCCCTAAGAGGGTCCCTCTCCACCCCCCTTGAAAGCCTGAACCATATTGCTGGAACAGACTCTGGGTGTGTATTGCAAACATATAGTATTCACCTTTTCTCTGCTCAGTGCAGACTGTTCTGACTATAGCAAGGTCTCTTCTGTTGTGGATTTTCCCTGAAGAACTTGCAGAAGCACTTTAGAAAAAGAAAAGAGAGCGACATGCCCCGTTGGTTTCTGTTATGGCAGTGCGCGTTGCTTGCTTTGTGGTGGGGCTCCCGAAAGGGACAGAACCAGCTCTGGGAACGGAGAGGTGAAAGAAAGAAGCTTTTTTCCCACTAGCTCGACAATCGGATTATATAATCCTCAATTTAGGCAGTTTGTATCAGGTTCCTTTTGTGAATTTCCTCCCTTGACTTTAAGGCTTTTTTTGTTCCCTGCGGATGCTTTTTCTCCCTTTCTCTTCACTCCCCCCCACCCCTCCCCACACCAGAAGCTGTTGGCGTCTGAATAGACTTAGGACCCTTTCCCTGAGAATTTGGGTCTCCCATTGTCTTGGCAGTCACATGCCTCTTGCTCGTTTTTCCCCGAATGGTCACCTGCATGCAGATTTCATTCAGCTCCTTGCACAATATCATTTTGCAAAGGCACACAGGCCTGCTTAAAATGCGCTTGGCTTTTTCGGGACCAAGTTTCTATAGAGAGATGGGCTGGCAGGGAAGGGGAAGTTTGGGGTTGGTGGCTTTCAGTGCCGGCTGGGAATCAAATTGGCTTGAGGGGGCAGTGGATGAAAATACTCTTTTTAAATTGTAAAAATTATTTATTATTTATTTATTATTATTATTATTATTATTAGTTGTTGTTGTTAGCCCCAGCCACTCTGGGCAGCTTCCAACAAATTATAAAGCCACAGCAAAACATTTTGGATGCTGTTTGTTCAGAAGAAGACAAAACGTGAGACTTCACATTCTCAGAATTAATTCATTGAATTTGCTGCCCCCCGGGGTAGGCTGATAGATTAGCCTTTCCTAACCCATTGTCCTCTCGACATTTTAGACTACACCTCCCATGGCTGGGCCTGATAGGAGTTGTAGTCCAAAACATCTCGAAGGCAGCGGGTTAGAAAAAGGTACATCAATTTTGGCTTGATGGATTCTTGAAGGCAAGATCAATATGCTTTGCTTGGTAAGTAGAGACTCCATGCTCAGAGGCAATGTACCTTGGGATACCAGTTGCTGCAGGTGATGCACCTGTGCACAGAGGAACATCGCAGGTTGCCTTACACCAAGTCAGACCTATTGGTCCAGCTAGATCAGTGTTGTCGACACTGACTGGCAGCAGCTCTTCAGGGTTTCAGACCAGGAGCTCCTCCCAGCCCTTCCTGGTGCCCTCAGTGGCCAGTGTGGTGCCTATTGAGGCAGCTCCAGCCTGCTTACAGTCTCCTTCCCTGCTCTTGACGTTTTCCACAGCAGTGAGCCCAGCCGCCCTGGTTCATATAATTAAGCAAGTATTTAATTGCACAGTAATTTGTCTCTGGCCTGCATCCCAACGTTTTTCCTTACTCCATATTTGCATTACAGAGGGAGAACGCAGCAACTTAACGAGAGCATTGTTGTTTGGGTAGCGAGTTAATTTTGTGCTTTGGGAATAGAAAGAGGCTATTTGGAGAACTGAAATGCAACTTAGGCAAAAATGCCCAGGAGAGGAGGAGACCTAGGTTGCATTTCTGCCTAAGTATTCAGTGATATACTTCCTTTGAATATGGAGGTTCTCCATGCTCACACATAAAGTACCCAAATGAATGCATCATGGATTCCCCAACCCTATTTCCTTCTCCCTTTATTTAAAGGTTTATTTTTCTTCTATTACAACTATAGTGGTACCTCGGGTTACATACGCTTCAGGTTACATACACTTCAGGTTACAGACTCCGCTAACCCAGAAATAGTACCTCGGGTTAAGAACTTTGCTTCAGGATGAGAACAGATATCGTGCTCCGGTGGCGCGGCAGCAGCGGGAGGCCCCATTAGCTAAAGTGGTGCTTCAGGTTAAGAACAGTTTCAGGTTAAGAATGGACTTCCAGAACGAATTAAGTTCTTAACCCGAGGTACCACTGTATTCCAAATCTACGTTTTTGTCCCAACAGGGGCTCCTGAGTCAGTTTGAAAATAGAGATTTCTGTCCTGCCGATATGTATGTATGTAAACAAATTTGCTAAACGCACACCCCATGCAAAAGAAGCCCTCTAAGTAGTTTACAAAAATATATATAATAAAACATTTACATTATCAATAAAACAAGTTAAAAACAGGTGTTTAAAAACGTCCAGAAGACGATAAAAAATCAATAGCAGCAGAAAAAGAAATATATGTAACTTCTCTGTGTCTGTAGAGGCTTTCCTGAACACAAATGCTTTAAGCAGGTGATAGAAAGAGTGCATTGAAGGTGCCTCCCTGGTGTCAATAGGCGGGGAGTTCCAAAGTGTAGAGATGCTGCTGCACTAAAAGATGGATTTATTACCAGTTTCGAAAAATTCCAAGTTGGTTTAATATGAAATAGTGCCTCACAAGTGCCCCTTGCACCAGATCTGCCTCTTAGCACCACCAGGTGTCCAACGCTGCTTGAAATCTTACAGAATCCTCATATAGAACTATCTAAACAGCACTATGCTTCCGGGAACTTGGCTGAAGGCACTCTGTCCAAATCACACCCAGCAGAAGGTGTGTTGGGATCTACTGGTAGAATTTTTGAATACAGTTCCTTTTCTCATTAATTGATGGAGAATGGTTAACCCTCACCCCCCCCAAAAAAAAATATGTCGGAGAAATTTTCAGCATAGTACTAACTGGACGAGAATTATATGGAAAAGAAGACTGCCGTACAAAGGATTGGACCACAAGGAACTGTGGGAGGGATTCCCGGCGGCGTAGCTGTGCTAGCAAAAACGGCAGTCTTGCAGCACCTTAAAGACTAACACGGCATTCTTGTTGATACGCAACAGTGCTCAAAGCTTAGGCAAAAATAAGTGTAAACATGCCTGAGACAAGCGCTATGGCAGATGGCAGTAGTTCCACTTGTTTTGTGTACAGAAATGTTGTCTGTTTGAAACGGAAATAAAAGTACATTATATTTAGATGAACACATTGATAATGGCATAAGCCTCATCCCACCAAAGCTTATATCTTTCTATATGCATAAAAATGTAAGGCTGTCATCACGCAGCCCACATTAGAGGATTCACAGTGCCTCGTGACAATCCTGGATTTGCATGAGGTCAGGTTGAGGGAGGGAGCAAAAGAGAAGGTAGTTTTTCATACCTTCCAACATTTCTCTGATGAAAATAGGGATGTCCAGTGCTATTTTTTTAGAAAAAGAGGTGCCGGAACTCAGCATGAACGCCTCCCTTGCTCTCTTATAATGGCAATGGTGCCCACCTGAGAGATTCTGGAACTGAGTTCTGGCAAGTTCTAGCTGAAAAAAAAGCCCTGGGGATGTCCTGTTCCATACCCTCCAACATTTCTCCGATGAAAATAGGGACATCATATAGACCAGTTCTAGTTGTTTTGTACTGTCCCCCCACCATCCCTGACCATTGGCCATGCTTGCTGGGACCACTGGGACCTGGAGTTCAGCAACATCTGCGCAGCCACAGCTTACCAACCTGACTGTGACTTATCTAAGATCTTTCTCTCTCTCCTTTGCATAGTTGTATCATTTAAAAAACAAAACAAATTACTTTTTTAAGAAAACAACCCCCCAGGATTCTCCTGCAGACCTTGGACTTCTGCTACGTCTCCAGGGATCCCTATCCCTGCTCCTTCCCCAGATGATTTAAAGGCACATCACAACTGTGCAGTAAGTTTAGTAACAATGCATGGAGCATACCCGGGGGGGGGGGGAATCTTTTCTGTGGCTTTTAGACACCTTTGGAAGGCAGGTGTGCCTGTGTGCAACTTTGTGCTATTTCTCCCACGCCTAGGGGATTTCCGCCTTCTAGCTGATCTTTAAATAGGCAGTCAATAAATAATTAAGTTAATTGGTGTGGCCAAACAGGCCATTAGCTGCCTTAGCAGATTGTTTATTTTTATTTATTTGCAAACCGGCTCTTGAGATTTCGTGTGCAGAGTAAAGGGCACGATTTGGGGGTGGCGAATGAGATGTGCCCTTATGACAAGCTGTGGGAGGCAGGGCACCTGCTTGGCATGCAGAAGGCCCCAGGTTCAATCCCCAATATCTCCGGAAAGGCTCCTTTTCTGAAATCCCAGAGAGCCTCTGCCAGTCCTTGTGGACAATACCGAGCTAGATGGAAAAGGGTTCTCTCTCTGGTTCCAAGCAATGATTAGATGACGCTGGCACCAATTTGAAATTCACTTTGTTCCATTACTTTCATGGTGTTTCGGTTGAATTTAGATTCCTCAGCCAGATGGCTTTGTCTGTTGCCAAAGTGGCCTGTATGGCAAGTGAACCAAACACAGCCCACTAGCCAGGCATGGGAAGAACCACTGTGCCTCTTCTGAGGCTCCAACTCAGAGGCTTCAGAGTGAAGCTGATTGCTCAGAGATATAGTGGTACCTCAGGTTACAAAACTTTGGGTTACAAACTCCACTAACCTGGAAGTAGTACCTCGGGTTGAGAACTTTGCCCCAGGATGGATGAGAATGGAAATTGCGCAGGAGGCCCCATTAGCAAAAGCGCAACTCAGGTTAAGAACAGTTTCGGGTTAAGAACGGACCTCTGGAATGAATTAAGTTTGTAACCCGAGGTATCACTGTAGTGCTTGTAAAAGCAGTGGTGGAGTCTGGCTTTTTAAAAGAGCTCTCAGGCCTCTCCCAGGCAGAATTGTCACTCACGTTCCTACTTGTTTCTCAAATCGATTTATTATCCCTTTATTGGTGCCCATTTCTGTTTGCCTTCCGCAGTAAGAAGATCCTAATATGTTGGAGAAGGTGGTGCTTTAGATTTCCTAACTGGGGGTGGGGACCCTGAAGTCTACAGATGACTCCCTCCCACCATTTGCTGCAAGTTCCTTCATCTGGAGCAGGGTTTTCCAAACTTTGGTCTCCAGCTGTTTTTGGACAACAACTCCCATCATCCATAGCTAGCAGGACTAGTGGCCAGGAATGATGGGAATTGTAGTCCAAAAACAACTGGCAACTCAAGTTTGGAAAACACTGGTCTGGATGGTTTGAAAACATGGGCGCAGCCAAAATTTTGTTAGGGGGGCAGGAGTTTGTTGGGGGGGGCAGGACTTTTGTGGGGGGTGGCAGAGCTGACGTGATTGGTCAGTTAGTTAAGTATTTCTGTTGTTTTACTTGATCAGGGGGACAGCTGCCCCCTTTGGCTAAGCCCATGTTTAAAAAGGAGGCTAAAACCTTGAATTGCCAGATCAAACCCCAAGGCCTGATTGTGTGGATAGTGTCATTATATGGTTTAGTCACTAGGTGGCAGTGGGCTCAATTGTGTTTGGGTGGAGTCAGGACTTGCCTGTTTGGTTTCGTTAGGGAGACACCATAAAGTTGTTGTCTAGGTTATTGTCTGTTGCTCTTCACCCTAGGATCCCCAGCTGTGGTTAAACTCCAACTCCCATCATCCCCAGCCAAGCTTAGTGCAATTGTCAAGGGAGATGGGAGTTGGAGTCCACCAACATCTGCAGGGCCAGAGGTTCCCCACCCCTGCCTTTGAGAGATGTAAATTTTGAAGCAAAACAAACCAACTTGTGTGCATTTTTACATTTCAGACACATGCAGTACTGTAGTGTGCCAGAAAACAGATCCAGAGGAGCTTGGTAGAGGCTTCAAATTTCACAGTATCATTTTTTTTATGGCATTGGCAAAGCTGAACTAATAGGATATTTGGGAAAGAGCAGAGGATTGGTTGTGGGGGTTGTTGGGTTTTTTTGCATGAAGAATTTGCAAGAAAGAAAAAAGAAGATGTGATTTGGATTGTCCCGGTGATCCGAGCAAGACTTGTAATTCTCTCAGTTTTGGGAAACGAGAGTGCTTATAGACCAGCAACTAAGAAATAATCCGGAGCTAATAAACTGTAAGCTCAATTAATGGTAATCCCTTTCCAGCGGCAGTGACAGTCTGATGAGCTCAGGGCATCCCCCAAATCTTGTTTGGATAGGGCAGGGACTAAGTAGTCACTAAAGCTCCAGGAAGGGAAGCAGTTTGGATGTCTATTTATTTATTAAAATGTATACCACTATTCATTAAAAAAAATAGAGCATCTTACAACAATTGTACATCAAATCATACAATAATTTAAAATCAGAAATTGTTATGGAAAGATGTCTTTTTTACTTGACTGCATAAGCCTAATGGGGATATAAAAGTTTTTAGCAGGTGCTTAAAAGTTGGCATGGGAGACCTCTGCTGAATCTCTGTTGGCAGAATGTTCCACAAGTCTGGCCTGGTGACACAACAGGCTCAGTTTCTTGTTGTTGTCAAGTGACTCTTGTCCACTTCGAGGATGACCCATGACACTCCTGCAGATGATGTCAGTGACTGAGCTGGGGTAAGAGGGTCAAAGAAGATCAAACGCATCCATTCTTAAGGAAATTAGCCCTGAGTGCTCACTAGAAGGACAGATCCTGAAGCTGAGACTCCAATACTTTGGCCACCTCATGAGAAGAGAAGACTCCCTGGAAAAGACCCTGATGTTGGGAAAGATGGAGGGCACAAGGAGAAGGGGACGACAGAGGACGAGATGGTTGGACAGTGTTCTCGAAGCTACCAGCATGAGTTTGACCAAACTGCGGGAGACAGTGGAAGACAGAAGTGCCTGGTGTGCTCTGGTACACGGGGTCATGAAGAGTCGGACACGACTAAACGACTAAACAACAACAAGAGGGTCAGGCAGTCCCTGAGGTCCTCTGGACGTATGTCTACTTCATCCTATGTGGTCATTGGTAACAGATTCAAAATGGCCATGGAGCAGTTTTCCCATGGTGGATGGTTAGGGAATGAATTATTGATTCAACCCTTGTCAAGTGGTTCAGTCGCACTGGGTGTGGAACCTTGGGGGCATGGCAGGGGATCACAGAATTGTAGAGATGGAAGAGACCACAAGGATATAATCTAGTCCGACTCCCTGCAAAGCAGGAATCTTTCCCCCAAAGTGAGGCTCAAACTCACAACCCTGAGATTAAGAGCTTCCTCATCTACCAACTGAGCTATCTGGCTAGAATGGAGTATGAGTGTTGGGGTGAGGGTGACGAATCTTAGCATTGCACAAGTTACTGCTGAAATTTGAGACCTGCTTAAGGAAGCTGGATGGGCCAGCCAGGTGGAGATATCAGATGCCAACCAGACCTCCAGAGATCTCCATGTGGTCGCAATTGGACCCACGCCAGTTGCAGAACACGCCTGGTGCCCGGGGGATTTTGAATGCTGGTTCAAGGTTCTTGTGTTGATACCCAAAGGCCTAAATAACTTGGCTGCAGGATACCTGCACATAACACCAGTCCTGAAAGACCTACATTGGCTCCCAGTACATTCCTGAGCACAATTCAAAGTGTTGGTGCTGAGCTTTAAAGCCCTAAACGGCCTCGGCCCAGTATACCTAAAGGAGCGTCTCCATCCCCATTCTGCAGCCCAGACACTGAGATCCAGTGCCGAGGGCCTTCTGGCGGTTCCCTCACTGCGAGAAGTGAGGTTACAGGGAACCAGACAGAGGGCCTTTTCGGTAGTGGCACCCGCCCTGTGGAATGCCCTCCCATCAGATGTCAACAAGATAAAGAACTATCTGACTTTTAGAAGACATCTGAAGGCAACCTTGTTTAGGAAAGGTTTTAATGTTTGATGTTTCATCATGTTTTTAATATTCTGTTGGCAGCTGCCCAGAGTGGCTGGGGAAACCCAGCCAGAAGGGCAGGTATAAATAATAAATTATTATTCTTATTACCTCAAGGAAGGCCTGAGTCTTCATGTCCCAGCCCCATTGTGGAGAGCATGGAAAGGAGTGCTGTTTGTTGTCCCCCATGTTACAGATACCCAACTGAACTCAACGAAAAATCTGGCTTTTAGTGTCGCCAGTCCCATGCCTGTGGAACGCTCTTCCAGCAGAGTTTCAGCAGGCACGTCCTCGCTTTTGACTTTTGAGAGTTTCCTCAAAAAGTTGAGCGTTGTGGCTTTTAGATCCCGCCCCCCTTTTCAATTATCCAGACACCTTAACGATTATCTGCAATTATTTTTTTAAAATGGTGTTTGATGCCTTAGCATTCTATACCCCCTGATATTTTATGACCAAGAAATGCTTTTTAAAGATAAATAAATAAAAATGCCCTTGTGTGTCCCTAGTAAACAACAAAAACACACCAAATCTCCAAATTCTTAAATGGAGGCAATTTATTGGTCCGAAAGGAGGCTCCCTTAGTTTATAATGCAGGTTCTTTTGCAGAGCTGAGTAGTGTGTATTGCATAGACTTATTTTCATGGGTTGTCAAGGGGGTGTGTGGGGGGCATTTCCCAGCAAGGAAGGGATTAGGATGTCACGAAATCAGGCCTTGGGAGCTCCAGGGAGGGTAGTAAAAATACCCTTATCTCTGTTTTGCAATTGGAGCTGGAAGAGGCAAAAGTCAGCTTTTGGGAGATTCACAAGGCCGCAAGATGTGCTCCGTGAAAATGGCTGCGATGGGAGTGAATGCTCCTCTTTGGTCAGGTCACCTGCCTTCGCCCTGTAGTTGCTGATTAATGAGGACTTGGCAGATTTCGCTCTGTGCCCTTGATGGCATGTTCCATGACCTGGAATGACCTGGAGAATCTCGACGGCTGAGCTTCCAGTAGGAATGGGGAAGAGGGAATGCCTGTGACTCAGAGGCAGAGCAGCTGCTTTGCATGCAGAAGGTCCCATTGGTTCAAACCCCAATGGCACCTCCAGGTAGGACTGGGAAAAAGCTCCAGCCTGAAACCCCGGAGGCCTTGATTGAACCTGGGACCTTCTGCATGCCAACCAGGTGTTTCGCCACTGAGTTCTGCTCCATCCTCCTTGCATGAGGTTACTCTGCAGTTTCTCATCAGGTGGGCAATCCATTGTAAGATGAATGTGAATAGCTTCTTAAAATAATCAGGTTGCCAATGGGCTGGATATACCATTTCTTGTGCTGCCTGCCTGAGATGGCCAACCTTCTGATCGTCAAGTCCTAGGCTCTGTGGTTTAACCCACAGTGCCACCTGCATCCCTTTGTATACTCCTTAGCTGTGAGTAAAACCTCAAAGCATTTGACAAAAAACAAACAATAAAATGTGCGTTAAAATGATAATTAACCGTCAAAGTTAAGAGGAAGTTTTTAAAACATCAAGATGTAATTAAAATCAGCATAATTAAAATTTCAGATCAAAACGCCTGCTAGTGTTTACATAGATTCCTAGGATTTGTTGCAAAAATGTTTTTAGCAGGTTTCATAGAGTGCAGAACAGAGGTGCCAGCCTGTTTTCAATAGACTGGGAGTTCCGGGATGTAGGTGCTGCCACACTAAAAAACTGTGGCACAAATATTAATAGCGTGGAATGGATATTATGTGGTGTGTGTAAAAGTGCCGCAGATCAAAGCGGTCAAGTTGGCATATATGGGGTAAGATGATCCCGCAAGTAAACTGGTCCCAAGCTGCTTTATGTATATTAACAGCAACACATTGAACTTGGCCCAGTAAGAGATTTGCAACCAGTGCACGGGCAGGGGTGTCGTATGTTGACAAGGTCTCACTTCTGTCAGCAACCTTGCTGCAGCATTCTGCACTAACTGCAGCTTCCACACCGAGCGCAAGGCAAGCCCCGCAAAATAAATAATGCCACATAATTAAAAACCTTGCAAAAATGTAACACCAATTAAAAACACATTTTCAGTGTTGTACACAACAACTTAGGGAACTGTAGCCTGGCTCTTCCTAATGGCAAATCTGCTGCTGAGCCAGCAGCCTTTGAAGGTAGTGGCGGAAGATTCCTCGGGCAGGTAAGTAGCCACAGCCCAGCAGCAATGCTGACCGAACCCCTCCAGGCTTTGAAGTCATAAGCAACTGGTTAATTTTTTAAAAGCCTTCAATGCCCGCTAATCCAAATCAATTTTCATTTCTTTCATAAAGCTCAGGCTTTTGCATTGGGCACCCGCAAATAATTGCAGCTAATTTGTTTTATTTTTATAACACCCATAATTGGGGGCGGGGGGATTTTGATGTCCTGGCAGCCATGTTCCCTTTAGTGAGTTCGTAATGGAAAGATCCATTAAAGTCGAAATGGTTCTGGGCACCGGTTCAAAAGCCAGATGTCTCTGTGTGTTCTCAAAGAGGGTTTCAGGCCATCTGCCAATCTCAGATATGTCACCCAAACAAGTGATACCGTCATTGGCTTGGGGGAAAGGCTTGAGCTGCCCCCACCCAGCATATATTTTCTGTGCCTGCCAGACCCACTGGGAATTCAAGTACAGACCAGCATGGCAAAAACTCGCTTGCCTCACCCCAATTCCAACTATTTAGAGCAAGATTTCCCAAACTTAAGGGACGCAGGTGGCGCTGTGGGTTAAACCACAGAGCCTAGGGCTCACTGATCAGAAGGTTGGCAGTTCGAATCCCTGCGACGGAGTGAGCTCCCATTGCTCGGTCCCAGCTGCTGCCAACCTAGCAGTTCGAAAGCACGTCAAAGTGCAAGTAAATAAATAGGTACCACTCCGGTGGGAAGGTAAACAGCGTTTCCGTGCGCTGCTCTGGTTTGGTCATGCTGACCACATGACCCGGAAGCTGTATACCAGCTCCCTCGGCCAATAAAGTGAGATGAACTCCGCAATCCCATAGTCATCCGCAACTGGACCTAATGATCAGGGGTCCTTTTAAACTTTACTTTTTCCCAAACTTGGGTTTCCAGTTGTTTTTGGATTACAGTTTCCACCATCTCTGAACACTGGTCCTGCTAGCTAGGGATGATGGGAGTTGCAGTCCAAAAACAGCTGGAGACCCAAGTTTGGGAAACCCTGATTTAGAGTCACGGACCCCTCCACAAAGTGCAGGCAGCCACACGTGGTTTCGCTGGCTGGGGCTGATGGGATTTGTAGTCCTGCTACATCTGGAGGGTAGCAGGTTGGCAAACGGCTTCTTTAGGGTCTCTGGCAGAGAGGGTGACTGAAGGGTGGAGTTAGCTTGCTCACCCTGCCCCCTTCATGTTGTTTTAACTCAGAACGTGGCTATGGAATGTGCAAGCAATATCCAGCCCATTATTCAGCAGAAGACACACTGGCACCCTCAGCTCCCCCGTGCATTATGTCACTCGTTTGACCCTTGCACCACAGAGGCTTCTGCAGAGCTCTGGTTTGAAAAATTAGCCACACGGCATGTAAGGAGTGCAGTGATTAAATGCCCCCGGTGCTCATCTGTAAGCGTGAGGCGTCATTTCACACCACTGAATCGACACAAGCTGAAATACCTCATGGCTGCGCATGCATAAGAGAAAATCCATGGGCCTCTGACATGCCTGAAGGCACTTTGTGGCCAGGGGTGGCCGGACCAGAGGGCCTCCCGAGGAATCCCCACGCAGCACAAGAATTTGGGTCATCAGTTGAGGCCATGAAACTCCTTAGCAAATGAGGCTTTTAACAATGCGTTCATGCGCTGTCGCATCAGATGTTTATAAGAGCACGATTCACTTGACAGGTCTTTGGTCTTTAATGTCATTGGCATCATTTGCAGGCATTTGAGGCTTGGCCCACTTGATCCTTGTAGATGATTGGTGCCTATTAACACACTGGCTTCCTGATCTGCTGCTCATGTTTTGGTTATGGGCATCACTGGGTGCATAACTTTTGGCTACCGGGCACCATCTCTTTGCCAAAATCGCAGAGTCCAGTGCTGATGTCTGTGCTCCTCTGAATGCACACAGTCCTGCCTAAAATGATCTGATCCAGGCTTCTGAATAAGCTGCACACCTGTCTGTCTGTGGTGAATGAGAGTCACTGCCAGTCAGAACCTTCGTGTCCTGTGCATGCTCTGATCCTGTCTTGGAGTGACTCCTGACTCTTTCCCCCAGTTCAGTAGGCTGGAGGCGAACTGGTGAGATTAGGGCACATTATGTGGTGGACAAAATCTGTAGTCAGTCCCTTAGTTGGATCCCAGATACACCACTGGAAGTATCTTCATCTTACCTTGGAACTGGGTCACCCTTGCTGAAACCTGAGGCACTTCCAGACGGCTCATTTATTGAGTGTTTGTCCTGATTGGTTTGCAGGGAGGTTAGATGATGGTTGCTATTTCATGAGCATTTATTCTGATTTGTTGGAAAGTGTTATCCCATACTTCCCAGAGCATTTTCCCATCAGTTCCCTTATGGGAAAATGTCCAGACGTTTGGGGGTAGCAGGTTTGTTGCAGGATAACTCCCAATCAACTATAATTGTGCAACCATAATTAGCTGGTGTGTGATTCAGTCCCACCCCCCAAAATAAGCATAGCTCTAATTTTTGGGATGTTCTGTCAGGGCTGATGATGCTGTGAAGAGGAAATCCAGTTTGGGGAAGATGAGGGTTGTGTGTGTGTGTGTGTGTGTGTGTGTGTGTGTTGCACAGGATGCTGGGAAATGTCATAGCTCAGCTTCAATTCCCGGCATCTCCCAGTGGGACTGGGAATGTTCGGATTCTGGAAAGGTCTGGCTCTGTTTAAGGCAGCTTCCTATTTTTATTATTTTTCTACCTTCACGAAGGTGACCCAAAGCAACACACAAAAACAGCAAAACACTAAAACCCAAGTATAGCAAGTGACTGGCATTAGCCTCCTGTGTCCCTTTTTGCACCTATTGATAGCTATTAGTCACAAAGTGGATGGAATTAAATGAGGGTTGGGCAAATTCATGGAGGAGAAGGCTACCCATGGCTGCTGGCCACAATGGCTATGCTCTGCCTCCACAGTTAGAGACAGTAATCTTTCTGCAGGAGGAGAGAAGAGCTCTGGTGCTCAGGTCCCACTTGCAAGTAACTGAGTAACTGCCTTGCATGCAGAAGGCCTCGAGTACAACTTTCGACAGCAACTCCAGTAAGAGCGGGGAATGTCCCTTGTCTGAAACCCTGGAGAGCTGCTGCCAATCTGTGTAGACAACACTAAGCTAGAAGACCAAGTGGTAGATACCATGGCTTGTTATAAGGCAACTGCTCACGACAGCACAGGAAATTAACTTTCCAAGTGGTTGAATGTATGAAACTGTCCTATTGAGACAGGCTACTGGTCCATCTAAGTGTGTCTTGCTCTGGCTGTTCCAGCTACCAGAGGAGATCTTTCCTGTTCCATCCTTGCTGCCTCATCCTTCTCTAACCAGGACTCAACCTGGGACCTCCTGTGGGCTGAGCTTGCGCTCAGCGTTCAAAATCCGGCCACTTGCACCCAAGTGAAGATGCCTGGGTGGCAGGATGACGCCTGACGTCTCCACCATCTGGAGGTGCATGCCTGGGGACGCTTGGATATTGACTGTTTTCACACACTAGCAACACATCCTATATAATTGTATCCGTTATATTTTATCTGCACAATCAGAATGAATTTCGGGAACCAAAAAGTTGCATTGTCCAGCTCAAAAGTGGCAACTAGGCCTTCTGTTTTGGAGACCATAACCCTGGTTTAAGGAGCCATTTGGCACCTAGCTTATGTATCTTGAATTTGAATTATGTATCTCTGCACCTGTGTTGAAATTTCTCCTAGCATTGAAATGGTCCCCTGTGCTCACCTCCTCTTTAGCCAGGCTGTTTCCCTTCTGCTTTCTGAAAAACTCCCCTTGTTCCAGAAGCGTTTGTTGTTGGGTTCTGCAAGGTGCACATACGTGGTTTTCTCCAGGGAAGCTGACGTGCCCAGAAGCAGGAATGGAGCTGGCTGGCTGGCTGGCTGGCATCCAGGCCCAGCGAGAGGGACCTGTCTGCGCAGTAGCAGCAGGAGCTGTCCAGGAAAACTCCTTGACTGGTGCCAAGAATCGGATAGTGATGTCAGTGTTGGAAGGAGGACAGGCTAGCCAGCCCTTCTGCTTTTGCTCTCTGCGGAGTGCAAAGTGTCTGAGGGGGTCTGCTTAGTCTCTGCCCCTCTTTTTTGTTCCTTTTTGCTGAGTAGATATTCCAGCCTTGATGGGTTGCTTCTCTCAGCCACGGAAGAATGCCTTGGTGCTAGATTTTGCAAGCGCTGTGAGGAGCACGGATTAGCCAGGTTTTATATACATTGGATGCCTTTACATACATGCAGGTCAATTGTAGAGTTGGAAGGGATTCCTGAGGGTAATCTAGTACAACCCCCTGCAATACAGGAAGAGGTCCCCCCCCATTTTTTTATTTATTGGATTTATATACCACAAGGACCCTGTCAGGTAGGTTGGGCTGAACGAATGGGACTGGTCCAAGACCACCCATTTATGCCCCCATCTTCCTTCAAGGTGCTCACAGTGGCATTTGTCGTTCTCCCACTCCTAATTTCGTCTTCCCAACAGCCCTGCGATGTAGGACAGGCTGAGAGATGGTGACTGGCGATCCAAGGTCTGAGTGGGGATTTGAATCCTGGTCTCCCAGGTCCTCCTAAAGCAGAGACATCACCTTGCCAACAAAGGTCCGTATAGTAAAAGCTATGGTTTTCCCAGTAGTGATGTATGGAAGTGAGAGCTGGGCTATAAAGAAGGCTGATCGCTGAAGAATTGATGCTTTTGAATTATGGTGCTGGAGGAGACTCTTGAGAGTCCCATGGACTGCAAGAAGATCAAACCTATCCATTCTTAAGGAAATCAGCCCTGAGTGCTCACTGGAAGGACAGATCCTGAAGCTGAGGCTCCAATACTTTGGCCACCTCATGAGAAGAGAAGACTCTCTGGAAAAGACCCTGATGTTGGGAAAGATGGAGGGCACAAGGAGAAGGGGACGGCAGAGGACGAGATGGTTGGACAGTGTTCTCGAAGCTACGAACATGAGTTTGACCAAACAGTGGGAGCCAGTGGAAGACAGGAGTGCCTGGCGCGCTCTGGTCCATGGGGTCACAAAGAGTCGGACACGACTAAACAACTAAACAACAACTCCCAGGTCCTCCTAGTCTAGCACTCTGACCGCTACACCATACTGCCTATGTTTGGTTTAGACCTTTGTGATCAGATGGAATAGATTCTAGGGATGGGGCACCTTTTTGGAACAGTGACAAGGTGTCTACAAGATCCAGGTGCTTCAACCTGAATATCCTGTGCAAAAAGAGGGTAAGGATTTTTTGGGGGGAGAAGCGCAGTGCAGCTTCTCACACAAAAAGTCTGCAGCGAGAAGACCACAACACTTACCTCTGAAATAATGGCTGCTATGATGTATTGCAGACTGAGGAAGGAGGGTGAATTAAATTAACTGGCCATTTAGTCATTTCACTTGCCAAGAATGCAATTTTTTCCAGCTTTCTTTGCACGTCTTTGAAGAATGCAATTTAACTGTGTTAATGTTGGGCATCGCTGCAGTTAATTGCATGCTCTGGAGTGAGCTCTTCTCCACCCCCGCCCCCGAGAAAGGTGGCCCTTTTTATCATCCGTAGGTAGCAGAAGGTTTAATTGGGTGCTTGAATAGCTATAAAATTAATCTGCGATAGGCACTGGGCACCCAGCCATGTGGTTCCCAGCCCATGCTGATAAACTTGTTATGGAACCAGGAAACATTTTCAGTTGGAATGGTAACAAAATTATTTGGCGCAGGGTTGTAAAAAGGAGTTGGCTTGCGGAGGGTTTCCTCACGGAGGAGGCTGAGATAGCCGTGTAAATTCCTGTTGGCCACCGTGTTTCTCAAGGACATTTGCAGATAATGGCCAAACACTTTCAGGAAATGCTGTGGCTCTCTTGCAAGTGGGCACTTTGGAGGTTAGTGTGGCCCACATCAGGGTCTCTCTGCACATGCTCAAGAAACCACCAAATATCAGCGCTTGTTGTTATTATATGTTGGTTGTCTGGTCCTTTTTGTTAATGACGATGACAACTTTGGGTGCACAGACTAGTAGGAAGGGCCAGGTTCTGACTCTCACTCAGCCATGACACTCACTAGGTGGTCTTGGGGCCTGTCCCTTTCTCTCTCTTTCCGCTTAACCTACCTCAGACAGTTGTCGTGGGGATAAAATGGGAGGGGAGAGAACCACGTACGCCACCTTGAGCTCCTTGGAGAAAAGGCGGGATAGAAATGTAATAAATAAATAGTTGTATTAGTGTGTGAAATTATCAGACCCTCCAAGTGTCCCTATTTTCCAGGGACAGTCCCGGATTTACAGAAGCCATCCCAGTTTCTGATTTGATCCCAGAATGTCCTTTTCCTTAGGACGTCCTTATTTTCATCAGAGAAATGTTGGAGGGTATGGAGTTATGCAAACCCAGAGCCAAGGAGATAAGGAGATGCAGCCGTTAGAAGACATCTAAAGGCAGCCCTGTATAGGGAAGTTTTTAAATGTTTAATGTTTCATTGTTTTTATATATGTTGGAAGCTGCCCAGAGTGGCTGGGGCAACCTAGTCAGATGGGTGGGGTATAAATGTTGTTGTTGTTGTTGTTTATAAATGGAGTAGTAGTAGTAGTAGTGGTTGTTATCAGAGTAAAGTGGTACCTAGGGTTACATACGCTTCAGGTTACAGATGCTTCAGGTTACAGACTCCGCTAACCCAGAAATAGTACCTCGGGTTAAGAACTTTGCTTCAGGATGAGAACAAAAATTGTGCAGCAGTGGTGTGGTGGCAGTGGGAAGCTCCATTAGCTAAAGTGGTGCTTCATGTTAAGAACAGTTTCAGGTTAAGAATGGACCTCCGGAACGAATTAAGTACTTAACTTGAGGTACCACTGTAATGTTGGAGAGTTTGTATTGTTGTTGTTATATTCCTGTGGTCGATATGACCATAATTTGTCAAAACAACAACAATCAAAAAGTTACATAAATAAAAAAAAATTTTTTTTAAGGCGTCCTACTTTAGTTCCTCCAACAAGCCAACCTTCTGTTTTGCTTTGCTGCAGGGGAACCATCTCCAAGGCCTTCTCTGGAGCTGACCTGCGGGCCGGGCCCAGGCCAAGTGACCTTAGAGCCTAACCAAACCCTGGAGCTGCGCTGCAACTTGGCTCCCGTTGAGGAGCTCCTCAACATTACCTGGAAGAAGAATGGGCTCCCACTAGCAGAAAAGGACAACTTCCGCCTCCTCCCCAATGGATCTTTGCTCATTTTGTCGCCAGGGGCGTCACCTTCAGCGGAGGGAGCCTTCCCAGGAGGGTCCAGCGCAGAGGGAAATTACTCCTGCGTTTCCCATGGATCTTTCGGCTCAGTCGCTGGCCAGACCGTTGTACTTCGTGCGCCGAGTGAGTATCCGGGTTTTTGTGCCCACCTCCTTTTAGCATGAAAAACAACTCCTTCTGAAAACAAGGGGAAACAGCAAGTTTTATTTACTGTTTTCTAAAAACAATTTCAAGTAGGCAAGTTCTGTATTGCTTTTAAAGGGGTGTTGTTTTAACACCGCAGTACTTAATGTTTTGTGAGAGGGCTCAGAATATAGATAAATAAATTTAAATAAGCAATGCCAGTAAAAATGAAAGCCCAGTCATTGATGAATCCCAGTCAGGGAATCTTTTAAAAGAATCTTTTAAAAGATTTCCTGACTGAGATTTAAAGAGTATTTAAGGGGCTCTTTCTAAAAACAAGAGGAAGAAGCAAGTTTTATTTACTGTTTTCTTAAAAAAAGAGAAATGGGGTAGGCAAGGCATTTTTATGATTGGTTTGTATTGGTTTTAAAGGTGTGTTTTTTTAATGCAAACATCGCTGTACTTTATGTTTTGTGAGAGGGGTCAGTATATAGATAAATAAATTTAAATAAGCATTGCCAGTTAAAATGAAACCCCAGTCACTGATGAACCAGGGAATATCTTGTTTGAACCTTGCCTCTGCCACAAACTTCACTCAGTGTTCTTTGGCAAACCTCTCTCTCTTTTTCTCTGCCCCAACCTTCCTATCATAGGCTTGCCATATTTCAAAAAGTGAAAATCCAGACACAAAAGTTGCTGAGCTTCTTTTGGCCAAGTTGTTTGGCCAAATTTTTGAGGAATTTTTTTAAAGGAAATTAGCAAAAAAATCAACACTTCCGACATGGGTTGCCATACGCATTTTTACCGATCTTCAGAAATTCTGCTCAGATGCTATTTCTGACAGATGAGTCCTGGATATGTCTGGGAAATTCCGGACGTATGGCAATATCTGTAATATTGAGAGAGTAACATTGACCTACCTTGTAAGGTCATTGTAATGGCTGTGGGGAAAAAGAAGGAAAAAGTCCATAAAGCACTTTGAGCCATCTAAGAAGGCTGCATGGCTCCTGAAGATGATTCGATGGCTCATGCAGAAGAGGCAGGATATCTCCCTGATGAGCTTTCGCTCCTGGTGCAGCTTAGCATCTTCTGAATGAGAGGGGGAAATATGCCCATTGTGATGGATGAAAGTCACCTGCTGGGTCGTTTTGACCATGAGCTCTTTGTGTCCTCCATTTAGCATTCAGCCTGTGTGAGCGCAGGAAGGATCCCAGAGAAATCCATCTTGCAGCAAGTGGGACGTAATGTTGTGTTCGATCAAAGGACTTGTTTACACGCAGAAGGGTTCATTCCTCATGCTGGGGGTAGGGAGGGCTGATTAATATTTGGCAATATATCATTTATGTCAGCGAAGGTGTATATAATAAAATATATGGAGAATGGCCCCACATTTTGCATGCAAAAGGTCCCAGGTTCAAGACCCAGCTCAGGGGGCAAATATTCTCACCTGGTTTGAGGCAGCTTCCTGTAGCTCAGTGGTAGAGCACCTGCTTGGCTTGCAGAAAGACCCAGGTTCAATCCCTGTTGCCTCCTAATATGCCTGGGAATGTCCCTGTAGGGGTGCTGCCAATCAGTGTAGATGTACCAAGGGCCTGGCTTTGTGTAGGGTAGCTTCTTCTGTTCCAGGGGCTGCAGTTGAGAGGTGGAGCATCTTTGTAAAGTCCCTTTTGATAAAGGTTCAGTCCCTGATGTCTCCACTTAGGGTTGGGGAAGACCTACCAGTCAGTGTTGACACTACTCCGCTTAGGTGGGCAAGACTGTGTTTATGGCATCTTCCTCCACTCCGGGGGAAGCGCCACAGCTCAGCAGCAGAAGGTGCAGGCAGAAGGTCCAGGTTCATCCAGCATTTCCAGGGCAGGTGGAAAGGACTTCAGCATCCTGTCCTGAAACCGTGCAGATCTGCTCCCAGTATTGAGCTAGGTAGACCAGTGAGGCAGCTTTTCATGTTTTTTGGGGGGAAGGACTCAGCATCAGGGCCTTTGCTTTGCTTGCACAAGGTCTCAGGTTGAATCCTAGGTATCTCCAGGTAGGGCTGCCCTGTTTTTGCCTGCACAGTTTGAAATCAATCCGTGCAGGCCTTGCACAGCCTGAAAGGCACTGATGGTCAGCAGAGTGCTAAGCACCAGGCGCAGCAATCAGCTGATTGCCAGGCCTTGCACAGCACTTTGCAAGGCCCGCCCATTCGCTGAGCAGCTCTGCAACCCCCGACAATCAGCTGGTTGCCAGAGCTTGCAAAGCCATTTGTACAGCACGGCCCCTTTGGGCCGACCTGCATCTTTACCTGTTCCTCACCTGACATCATGAATGGTATCAGGTGCTCAATAGGTGGGGGAAACCAGGTGGGCCTCACAAAGCCCATAGGCTGGAGGCTCCCGACTACCAAGCAATGTAGTTCCACTTCCCCACCAAGACCTTGGCATTGATGCCCATGGGGCAGAGTGAGGAGAAAAATTGAACAGGCTTTATTGCACAATGGACATGATTCTTTGGGAGGGAGTGGCCCAATTCCCAGACTGGCCCATTCCCTGGGGCACACCTTTGTTTGGGATAACCCCTAGCTGGATGGTAGAGCACAGACTCGGAAAGTACTGTATAAAGCCCCAAATCCAAATCTCCAGCTCTCAAAGCAGCAGGATGGAAAATAACACTTTCTGACGAGACCCTAGACAGCCACTTCAGTAGTCAGTGGCTGGGCTCTGACATAACCTTAACTGGTTTAGCATCACATGCATGTCCTGTTTCGGTCGATTTCCAGAACCCATGGGGAAAGCACCAAGGCTGGTCTAGTGTTGCTGGACCATGGACAGCTCCAAGTGAGAAAATTACTCTGATAAACGTCAGGCTGAGACCTTTTATGTCTCTGTCTTTGGGCTACCTCCTCCAGACTTTGTCCCAGGCAACCAATGCTCCTCCCTTCCACAGCCTCCGTCCTAGTGCACTCTCAGCACTGCTGAGACGACGACGATGTGCAATGGGAAGCAAGCATCTTGCTTCTTCTGACTTAGGAGAAGGTGTCCTTGAGGGTCCAGGTTCTGGCCCCATCAGCATTGGTTACCTGGGAGTTGTTCTGGGAGTTCTTGCCCAACTGACAGTGGTCTTTATGCTTTCCGCCGTCAGCTTTGAGTCCTGACCCAGACCTGGCTCCCCTTCTGGTGGCTCTGCAGCCTCTGACTCTGTGTCCAGATCAGTGCTGGATAAACAGGTCATGGTAGTGCATGGGCCTTGGGCTCACAAGCTCCCTTTCCCTTCTCCACTGAGGTTGCGTCAAGGAGATGGGAAGCGTCTGCTTCTGTTTTTCGCTAACCATGATTTGCTGACATTTGCAAACTCAGAACAGTGTTTAGTCTTGACTACAGTTTAGGGGAAAGAGCCAGGATCAGAAACCGTGGTTTGAGGTTGGCTGGTTTCTCTGAACCATGGTTAAGAATAAACACTGCAGTTTGTTGAAAATGGGGATGACAGCTTCTGATCTCCTTGTGGCTGTGTCAAAGGGAGGGAGAGCTCACCAGTCTGTTCACATAATGCTAAACTATGGATTAGTGTCACCTCCAAACACAGCCAATTCTGGGAAGGGCCACAGCTCAGTGGTAGAGCATCTATTTTGTGTCCCAGGTTCAATCCTTGGCAGCACCTGTCCCCTGAAACCCTTGAGCGTCATTGTCAATCAGCATCAATGATAGTGAACTGGATAGTGAATGGTCTGGCTCAATATAAGGCAGCTTCCTATGCTCCTGTGGGCTAGATAGACCGGGGGTCAGATTTGGCAGAAGGTAGTTTTCTATGTTACATATGAATAATAATGCTCAGATTTTTCTTTGCTGGCCCCAGTTGGCCACTATGGAACCAATGGAGTAAAACTTAGAGGAAATTATCCAGCAATTGCTCCAACTTTTCCTTGAGCACAGATGTTCCTTCTTCTGTCCTTGTTTGCCATTCAGGCTGCAGAGGCAGAACTGGCTCTTAGATGTGCTCACCCTCCCTCTCGGGCCTTGCCTCTTGGCCTTTGGACAAAAGAATGTGGTCTCTAGAAGCCATTCGGGAGGTTTAGAAATTCCTTTCCCTCTCTCTCTGGAAGCAGATCTGTTCACACTTTCAGCTGAACCAAGGAAGGGGAGTCATGTTGACACCTGTTATGATGGGCAAATGGGGTTTTAGTGTGTGTGTGTGCTGTTCATGTGATGTTGACATGAAATAAGACATGTATGATTAATTGTTAAAATAATATTTAATTATCCTACCTGGCTTTTTCTCTATAATCAGCTCAGGGCTGCAAGGAGTACAGGGAAGTTGTCCCATTTTATTGTCACTAGAGGTGGATAGATCAGCTTGTTTCTGCTCTTTGCCAGTTTCACGCACGATCATTTGTGAGTCTGTTCAGTTCCATATTAACCTGAATTTCTGAATGTATTTTCTTACAAAGTGACCCTCAGGGATCCTTCCAGCTCGACAATTCTATGAAAATGCACACTCCTTTCTTTCAGAGTATGCATTTCTAAACATATTTTATCCTAAAATACACACATTATATGCCTTCGGGCACTTTTTTTAAGCTGAAAACTGTGTTACAACATTTAGGAAGAAGTGTGGAGGGCGGCAGTATTCGCACCTGCACATTCATCCAGGAGTGGCAGATCAGATCAGTTCATATGAGAATTCAGGAAGAGTGAACTCTTCAAGCATCCCTAATCCTTACAACAACCCTGCAAGGTAGATTAGGCTGAAAGAGAGGTGGTTGAGCAACATCACCCAGTGGCCAGTTAAGAGATCCAAGTGCGCATTGTGCCTGGCCAGCCTGCCTGGTCAAATATTGCCTAATTTGTCATCTGTTGACTGTGATCAAATATTGCCCAGTTGTTCCTGAAACCAAACACTATTCTGTAGGTGGCAGTTTGCCTTTCCCCTTTCTTAGCAAGGGCAGAAGTGAGGGGGGTTGCCTTCCCTGTACTTTTGCCCCAGTCATGGGCAAACCAAGCAGCATAGCAAAGAATTTCCTCTGTCCTGCAGGCCACCGACTGCAGGAATACCAACAGAAACAGTCATTAGTAGCCAAAATCACTGCCCAAGACTGCCCGGGACTCCACTCTGCTTGCTGCAGGCAACTAGGAGTGCCTGCTCCATATCGTATCTGTCTACCTGCACTCTAAAGCACCTGTGAAGGACTCTAGCGGTGACTGGGAACCTATGGTGCTCCAGATGTTGTTGGACTACAACTCCCATAATCTCTGGTCATCCTGGCTGTGGATGATGGGAAATGGAGTCCAACGACGCTTGGGGGACCACAGATTCCCCATCCCTGGATTTTAGATTCAGATACAGAAACTTAATCCCCCCCCCCAAAGTTAATCTTGTTGCACAATAACTATTCCATAATTTTGGTTTTTGTGCGTGATTCGCATATGTGGCATCAAAATTATATGCATCAAAACATGTCGATGATTAAAGTACCCCCTTGGTTCTAATAAAATGAATGCTTTAACCAGGGTTTCCCAAACTTGGGTCTCCAGCTGTTTTTGGACTACAAATCCCATCATCACTAGCTAGCAGGACCAGTGGTCAGGGATGATGGGGACTGTAGTCCAAAACCATCTGGAGGCTGAAAGCTTAATGGGTCATTGATCAGATTTGTTAAAAACCAGTTCGGTACCTAATCCAAGACCCCATCCTTGACCAAACACAAAACTCCTTCCACTGTTTTAAAATACAAAATTTTGCCACTTTTACTTATGCGCACAGTTGAACACATGTGTTGGTAAATAAACAGCACAGCTGGCACTTTTTAGTATTATTTCGTCCTTTGGGGGGAAAAACCCTCCCAAGTGCTCCCACGAGCTTTGATGTAACCGAAGAAGAGAGAAATTGTAAGGAACTAAAACTTCTTCTGTTTCTCTGCCCCCTTTCCTGCCTCTCTTCCACTGCCACCCTTGACCTCCCACCTCCAGCTTTGTCTCAATTTTTTCAACATCCAGAGTCCCAGACGGTGAAAGAAAATGGGATGGCCCGCTTTGAGTGTCGGATCAAAGGGCTGCCTCCTCCAGTGATCACCTGGGAGAAGGACCATGTGGCTGTGCCTTCAGAGGCCAGGTGAGCTGGGCTGGAGTTTGCAGCCTCCAGGTGGATAAAGACTGTTTTTTGGAGACATCAGCTCACATTGGCAATATAGATAATTCATCAGTCCAAATACAAATACTATCCTTATTGGCAATTATGAGCTGCCCTTCACCCTAAGGTCTCAGGGTGGGTTACAGCAGTAAGGAAACTGATAGAAACAGTTTAAAGCAACCTCAAATTACATCAGTAATCTGGGTCCTAAAAATGTTAACAGTCCAGAAGATGTTATCCCAACGGTTGGGGAAGGGCTAAAGCTTAGTAGTGGAACATCTGCTTTGGATGAAGGTTCAGTCCCTGGCTGCAACTCCAGGTGGGGCTGGGAGAAACCCCCTCCCTGAAATCCTGGAGAACTGCTGCTAGCCAGTGTAGGCAACACTGAGCTAGATGGACCAAGGATATGATTCAGTATAAGGCAGCTTCCTATGTTCCTAAGCAATAACGGCTGAGAGGCCGCTCCTGTTTTTAAAGAGAGGGGTGCGGGGCAGGACCATTCAGTTAGAAGCATAGAATAGTAGAATTGGAAGGGACCCTGAGGCTCATTTAGTCCACCCCCTGCAAGGCAAGAATATGCAGCTGTCCCATAGAGGGATTGAACTTACAACCTTGGCATTATCAGCACTATGCTCTAACCAACTGAGCTATCCAGGCCCTGTGTGGTTCTAGAACGCAGGGAGTGATACATCCTGAGTCCAACTCTTCAACCCTCTTTCCACCCCCAACCTAGCTGGCTCTACCAATTGACCAGCTGCATCTTTGGTTACCCCGGGAACATTGTTTTCGGGAGTCAACCCAGGATCTGACCCAGCCAACTCCCACTCCAGTACAGAGGTGTCCAGCCAAAACAGTGTGGGACTCTCTTTCTCTCCCCACTCACTGTGCTCACCCCTGACTTGGAGGTCCTCCTCCTCTGACAGATCCTGACATTCCCACCCCCATAACACCGAGAGATAACGCGTCGTTACACGTGCATGTGAATCAGCCCCATGAGCTGTGCTGTATGGCTGATGTATTGGCTCGACCTAGCATGGCAGTCTATATATATATATATCCCCCTGTCCTTTGATTCCCACAGGTTCATTGAACTCCCCAACGGGGTCCTCCAGATCATAGACGTGCAGGAGAGCGATGCTGGAACGTACCATTGTGTGGCAACCAACTGGGCAGGGCAACGCTACAGCTCTGGAGCAGTTCTCAGCATCTCAAAAGGTAGGAGTTATACGAGCTAAATTTTCTTTGTTCTTTTAATAGCTAGATCTGTCAGCCTTAGTGACATTTGATTCTTTCTTCCATCCTTTTTTTATGGCCCAGCACCAATAAGAGTAACTCTGAGCTGGGTGTCTGCAACCACCACAATCTTTTACATACCTTCCAGTGACATCCCCTAAGCAATGCTACATTGGGGCCCAGAGGCATTGTGGGAAAATAAAGATGGTGGCAGCTACAGTCACTTGACTTTGCATTTTGCCTGTGGCTTTTTTAAAAAAAAATGCTGCCGCCTGTAATTAACAATCCCTGCCACTACCAGATAGGCTTGTAGTGAGGAGGGGAATGGGGACCAACTCTTAGGATGGTGCTAGGAGAGTCACTAGGGCAGCGCTGAGGAACTTTATGGAAAATGCAATTTAAGTCACTCCGAAAGAAAATACTAGAGCACTCAAAATCATTTGTACATGCATAGAAATGAGTAGATTTAGCTGAAAGGCAGCACATGTGTCTGTGACTGCCATGAAGGGACCTTGCACTTCTGGGTTTGCCACTACATAATTGAGGAGTGCTCTTATTTGCAAAGGGAAAACGTCTCTGTCAGTGGAGCTTGTCTATTATTACTTGAGCCTTACATTGATGAATCCTAAGAATGTTCTCGATAAAAACTGAGGTTCTCCCAGCAACACTGGGTGGCATTCAGCATGGTTTTCAACAGTGAAATTAGCGAACATGATTAAGTTCGGTACATCAATTTAAGTAAGTCTACTCTAACTTCGAGTTACATACCACTCAGAGTTTGAAAACCACTGTTTTTAAGCAGTTGCCAGGCTATTTTTCTTCTCTTTTCTGAGGAAAAGAAATCTCCACACCCTGAGGCAGACAAAAGGCAGACATGACTGTGGGTGACAAAAACTCATCTGTGGATGATGAATACGATGTTTTGTTTTTAATAAGAAACACCGCCCTCTGAAAGATCATTGACATCTCTGGCAGGTGGCTGATCCTTTGCTCCTCTCCTTATTTCCAAAGCAGTCAAGGAAGGCAAGTGGCATCTGGTCAGAAACCATTTCTGTTGCTGTTGTTAAACAAAGCTTTATACATACATGCACTGGCAGCCTCATACCTGAAGCTGCTCAGGAATTCTATGAAACCCCCCCCAAATTGTGCTGTATAGAAACCTGTGGGTTAAACCACAGAGCCTAGGACTTGCCGATCAGAAGGTCAGCGGTTCGAATCCCTGCAACGGGGTGAGCTCCCGTTGTTTGGTCCCTGCTCCTGCCAACCTAGCAGTTCGAAAGCACATCAAAGTGCAAGTAGATAAATAGGTACCGCTCCGGCGGGAAGGTAAACGGCATTTCCGTGCGCTGCTCTGGTTCGCCAGAAGTGGCTTAGTCATGCTGGCCACATGACCCGGAAGCTGTACGCTGGCTCCCTCGGCCAATAAAGTGAGATGAGCGCCGCAACCCCAGAGTCGGTCACGACTGGACCTAATGGTCAGGGGTCCCTTTACCTTTAGAAACGTTCAGCCTGCCATCTTGTTTCAAAATAGCACCCAATCGTATCCAAACATAGGCAGAAACTTGCTCCTCCATCTCAGGAACCATCAGGCAAAATTTGTTTGCAGTATCTAAAGAGGTGTCTAAATGCATATAGCAAACAAGCCACTTTTCAAAACACATATGCTTGCCTCTGGGAACTACAATCCCCAGAGTTCGCTCTGAAGAGGGATTGATTGTTAAACTGCTCTGGGAATTGGAAGTTCTGTGAGAGGGGAATAGGAGTCTTCTAAAAATTCCAGTTTTCCTTTCCCTGGATGGAGAGGGGACCCCCACCCCCAGCCCCTTGGCTATTTCAAAGGCGAGCTCATCCCCGTCGAAGGTCACCGAAAGGGGTTTGCTACCCTGTTGGTGGCAGAGATGCAGGCAGCAACTGTGAGTCGGGGCTGTTGCCGTGCGAGCGGCAGATGTTTCAGGCCGGGCAGACGTCACGGTGTAAATTTCCAGACGCTCCTTGGGGAACTGCATTCCAAACGGGGAGAAGGATCTGGGGGCCTTTTACAAGCAGATCTCTTTCATGGCCCTGAAATGGAGAAGTTGTCGTCACTTAGAGGAAATATCTCCACAAAGAGAGAGAGAGAGAGAGAGAAGGGAGAGAAAGAGAAATAGCACAGCCCTGGTCATTTAAGTCCCTGTCCAGACCTCAGAGAGGGTGACCAAGAACTCCCCACCTTCTGCCCTCTCCAAAGTGGGATGCCAAATACAGTGGTACCTTCGTTCTGGAGGTCCATTCTTAACCTGAAACTGTTCTTAACCTGAGGTACCACTTTAGCTAATGGGGCCTCCTGCTGCCGCTGCTCTGCCACCGCACGATTTCTGTTCTCATCCTGAAGCTATTAACTTGCAGTACTATTTCTGGGTTAGCGGAGTCTGTAACCTGAAGCGCCTGTAACCCGAGGTACCACTGTATGAGCCAGCCACAGACTGTCTTCTGAAAAGAAAACTGGTGAGCCAGTGTGGTGTAGTGGTTAGGAGCGATAGACTCGTAATCTGGGGAACTGGGTTCACGTCTCCGCTCCTCCACATGCAGCTGCTGGGTGACCATGGGCTAGTCACACTTCTCTGAAGTCTCTCAGCCCCACTCACCTCACAGAGTGTTTGTTGTGGGGGAGGAAGGGAAAGGAGAATGTTAGCCACTTTGAGACTCCTTAGGCTAGTGATAAAGCGGGATATCAAATCCAAACTCTTCTTCTTCTTGTGTCAGACCCCAACTCAATAGGAAAGTGTGCATGTGTGGATTCAGCATAGAAACAAAGAGAGCAGGGGTAGGGAATGTGGCCCTCCAGTCCTCTCTGCCTGGCCCTTAGCCACACCCCTTACCAGTCCTGCTTGAAGTGTTTTTGCCTGACCAGAATGTGTCTTTGAACTCTGATAGCACCTCTCACTTGCTTAGGCAGAGGGTAGAGGGGTGGAGTGTTTTGAGTGCATGTAGAAACTAGCTGACTGTGCAAAGATAGCATTTGTTTGTTGCCCCGCCCACTTTGGCATCTGGCCACGCCCACCACTGGCATGTGCCCCCCCTCCATCCCAGGGTTGCCCAGAAGGAACCTTAACCCTCGCATCCTCCTCCTCCCCCACCCCGCCTTCTCTTCAATCTGCTGCTGCTTTGCTTTGTCCTGAGGGAGGAGAAGCTCTGCTGGGCTGAAGCTGCTGGCTCTCTACCCTGCTGCTCATATCTTGTACAAATATTTGATGTTGGAAGCACGTTTTTAGTGGTGACAGAGCCACAGGAAGCGATTCTGCCAGCAGCAGCCTCCCAGCGTCTTCTCCAGTAATGGCAGGCTTACCCAGTTCTTTAGCTGCAAAGCCATGGCACCCACCCAACCCCAATTGTTGCATCGGGGGGCCTACTCCTCAGAAGTGGCACCCACCCTGTGGAATGCCTTCCCATCAGGTGTCAAGGAGATGAGTATCTACATAACCTCTAGAAGACATCTGAAGGCAGCCCTGTATAGGGAAGCCTTTCAATGTGTAATGTTTTATTATGTTTTATATATGTTGGAAGCCTCCCAGAGTGGCTGGGACAGCCCAGTCAGCTGGGTAGGGTACAAATAAAATTATTATTATTATTATTATTATTATTATTATTATTATTATTAGATGGGGGAGACCCATGTATACCACCTTAAGCTCCTCAGAGATAAAGGTGAGATATAAATTAAGTAAGTAAGTAAGTAAGTAAATAAGTTAATAAATAAATAAATAAATAAATAAGCAAATAAATAGATAAATAGCACACAAGAAGGAATTGAGCACAACATTCTCCTCACTTGCAAATCCCAGCAGGGATTCTGCCTCCAGATCATTGCACCTTTTCTTCATATCAAACAGGGAGCTGTCCATGACTGCAAGCCAGAAATATAGGAATTTGCCTTATACTAAACCAGACAGTTGACTCAGTATTTGTCTGCACTGAGGGCTTATCCACATTTAACTTTTCCTTTGAGCTTTCTAGGCACAGCTTTCCTGGACCCCCCCCCCCGCTCCGCTTTTCATTGTAAAACCCGATCTTTACCACTAAGTCAGAGCAAACGGCAATTTGGGTTTTCTGTGGATTGCTGTTTGCTCCAATCCAGCAGTAAAGAGCAGGAATTCTCTCTGAGAATTCAGACAGGAGTCAATTCCCAGTCTTGTTTTGAGGTGCCGGCAATTGAACCCAGGACCTTCTGCGTGCAAGGCAGATGCTCTGTCACTGGGCCACGGACCTTCCCCAAGAAAGCTCCTACCTGCACCTGTTTTGTAATTCCACCAATACAAACATCTTCATTCCACCCTTCTTCCACAGAGCTCAAGGCAGCTTGCAAGATTTTCCCCCAGTCCTCATTTTATCCTCAACATCAACCCTGTGAGGTAGGTTAGGCTGAGGTCACTCACTGAGCTTCATAGCTGAGTTGGGGATCTGAAACCTTTTTATAAGTCAAGGCCGAAATTCTGTGAAATGTAATCAGTTGGGAATTGCAGGCCTGGACAAAAGTGGACATTGTCTCTCTCCCTGCTGCCCTCTTCTCTCTCTTTCTCTGTTGCCCCCCTTTATCCCCCATTTTTTCATGAAACCAGGGTTGCCCTCAGGTTCCTCCCTTCTTCCAACAACCCCACAGCACAGATGAATCTTGGAGTGGCCTTAAGAGTCAGTTTTGAGAAACTAGCCCCAGCAGAGGCCTGCCCAGGCAGAGACGGGTGGCTGCTGCCATTGCCATTGCCTCTGCCCCCCAACCCCTGCATTTCGCAAATGCTCAGCCCCACACCACTTGCGTTCCAACATGGCTCGCTTGCTGGTGGGGAGGCCGGCGACCGGCTTGGATATCAGCTGTCAGCAACAGCCTGAGACGGTGAGATATCAGACAACTGAGCCCTGCTCTGCTGTTTTGCTGTGAACTTTCTCACCCTTTTCCAGAGGAGGAGCTTGAGGTTTTATTCAGCCCCCGAGAACCTCCCCTGAGAATAGATTCAGGCTTTTGGAGCAGCTGTTCAATAGAGGGAAGGGGAGGGAAAAGGATCCGTCAGTGATTTTCTACCATTCTTCTGCAGATAGCGAGAGACCCATTTTGAGGTCACTGCAGAGGAGCTTTCAAAACTCAGCCTTTCTCCACCCACCCTTTTCCAAGGGAGGGGGCACACTGTACAGTCCTTGTCCATTGGGAAACAAAAGGAGGTTTTACAGAAACCTTCATTCTTTATCACATAATTAGTTTTGCAAGTTTTAACCTGTTTAACCAGAAGATTAAGCAATGGAAACGTGGGAAGGAGGGAGGGAGCGATTTTGATCAACGAGAGGATGCTCTCAATTGGTGAGCCTGAGAATTAAGTGTTTGCTTCTCAAAGTAATGTTGACTCTGATTGGTCATTGCAGTAAGGAAAATGAGAAAGGGGGGCAGCTTTTGTTGCTGGAAGAGTAAATTGTCTCACATGTCTCCTGGTATCTCAAACAAGACGGCAACGTTGAGCATGAGGTGACGGGCTGATTTGTTTAAATTGAGGTGAGTCCTGAATTAGGAGGGACACTGGTGGCGCTGTGGTCTAAACCACTGAGCCTAGGGCTTGCCGATCGGAAGGTTGGCGGTTAGAATCCCCACAACGGAGTGAGCTCCCAGCGCCTGCCCACCTAGCAGTTCGAAAGCACGTCAAAGTGGAAGTAGATAAATAGGTACTGCTCCAGCGGGAAGGTAAACAGCGTTTCTGTGCGCTGCTCTGGTTCGCCAGAAGTGGCTTAGTCATGCCGGCCATATGACCCGGAAGCTGTCTGTGGACAAACGCTGGCTCCCTCAGCCTATAGAGCGAGATGAGCGCCACAACCCCAGAGTCATCCGCAACTGGACCTAACGGTCAGGGGTCCCTTTACCTTTACTGAATTAGGAACCAAAAGAGAGTTTTGCTGGATCAGGCTAATGGCCCATTTGGTCCAGCATCCTGTTCTCACAGTGGTAGAGGCCTTGTAACAGAGTAAGCACACAGGTTTCTGTAACTTGGAAGGGTAGGCTGCCATCCTATTGTTTGGTGCTTAAGGTAAAAAGGGGAGTGGAGCAGGCAGAATAAGGGTGACAGGCCCTTGGATCAGCAGCAGAGCTCATGTTTATATGCAGAAAGTCCCAGGTTTGATCCTTGGTACCGCAGATTAAAACTCTGTGTGTGTGTGTGTGTGTGTGTGTGTGTGTGGTGAAGCCTTCCAGATGTTGCTGTACTCCAGCTCACATCATTCCTGACCGTGCCGAGGGGAGCTGGAGTCCAACAACATCAGGAAGGTGACAGTATTGTCCACACTGACTGGCAGCAACTCTCTGGGGTTCCAGACAAGAGTCTTCCCCAGCCCTGCCAGGAGATGCAGCCAGGGATTGAACCTGTGACCTTCTGCATTCCAAGCAGATGCTCTGCCGCTGAGCTGCAGCCCCTTTCCCTAAAAAATAAATCAATATTCCGGTTCTCATGATTTTGAATAACAGAGTGATTCAATTAGGAACATAGGAAACTGCCTTGCGCTGAGTCATAGCATTGGTCCATCTAACTCAGTATTGCCTACACAGACTGGCAGTGATCCTCCAGGATTTCTATCTGGAGATTTCTATCTGGAGATGCCAGGGATTGAACTTAGGACCTTATGCATGCAGGTGCTCTGCTGTGGAGCTACAGTCCTTTGCCATGAACAGGATCCCACTTGTGCTGTAGTCACTATGAGTGAGTCCTTCACTCATAGGCATCCAATTGAAAGCAGCTCTGGGCCTGGAAGAACCAGATTATTTTCCTGAAAGCTTGGCTTGCTTAGATTTTTAATTTTTTTATTTACAGATATATACATTTCACTGATTTTACAATCATTTTGACATTTTAAAACTTGACTTCCTTCCACCTCTTTCTTCGGTTCCTTAAATTTATTTTTAATACCTTCTGCGTATCCAAATTCACTTAACTTACTCATTTATTTTTATCTTCTTTAAATATATACTCTTTAAATATATAATCCAGCCAGTGTTTTTATCTGTTTACGATTTATCTGTAAATATTCAATAAACCATTTCCACTCTTTTATAATAAAAAGTTTGTTATCTTGATTTCTTATTCTTCTGGTAAGTTTCACCATTTCTGCATATTCCATAAGTTTTTGTATCCATTCTTCCTTTGCTGGGACTTCTTCTTCTTCTTCCCTTGAAAGTTTGGCTTGCTTAGAATGCCTCGACTCCTTTATCTCATTTTTGGAAAGACTGAAAACCTGTCCTTTATTCCGCTAGGGCACCAGCTGCCTGTGACAGGGGATGTTGCCATCGTCGCCGTGCCAGAGAACGCCACCGTCGTGGTTGGAGAGAGCGCCGTGATGGAGTGCATGGCATCTGCAAACCCCACGCCATTTGTTTCTTGGATACGGGATGGTAAGTGAAGACCGCCAGCCCTTTTGATGCCAAGAGGCGACGGTGGGACCCTTTGGTTTCTGAAAAATCCATCAGGAGAGGAATGCGCCCCGAGAAGCTTTGCAAAGTGCAACTGAATACAAGGCGGCCGAGCTCTCCGTGGCCGGGGAACGGCTCCCGAGTCGAGCTCGCCCATTAACGTTAACGCGATACAAAAGCATGCGGTTCATTTATGTTGTTTGATCTGTAAAAGATACGGAATCCTAGTTGCTGGATGCCTTTTGATCTAAATTGGACACGGCCAATATCGAATGACACCCCCCAGCTCGAAAGGGCAGGGCAGGAGGGTCGGGCCTTTTGTAGACGTTTCGCGGGGCCGGGCGCATCTGTTGCTGCTTTGCAAAAATAACTCTCGGGTTATCTTTAGGATTATAAAAACGTGATAAAGATCGCTGAAGGCGCTGAGGATGGGGCAGGGCTGGGGCATGCCTCTCTTTTTAAGAAACGCGGCATTTCCCTGTGGGGGTGAAGGTGGCGTGTGAAAGTCACCAAAGCCCCAAATTCGATGCAGATCAAAGGATGCCCAAGCAAGAGCCAACCCACCTAATTTTGCAGGATTGGAGATTAGCAGGGCCTTTAACTTCAACCAACTGCCCTGCCCCAAACGTACAAGGCTGGGGAATTCTGAGGCCGAGGGTCTTAATGTGGCCCTCCATGTCTCTCTGCCTGGCCCTCTAGCCCTCCCCTAGGCAACACCCCTCTCCAGCCACCCTCTTTGTTGTGCCCAAGCCTCACCCCACACTGATGCCACTTCACAGCTTCCTAGAGTGTTTCTGCCTGGCTTGATGTGGCGTTGAGTAATGGCTGCTTGCCTGGGTGTAAGAAGATGCAGTGCTTTTTGTGTGCAATGGGACTCCTTGGTCCAGAGTATTGGCACTTCTTTTTTGGGGGCTGCCCATGCCAGCCATTATGAGCTGGCACCCACAGCCCTTTAAACAGTACCTCTTTGTGCAGTATACAGTTCAACTATGGAACTCCCTCCTGTTGGGATGCGTCCGGGGAGATGGGGGCAATTGGCTGGCCCCCAGCTGGCTCCAGCCCACTGTTCTCAGAGCAGCATCAAAACTGCGACTCAAGCCTCAGAGACTTTTAGAGACTGAGCAACCAAGCTAGCAGAGATAAGAACTCTTTGCAACAGAAGTAGCGGACAGAGGCATATGTAAGCATATTTACAAGCATTTATTCAGCATCAGGACAAAGGAAACACATGTCTGCTTCCCTTCGTGTCCAAGCAAACAGCATAGGGAAAAGCTATATACAACGGAACCTCCCAGCAGACGGTGCTGGAAGTAAACAGACATGTGACATACAACAACTCCACATGCCTGTTCTAGAGGTGGAACAGAACTATATCCTAACACCTCCCACAGGAGGCAGTGATGGCCACCAACTTGGATGGCTTCTGAAGAGGACTGGGCAAATTCATAAAGGAGAGGGCTATCGATGCCTTCTAGCCACGATGGCTATGCTCTGCCTCTATGGTCAGAGGCAGTAATGCTTCTGAATGCCAGTTCCTGGAAACCACGGGAGGGGAGAGCTCGGATCCTGCTTGTGGTTTTCTCACAGGCATCTGGTTGAGAAACAGGATACTGTACAAAGAGGTAGAGGGATTATTCTTTCATATGTGGTGGACTTGTGAGAGGGTAAAAGAACATTGGGAAATGATCTATAATGAATTGAAAAAAAATGTTTGAAAGTACTTCCCTCCCCAAAACCCCCAGAGTCTTTTCTGTTGGGCTGAAATTCAGACTGAAATTCCCAGGTGTCAAAAAAGGTAATTTATATATGCCCATCTTTTGTTAGCCCCAAAATGGAAAACGAGTGAGATCCCAACCAAAGAAGAGTGGCAACTTAAGTTGATAGAATATGCACCGCTTGCAGACATAACTTATACAATAAGAGAACAAGAAGAACATACGTTTAGAGAAGATTGGAAAACATTTATTGAATATATGGGAAATAACTATGTACAGCTGAAACTGTCTGCATTAAGATAAATCCAACAGTGCAAATAAGTTTTGATGGATGTAATAATGGAATACTGAATGGTATCATTTTTGTAAAATATGCGGGGATTTATGATATGTAAAATGAACCATGGAAAGAGAAGAAGGGAAGTCACTGATATCTTAAGAATGTAAAAAGGAGTACTCTAAATTGTAAAACAGAAAATTTAATAAAAATTATATTTTTAAAAAAGAGAAAAAGGATGCTGTGCTAGATAGACCCTTGGTCTGATCCAGCAGGCTCTTCTTCCATTCTTAACAAGGCATGAGTACTGGCACCTCATTTTTTAACCAAAAAAGCACTGAAGATATAGATGTGTGTATGTAGAAACTAGCCAGACTTACAAAGGTAAAGTTTGCATTCATTGTTCTGATCCCTTTTGCTCTGGCCCTGTCCACCTCTGGCATGTACCCCACACTGAAGGTTGACCAGAAGAAAATGTGGACCTTGCCCTGAAAAAGGTTTCCCTCCCCACCTCTGCCTCTGTACCATAAGAGAAACCAATTTTGATGTAAAATTGCAGCACCACTCCACTGGTCTTCATACATTCCAGTGCAGTGTGTCCCCTGATTAAGTAGGGGGCACAACTGTACAGTCTTTCTTTGACTGCTCTAAGCAATCAGTTGGAAATTAGAATGACTCCTAAAAACTTGGTGCTAAATTATAGCAGAAACGTACGGTTCTCAAAACTGAGTGCAAAAAGTCTGCCCTAAAGTCTGAAATATTAAGATCATCATCCTGCCAGAGCGATGCACTTTTAAGATGATAATGTGCAGGGTTTCTCTCCCTCCCCCCATTATCTTCCTTAAGAATTTGATGCCTTGTTGTTCCTTTGCAGACGGGGACCCTATTTCCACAGATGTGATTGTGCTGGGACGGACCAACCTCTTGATTCCTCATGCCCAGCTCCATCACTCAGGGATCTATGTCTGCCGTGCCAATAAACCCCAGACCAGGCAGTTTGTAACCGCTGCGGCTGAGCTCAGAGTTCTTGGTGAGAACAGAGAATAAACCAGTTCTGTGCTGTCATAGACTGTAGCTCGGTGGAGCATCTGTTTTGCATGTAGAAAGTCTCAGGTTCAGTCCCTAGCATCTCCAGGTAGGGCTGGGAGAAAATCAGGCCTGAAATCCTAGAGAGACTTTGCCAGCTAATATGGGCAATGCTGAGCTAGATGTCTGGCTCAGATTATAATTATTATTATTATTTAAAAATTGTATACTGCCCTTCATCTGAAGATCTCAGGGTGGTTCACAGCATAAAAATACAAGATAAAAACACAAAATACATAATAAAAAGCTTTCTTCAAATAAAATTCAACACTGTACTGTAAAGGACTTAGAAGCTCAAAGCTGTAAGTTCCACCTTCCTATGCTCTTTAGTTGTAAAAACTGCCTCAGTATTTGGGGGCTATTATTTCCGGGTCCTTGCAAAACTGAGTGCTGGGTATCTGCATGAACCAAGGTCTCACCTGCTTGCTTATGGGGCCCACTCACCACTTCCAGGCCCCTGTATCTATTCCAGCAGGAAGGACTAGAAGAAATGGTTTTGGTTAGCCTTCACTTTGTCGAAGGGAAGGTACACGTTGCTCCTGCCTCAAAGACTGGGCTAGGACAACTTTCCCCAACTGGGTGTTCTCCTGATGTTTGGGCTACAACTCTCACGAGCCCCAGTCAACCTATCTTATAAGAAGCCCTTAAGCAAGTCTCAAACGCAACACTCTCTCCCTACTTGGGATTCGCAGCAGCTGATACTGAGAGGCATACTGACTCTGACAGTGAAGGGAGAACAAGTAGCAACTCATTATACTTAAGGTAAAGGTAAAGGGACCCTTGACCATTACGGCCAGTTGTGGCCGACTCTGGGGTTGCAGCGCTCATCTCGCTTTATTGGCCGAGGGAGCAGGCGTACAGCTTCCGGGTCATGTGGCCAGCATGACTAAGCCGCTTCTGGTGAACCAGAGCAGCGCACGGAAACGCCGTTTACCTTCCCGCTGGAGTGGTACCTATTTATCTACTTGCACTTTGACGTGCTTTTGAACTGCTAGGTTGGCAGGAGCAGGGACCGAGCAACGGGAGCTCACCCGTCGCGGGGATTCGAACCGCCGACCTTCTGATTGGCAAGCCCTAGGCTCTGTGGTTTAACCCACAGCGCCACCTGCGTCCCTTATCCTTATCCTCCATTAATTTGCCTGCCCTGAGTCTTCCAACATTCAGCTTCATTGGCTGTCCCTGGGTTCTAGTGTTATCCATCCCCATTCATGATTTTATGCTGCTCTACCGTGTCACTTCTTCCTTGCCTTTCCTCTAAATGAAATAGCCCCTTTCCTAACCTTTAGAAGCTAATTTTCTTCTTCTGCCTCTTAAGCTCCCCCTGTCATCTCCCAGGCTCCGGAGACCATTTCTCGGACCCGTGCCAGTACCGCCAGGTTTGTGTGCAAAGCAGAAGGAGAGCCGTCTCCCAGCATCCACTGGATGAAGAACGGAGAGCCTCTCTTGTCCAAAGGGCGGGTGAAGATGCAAAGTCGCGGCACCCTGGTGATCAACCAGATCGGGCTGGACGACGCCGGCTATTACCAGTGCGTGGCAGAGAATCACCTGGGCATGGCGTGTGCTGGGGCCAGGCTGGTGGTGATTGTGCGGGAAGGTTTGCCCAGCGCCCCTAAGAGGGTGTCTGCCAGTTCTCTCTCCAGCACGACTGTCTTGGTATCCTGGGAACGTCCAGAGTTCAACAGCGAGCGGATCATTGGCTTCTCACTCCATTACCAGAAGGCTTCGGGTATGTCCCTTGAATGGTTGTTTGGTCATCATAGTTTGTATCATGGCATATCGACTTTGTATCGAGTTTTAGAAGACGTCTGAAGGCGGCCCTGTTTAGGGAAGTTTTTAATGTTTGAAGTTTTATTCTGTTTTTAATGTTTTGTTGATAGCCACCCAGAGTTGTTGGGGAAACCCAGCCAGATGGGCGGGGTAGAAATATTCTTCTTATTATTGGGCAGCTAGCCTCCTGGCCTCCTCCTACTTGAAGGTCAAACTAGCTAGCCTTCTCATGCTGTTTGGGCCTCTCTTAAAAGCCTGAGTTTCTGTTTCAGCTGTAAGTAATTGGCGCAGAATTGACTGCCCCGTTATTCTTTAGGCCACACCCGCACCATAAATTTAAAGCACATGCATTCCACTTCAAGAAGTCATGGCTCCCTCCCCCAAGAATTATGGGAGCTATAGTTTGTTAAGGCTCCTGAGAGTTCAGAGTGGTTTAACAGTCAGTCCCTCTTTGCACAGAACTCTTGGGAATTGTAGCTCTGGGAGGAGGTCACTGCTGAGGTCAAAGCACAGTATGAAGTCCTTCACTCCTCCTCCTCCTGAAGGACTTGCTCACAAATTTATTAACAGCTGCATGAATTATGATAGCTAGGAAGTGGAAGGGGCAAGCAGAATATAAAATGGAAGAATGGTATAAAAAGGTGTGGGATATAACTATCAATGATAAATTAACACGTGCCATTAAGGTAGGATGGGGAATATGCAGGAGAAACGATTTTAAGGAGATATGGAGGGTGTTTGTAGAATTTGTACTGTTAAAATGGAAAGGGGTCAAACTATCACAAGAGGTGTTGAAATTTTGGGAGGTTGGATAGTTGCAATGGAATGGTCTTGGTGGTGGGGTGCACATTTTTATTCTTATTTATTTATGATTATGACTTTGTCTAAATAAATAAATAAAAAGCACAGTATGAAGGGGGTGGATGTAGCCCTGAAAAGAGGGAATTGTTGCTAAAAACCACCATGGGAACTGTAGCGCTATGAGAGGAGTAGCTGTCTCATAACAACTCTCTTAACATATTCTTAAAACTCTCAACACACTGCAAGTCCCAGAGTCTTTGGGAGAAGCCATGACTGTGTAATAGCGCTTTCAATGTTTGGTGCAGATGTCACCTAACTCGTTGCCAGAAATGTGGGTTTGAAACCCTGATTGTGTTGAAAAGGTGGGAACAGCACCAGCATTTGCTTAAAAACCAAACTGCGTGCCGTGAAAGGTGCACTGGACCTTTTCTGTGAGCTGCTTGCAGGAAGCTGCTCTGAAGAAAGGACAAAACACGTTCTTCTTTTTCTTTTCTTCTTTTTCGTCTGACAGCGTTGTGTACCCTCTCTAGGCGCTGACAACGTGGAGTACCAGTTCGCGGTGAACAACGACACGACAGAGTTCCAGGTCAAAGATCTGGAGCCCAGCACCAACTACGTTTTCTATGTGGTGGCGTATTCGCAACTCGGAGCCAGCCGAACCTCCTCTTCCATCAACGTACAGACACTGGAGGATGGTTCGTAGACTTGGAGGGGAAGGGACTGTTCCCCACCCCATGCTTCCTGGAAGAAATAAATCACATAGTGGGCCCCGTTATGTGTGTGTGTGCAGCAGTGTGAAGTATTTTGAACTGAAGGGGTGACCTTCATTTGTGCTTGTAATTAGATGAGGTTAACACAATTTGCTGACTCAAGCCTTCCCTTCCGCCCTTGCAAAAGCTGTGTCGGGGAGAGCTGGGTTTAAGGCGAGTTCACACACTCTGCTGGACCCCTAGAGTCCCCACTTGCCCGTGCGGGTTTTTCGGGGGGTCGCCTAGCCCTGACGTTTACCCCCAGAGCCCTGAAAGCCAGAACTGTGTCGTCCTTTACTCGGATGACACGGAGCGCGCCGCTATTCCCTCCACAGCAGACCGGAAGACAAAATAATTTTAAAGAAGACAAATTTGTTTAGCAATCCTTCATTCTTTGCTAGGTACAACAGTGACACATTTAATTTCTAAATGGCCTGTCTGTTCTCACAGGAAGCCCAAAAGCAGGATATTGAGTGCAACAACACTCTTCCCATTTGTGGTTCCTAACAACTGGCATTTAGAGGCAGGCTGCCGTGGTCTAACTTAGGCATTGTGGCTAGTAGCCATCCCTGTGCCATTTAGGCAACCTGTTGATATGACACAGCATGTAGGTGCATTATCAAAAATAAAGAAATTGCCCTGAGATCAGTTCAGCTTGGCGGTTCTCATGCTGTGCGGTCCTGGTGTTCTGGTATCTCCACCCTTCCCCCTTGGAAATGTCTCTTTGCATTGGTGTTAGAAAACACTTCTGCATAAAAGAAAAATAGCCAGATTTCCTTTCCTAGAGGAAATAGGTTGGCTAAGTGAATTGCAGAGTGTGTTTCCAAATGTTCTCTTATTTATTATCCTTATTATTTATTATTACAGTTATTTGTCGCCTGCTACCAAAATGTCTCAAAGAAACTTACAGTTATAAAAGCGGGCATAAAACAAAATTTGAAATAAATAAATAAAAGAACATAAATTAATGCAATAACAGAAAATGGTCAGCCCCTATCCTGCCCTACTGAAGACGAACATCAATACAGACTTGGGTATAAATCATACCCTATCATCCAGTTAAGACCCAAATTCTTGGGTGAACAGGAATGTCTTTGTCTGGTGCCTAGAAGTTTGTAATGATGGTGCCAGGCATATCTCTTTGGGGACAGTGTTTCATAGTTGGGGAGCCACCACTAGAAAGGCCTGTCCTTGTGTTGCTTCCCTGTGAGGGGGCACACAAAGAAGGCCCTCAGTTGATGAACACAGGGTCCATGTAGGTTCATGTGGGGAGAGGTGGTTCCTAAGGTACTGTGGGGTTCTGGGCCATTTAAGGCTTTAAAGGTCAAAACAAACGCTTCAAATTGAGCCTGGAAACCTATCTGCAGCCAATCAATGAAGCCCTCCAGGTTCAAGTGTGTGTGTGTGTGTGTGTGTGTGTGTGTGTTTTCACCCACCAAATGGGTGTTTTGCTCGTTTCCTTTGTGACGAGGTGGAGTCATCGCTTTTATCCTTTCACTCCCCAGTTCCCAGCGCAGCTCCTCAGCTGTCTCTTTCTAGCACAACACCAATGGACATCAAGGTGACTTGGCTGCCTCTCCTTCCGGAACTCAGCAATGGCAGAATCACCAAGTACAAAATTGACTACGCTCCCCTCAAGGAAGGTAAGGAAGAGATGGTTCTGGTGCCAGAAACTGGGGCACGATTAGGGATGTAGCGAAGCAGTGATTTTCACCCTGTCCTGGGTTCATCACAATCAGTGCTGTTTCCATTCTGCTACAGTTCAACTTCCAGCAAAACTGGTGTTGTTTGCTAACTCTAAGCTTTGACCAAAACCAGTGTTTTTTTCCCCAGGGGGTACTGAGTACCAGCACCTATTTTTCGAGAAAAATAGCACTGACCAAAACTAATGTAATTAATTTCACAATCAAATTCAGTGGAAGGGAAACATCAAAAACAGTGCAGAAAGTAACGTAATTATTTATGTAAAACAATAGCTTGTACTCACTGGTGTTCTTTCTGTTTCTGACCTCAGATGTACATGTGAACTGTGGCAATTTCTGCTCCCATTTCTGTTTCTGATGGAATTCTCTAGCACCCACCAGCATGTTAGACTCAGCATGTTGGGCTCTGTTTTTCTAACAGATCTGATTTCCTCAACCGAGGTTGGTGCGAATGAGACCCAACTCACTCTTCATGGCCTGCACCCTAATAAAGTCTACAAAGTGCGCATTGCTGCGAGTACAAGCGTGGGCTATGGGGCCCCTTCAGAATGGACACAGCACCGTACCCCGGATAGAGACAACCAAACTCATGGTAGGTCAGCCCACTGCCCACGAGGATCATGTCCGCTGCTCTCAGGGCATAGTAGGACATGGAGAGTTTTGTGTCTGCAAATGGAATTCGGATCCAAGATAAGTATGTGGAAGCTTTAATCAAAGATAGGAAGCATAATAGTCAAGGAGAGCAAGCCTGAGATCAAGGTGGCAATGAAATGCTGATTCCTTTATTTGATTTTTAATGTATATGTAGCACCCTTCATCAGAATGGATCCAGAGTGTTTTCTTCCTATATAAATAAAAATGTAAGGCTGTCATCACGCAGCAGTTCATGACCACACCAACTCCAGCAGGAACAGGTGGCAAGTGAGTGAGCAAGCAGCGCGGGTGGCAGTTGGCCCAGGCAAACTGTTTAACAGAGTGGGGGAGGCACTGGGAAACCTGGTGCCCCCCAGTGTTGTTGGGCTCTGGCTCCCATTGGCTCCAGCCATCTTGGTCAATGGTTGGGGATGAGGAAAGTTGTTTTCCAAAACATCTGGAGAGTACCGCACTGCTTACCCTGATTTAGTACAACCCTGTATGGTACCTTCTTGTATTTTTATCCTACTCTTCCTCCAAGGAGCCGAGAATAGTACATTTATTATTATTTTATTTTACACCCTGTGAAATATACTCAGAGTCAAGAGTGGATTTCATGCTCTTTATTCAGTTCACAGTGGTGAGGAGGGATGGAAGTTCCCCCAGAATGTCTGCTTTATATACATTATTTACACAATGGGTCCCACGTGATTGGCTAATTCCGGGATTCACCTGTAGGCCAATCAGGTTGCGGATTCACTTCCACCTGGAGCTGGATTGGGTGGCTCCTGTGGACGAATCAGACTGCTGCATTCTGAATCCTATTGTTCTAGGACCAATCAGACTGCTTCCTTTTGGATCCTATTCAGCTCAGTACATAACACCCTGCCTTCCTCTCAAAGGAGCCATGGGCAGCAAACAAAAAGCTGATAAAACAACAACAAAAGCAATTAAAACAATTCCAGTACAGATACAGACTGGGCGAGAGCTCTGCTTAAAAGCCTTGTCGAAGGAGGAAGGTTTTCGGCAGGAACCAAAAAAGACAACAGAGTCTGTGCCTTTCTAATGCGTAAAGGGAGAGAATTCCAAAGGTGCCACAACGCTTAAGACCCAATTCCTGTATTGTGTGGAGTGGGCCTTCTGATAAGACGGTATCTACACGAGGTCCTCACCTGCAGAGCAGCTGGGGTGTATAAGGGGTGAGACAATCCTTCAGGTTTCCTGGTCCCAAGTTGAGTAGTGCTTTATACACCAAAAACAAACAAACATACACACACAAACAAACAAACAAACACAAAAGCCTAGCACCTTGATTCTTGAGGCAACCACTGTTGATGTTTCTTCCTTGCTTCCCCTAGTTCCGTTTGCCCCGACTGAGTTAAAAGTCCGAGCGAAAATGGAGTCCCTACTGGTGAGTTGGCAACCTCCAGCTAACCCCGCCCAGATTTCAGGCTACAAACTTTACTACCGCGAAGTGGCCACAGAGGAGACGAGTGAGGAGAACCTCTCCGAAGGTCCTGGGGATGGCGCTTGGGATGTTGGGCCGATAAAGCTGAAGAAGAAGGTCAAGCAGCATGAACTGACAGAGTTAAGTAAGTTCATTTGTTTGTTGAATTTATATCCCACCTTTTTTTTGTCCAAGGATGTCAAGGTGGCGTACATGGTTCTCCTCCTCCTTCCTTTAATCCTCACAACAACCCTGTGAGGTAGGTTAGGTCAGGAGGCAGTGACTGGCCCAAGGTCACCCAGTGAGCTTCATGGCCAAGTGGGGATTTGAATCCAGGTCTCTGACACTCTAACCACTACACCACGTTTGCTCTCGGAAAAGGTTTCCTGTGCCCTGCTTGTTCCCGTGAACTGGCCATGGAGGTTGTCTGTGGCAAGGAGCCCACCAATCAGAACATTCTCCGATCTGTGTGGACCCAAACTTTCTAAAACTTGGGTGATCAGCCTGCGGCCTGAGGGCCGTGGTTCTCAACCTGATTTCGTGTGGGTAGCGAGGAAGGAGAAAACAGAGAGGTGGGATGAGAGAGAAAAGCAAGTGCCCCATTGGCTCCACCCTCTGCTGGCTTGCGGCCCTCAACAGATTACCCTGAAAGGAATGTGGCCCTCAACCTCATTCTAAATGCCATGCCAAAGAAATACAGCTTTTCCAGCTGGGATAAATGTTGCTACTTAACCCAACTTTTGCAAACTTCCAGACACATAGAAGTTAAATCTGTTTCATTTCTTCTTAGTTCCTGCTGATTTTAACCACCTTGAATGTTCTTAAATACCCATTTTTACCAATAATTTTAATGGGGTTTTTTGTTTGTTTGTTTGTAAGCTGCTTAGAGGTTTCTTTACAGTTATGCAGTATACGCATTTTGTTAAATGAATAAAATAAATGGCATGCACTGCTTGTGAGGGCCATCTCATATGCTGACATTTCAAGACAGGGTTCAGACAGAGCACCCCTAACCTGTTGCCCTTCCAGATGTTTGGGGCTACAATTCCATGCTGGCTGGGACTGAAGGGAGTTGTAGTCAGAAAAATCTGGAGGGCATGAGATCTGGCAAAGGCTAGTCCAGAGGTATAGAATTGTGAGGAAGGGGGGAGATTCTGAAAATTTGGGAAGAGTGGGCCATGGAGTCTGGAGAGTGAGGAATCTAGATAGCTGTGGGTAGAGGAAACAGGACTTCTTCCAGGCACTAGAACCACTTGCAGTTATTTTTTTGCAATCAAGCAGTGTATAAATTTTATGAAGTAAATAGATAAAATCACTACCCGAAACTCCCTGCATTAGTCATGCTAGCATAATTCCAAAGCTTGTATCTGATGGTAGTCCTATTTAGAGTAGACCCATTAAAATTAGTAGGCATGCCTAATGCTTTCAACAGGCCTGCCCTGAACCGTGCCAGATTTAGGGCGGTGCAGGCGGTTCCCCTGCCCAGGGCACCAAGCCAAGGGGGCGCAAAACTGAGAAGATCTATAATTGAGAAGATCCAGTTGGGCGTGCAAAATTTTGGCCTCACTCAGGGCTTTATCCTACCAAAGATTACCAAATTCTGCCCCTGCTCTAAGTAGCACTTAGACCGCATTTGCACCAGACACTGAAAGCCTCACAATAACTACTTTCAACAATCCTGGTTTCCCCGAAGATTTCTGGCAGGTGTCATTTTTAAAAGGGTGCTGAGGGCTGTTAGGAGACCCCTATTCCTCTTCACAGAACTGCAATTCCCAGAGGGATATATTGTTAAGCCACTCTAAGAACTGTGGCTCTGTGGGGGGAATTTGGGATCTCCTAACAACCCTTGGCACCCGTAACAATCTACAGCTCCCAGAATTCTTTGGGGGAAGCCATGGCTGTTTAAGCTGACATCTCATAGTGCTTTAAAAACATGGTGCAAATGTGGCATTAGTTGGATACAACCTCAGTTGTACAGTTTGTTGTGCTATGGATTGGGTAGGTAGAAATCCATGCCTGAAAGAGGAGGAAGTTGAGTTGGCGGTTGTCTAACAACCATAGAACATTTATTCTATGCGCTGTTGCCTGAACCAGGCCTGAGGTCTACCTCCATTACATTTGGGCTGTGACTGGAGAGAGAGGGCACCCTGTGTGGGGAGATGTTTGGCTGTGGGTCCCTCTTTTAAGCCTTTGCTCTATGCTGAGACACTCAGCAACACACACACACACACACAGCCACACAGCCACTCTGCAGTTTGGACCATCTCCAGGCCGACTCTGTTCTGCCTGCTGCCAAGATTTTCAGAGCAGACAAAAAACCCTTTTTGCTGTGGCGTTCTTAGGGAGGCTGGCAAAAAAAAAAAAAAGGAGCTAAAATGTTTTCTCTCTCTTCTAGATGCAAATGTGTGTTGCACAAGTGTAAGGCTTTTCTGATCCTTGCCATCCATGTGCTTTTCCTTGTGGGGGGGGGAGTGGCACCACTCTCTCCCCCCCACCATACACACTTGCACAATCAAAAGAAGAGTGATACACTGGCACAGCCAAAATGTGCTTTTGTACAGGCTGTATTGTGGTGGCGAAAGGAGCTGGCCATCTTCTTCACAGCAGGCCCTGAATAGGCACATCCTTAATTAGCAGAGCTTCGTCAATGAAACCAACAAGAAGTGGGGGGAGGGAGGCCATTTGGGGAGGAACAAGGAGCTGGGTGTCCAAAGAGAGAATTGCCCCATTTTCCCTCTATTTGTAAACTTTGAGATGCTCAAGCCGTTCCCTTGAATAAGCAGATCTTACAAAAGAGGGGTGAAGAAAGAAGCAGGCGAGCTTTAGAACAGCCCTCTTGGCTTGCTCTCTCTGGAGCTTGGCTTGGATTGCAGCACAGCCAAAAAGGGTGGCTGCATCTGGCGCTAACACAGAATTCACATTGCCGGAAAGCTCCGCTTTGGTTGCAAGGCCATGGTCTGCCCTGGATGGCCTTCAGCAATACAGCAGGTCCATGCACTCATTTAATGGGTTAAAAAAATGCCCTATTTATATTTTGGCAGCATCCAATAAAAATGCTTAAACAGCCTGTTCCTGGTTCGCTCTATTCAAGAGGTGGGGTCAGTGGGAGCGTGGAGTAGAGTCACTGTACAACCCCCCGTAGTGATGAAATGCCAAAGGACAATTGCCTGGAGGAGGTTACTAAAGACTCACCCGGCACTTGATTCTAGTTGGGCAAAGGGAGATGGATTTGGGACGCCAAGTTTTTCTCTTAATTTTAAATGTATTCATTACATTTATATCCCACTTTTCTTCTAAGGAACTCAAGGGGGCGTACGCACTTACTCCCCTTGCCCTTTTTATCCTCACGACAACCCTGTGAAATAGGTTAAAGTATGAGGGTTGCGTTCAACCTAACTTTTACTCAGAATAGACCCATTGAAATTCAAAATTAATGGGCCTAAGTCAGCTTTTACTTAGAATACAGTGGTACCTCGGGTTGAGTACTTAATTCGTTCCGGGGGTCTGTACTTAACCTGAAACTGTTCTTAACCTGAAGCACCACTTTAGCTAATGGGGCCTCCTGCTGCTGCCGGAGCACAATTTCTGTTCTCATCCTGAAGCAAAGTTCTTAACCTGAAGCACTATTTCTGGGTTAGCGAAGTCTGCAACCTGAAGCGTATGTAACCTGAAGCGTATGTAACCCGAGGTACCACTGTATACCCATTGAAATTAATGGGCTTAAGTTAGAGTCATTTATTTCAGTGGGTCTCCTATAAGTAAAAGTTAGTTGAATACAATTCTGAGAGACTGTGATTGGCCCAAGGCCCCTCAGTGAACTTCATGGCTAATTGGGTATTTGAACCTTCGTCTTAGTCCGGCGCTCTGACCATTAAACCAAACTAAATCATCCAGATTTTTGCTGCTAATTGCCCTTGTTTTTCAGTTTTTGGAGTTTTCTCTGATTTATTCTCTTCTTTGTTTTAAAAAGACACACCTGTTAATTATAGAACTCATGATCACCAAAATAAGTCCACGGGACACAAGGTGCAGGTGGTTTAAGAAAGGGTAATAGGAGGTGCTGTCCAAAACATCTAGAGAACAACAGGCTGGGGAAGTCTGGACTAGAACAGCAGAATGCCACTAAAAGCTATGCCAAATGAGAAAGGGGAGAGTTTGCCTTCTTGCTCTGCTTCCCAAACTCGTTTGTCTCTCCACTGTCAGAAACAGAGATGCTGGACTAGGCAGAACTTTTGCCTTGTCTTGCAAACCTCTTACTATGTGAGGCACACATTTAATTATTATGAATGGGTTGTATCTGGTGCAGTGCTAAGTTGAAGTCACTTAGCAGCATACTTGTTCTGGTTCATTACCACAGATGGCTGTGTAATGGATTGTGCGGCACAAACCAGCTGTTGCGCAACAAGCTTCCGCTAGTGCCATTGTTGCATTGGATTCTTTCAAATTCTTCCATCTGCTAGCCCAAGAGTTCCTCCACTGGCGGAGAGAGAACTCTGTTGGATACGGCCCTTTGCTGAAATGGAGATGGTAGCCATGATTTTTCTCTTCTAAGCCACGCTGCTCTTTTCGTTGCTTGACCCACTCTTCCATTCCTCTTATTCTCTCCAGTTCCTGGGAGACTCTACGAAGTGAAGCTGGTGGCGTTCAACAAGCATGAAGATGGCTACGCGGCAGTTTGGAAGGGAAGGACCGAGAGGGCGCCTGTAACCGTAGCAGGTAGATGCTGCTGCTGCTGCTGCTGCTGCTGCAAGGCCTTGACTCCTGGCTCATGTTTGTGGATGGCTTTCCCACAAAGCAATATGATAAGGCAGCCTTTGCCAACCTGGTGCCTCCAGGTGTTAAGACAAGGGCAGCCAAAATGATCAAGGGAATGCAGTAGCAGATTCACATATAAGCTAAACAAGCTATAGCTTAGGGCCCCACTCTCTTGGGGGCCTCAAAAAAAATTAAAAGAAAAAACCTGGATGTACATTTCCAAAATATAAGATAAAAAACAAATTAAAATAAAACCTACATGAAGCAACAGTGTTTTGAGTTGGGTATGGACCTATTAGGTTCATCAATTACCATATAGCATATATTCAACACAAGAAACAGCGACAATTTGTTGTTGACAAAGGACAGCTGGACATATAAAGGGCCCCATTACCTTCAGTAGCTTAGGGCCTCATCAAACCTAAATCCAGCCCTGAGGGGATGGAAAAACTCCCTTATGAGGAAACGTTGCAGTATTGGGGACTTTTGGATGAGAGAAAAGATGTGTAAAAGGTGGCATGATTGTTTAAGCAACCACAACAATTCATTATGTATATGCCAACCATCTAACTGGGTTGCTTCCAACAGAATACAGTGGAACCTCAGTTGTCCAACCTAATGAGTTCCAGAAGGCCGTTCGACTTCTGAAACGTTTGTCAACCGAGGCTCAATGGACAGCTGGCAAAATCCGTTGAAAAAATGGAGAAACGCACCTTGGAAGCCGTTCGACTTCTGAGGCATGTTCGAAAATGGGAGCATTCACTTCTGGGTTGTCGGCATTTGAAAGCCAAAACATCCAACAATCGAGGTTCCACTGTATTTAAAAACAACAACAACAACAAGAAAACATCAAATATTTAAAAATTCCCTTTAGATGCAGTTTGCACGCATGGAAAAAGGAGAGAGAAAAGTTTTTCTCCTTCTCTCCTAACCCTAGAACTTGTGGACATCCATTGAAGCCAAATGTTGGACAACCCAGGACCGTTAAAAGAAATGACTTCTTCAAGCAGAGCATAGACTATGAAAGGTGGTTCCATAGGAGGCAGTGGTGGCCCCCAACTTGAATGGCTTTAAAAGAGGGTTGGACAAGTTCACGAAGGAGAAGGCTCTGCTCTGCTTCCATGGTGGGAGGCAGTCATGCTCCTGAATGCCAGTTGCCAGACACCACAGGAGGGAAAAGAGCTCTTGTGCTCAGGTCCTGCTTGCTTGTTTCATAGGCTTTTTGGGCTGGCAGCTGTGAGAACAGGGTGCTGAATTAGATGGGCTGTTGGCCTGATCCAGTAGGTTCTGCTGAGGTTCTTATGGACCACAGCTCCAGTCATCCCCATTTGACTTCTTCCACATTCTGTGGCTCATCTGACCACAACATTTCACCCTGCCTTGTTTCCGCTGTTGTTCCTTTGCAAGCTGCTCCAGGAGCCATCCTCCATGTGCCTGATTCTGCATTTCTTCTCTTCTCTTGATCATCCTTTCAGACCCTCCACTTCAGAAGGGCCCACCACTGCCCCCAGCCCATGTCTACGTGGAATCCAACAGCTCCACGTCAATTTGGTTGAGGTGGAAGAAGCCGGATTTCACCACGGTGAAGATCGTCAATTACACCGTGCGGTTCAGTCCCTGGGGGCTGAAAAACGCCTCGCTTGTGACTTACTACACAAGGTAAGAGGGTGACTAGCAAAGCTAACGGGAAAAGTCAGGGGAGCCTTAAACCAGAAAACCCAAGAAGAATGGAAAATATTTAAGGGATATATAAGATTATATTGTAAAAGTGATACCATCTTAGCAGAAGTGGAATGATACTTGTGAACAATAGATAAATGAAATAAATATCATAGTGGAATGTAAGAAAAAGGATATAAAAACTGTGTGATAATACCATGACAATAGAAAAAGTATAACGAGAACAACTGGAAGTTTCTTGCAAAATAATTTTATTTGATAGATATGAAACTCTTGGGTTTTCTTCTTCTTCTTTTTTCTTGTTCTTTTTTTAAAAAATTGTTTTTACATCGTGAGGTTTTTTTTCCTTTTTCCGTTATTTACTTCTGTATTTAACTTTGTTATACCTATTTTCATTGTATGTTTGTATGTTAAACCAATAAAGATTTACAAAAAAAAGAAGAGTGTGACTGAGCACCCGTGCAGTCTGCATATGGGGTGCTGCTGCAAAGAAAGAGGACGGGTGAAAGTTTTTCTCCCTCTCTCATCATGCTAGAACTTGTTGACTTCCAATGAAGCTGGATGTTAGGAGACTCAGGGCAGATAAAAGAAAGGGCTTCTTCACGTAGCCCATAGTTAAACTATGTGACTCATTCCCACAGGAGGCAGTGATGGCCACTAATTTGGAAGGCTTTTAAAGAGAATTGAGCAAGAATATTTAATAAAAACTTTTTTAAAAAAGAAGCTCATATTAAAGGACAGGCAGGTACGTATGTACGGAGATGGCCCATTATTGGCAGCTTCTGCAGCGACTCATGAGAAGGGGCAATGAATGTGCATGTTACCTTTGTACACTAGGCTAGTTTCTACACAGACTCTTACTGTCCTCCCTGCTCTCTATCCAAGCAGGCAAGACACCTAATGGGAGTTCAAGGACACATTCCAGCAAGGCAAAAACATTCAAGGAGGGTGCAAAGCAGGGCTGATGAGGGGAGGTACGCCCTGAGGAGCGCCTTGAAGGACCACATTCAGCCTCTGGGCCTGAAGTTCTCCAGCCCTGTACATAATCCATGACTTAATAAACCATATATTGGCAATCCATGGGTCAGCATTAAGGCCAGTGAGTTCTGCATCCATCAGTTTCCTGTCCTATCACAGAGAAGCCCATGACTTCTCTGAATGAATTCTTTGCTTCAAGTGGGGCTCCTATTAGGTAAGAATCTCAAATATCAAGTGAAGCACTATGAAACCACAAGACCTGCCATCTCTTCTGTTTTGACAGCTGCCAGTCTTCTTATGGGGGTACACAGATTGCAGATGGCGTCATAATATTTTCTCCCTTGTGGGCATTCTTCCTTCCATAGCTCCGACGAAGACATCCTCATCAGTGGGCTGAAGCCGTTCACCAGATACGAATTTGCCGTACAGTCGAATGGCGTCGGTGTCGATGGGCCATTTGGGAATGCGGTGGAATGGTTCACCCTTCCAGACAGTGAGTACACAACAGAGTACTTGATAAATAAATGTCTGCAGGTTTTGGGCGAAAGATTTGAATGGGGGAGTGTAGGCTACCTTACCTAACTGAACAATAGCATATGTGTTCCATGAAGGGCCGGCCCTATCGTTAGGCAAAGCAAGGCAGCGTTAGGCAGAGTCTCAGACAGCAGATGAGGGATGGAGGCATTGACGGAAAAGGTGTTGGGCAGAAGAGAGCTGGGCATATCACCTGCCTAGACCGATGGCTGCTTCTCTCCCAACCCTGGGACCAGTGGCTTCTTCACACAGCTCATAGTTAAATTGTGGCTCTCTGTCCCCCAGGAGACAGTGATGGCCACCAATTTAGTTGGCTTTAAAAGAGGATGAGACAAACTGAAGGCTGCTGCTGTGTTCTACCTCCACTGTCACAGTCAGCTGCCATTTCCTTGGCTTCTGCATGTGGAATGATGGGAACAGCGGAGGCTCCACCTTTCCCTTTGCCTCAAGCAGCAAAATGGCTTGGGTTCTTATCCAGGTTCTTGCAGTGCTTCGTTTTAAGAGTGAGAGTTTTAAATGTAAGTTTTTAGCCCCTATAACTGCTTATTCAAAAATATTCTGCTGTTCATTTTAAAAAATTCTCACTAAAAGATAGAAATCTCCAATACAGGCAAAAGCAAATAAATATTTACGACAATAACTAATATTTGCTCTGCAAAGAAATCAATTTTTCAGTGTGTTAGAACTCATACTTTGGAACTCCCTGCCTATTGACAACAGGCAGGTGACATCGCTGTACTCTTTTTGATTTTAATTATTCTTAAAGGTTTTTAAATAGTTGTTTATTTTTTTATTCTTTTTGTTAACCACTTTGAGAGGTTTGGCTTTTTTAATAGAATCCTGCAGAATATAAATTTTGTGAAATAAATAAAAATAAAAAACGAAGACGCAACAGCAGCCTCGACCAGAAAAAAATCCAAATTAAGAGCTCCCATGGGCCTTGTCATCAGACAGCCATGCTGGCTGGCGGTGCGGATGGCACTTGAAGTCCCAGACATCCAGCAGGCACCAGGTTGGGGAAGGCTGGAGTAAGCCGTACGAAGTTGGTTTTCTACTGAGTCTCACAGGAAGCTGCCTTATACCAACAGACTGTTGATCCACTTAGCTCTGTAATGTATGCACTGACATTACAGCCCTACCAGGAGGCACCAGGGATTGAACCTGGAACCTAGTGCATACAAACTACCATATTTTTCGCTCTATAAGACACACCAGACCATAGGACGCACCTTGTTTTAGAGGGGGAGAACAAGAAAAAAATAATCTCCCCCTCTCTGCTCAGCGCCCCTTCAGCGAAGCGGCAGGAGAAATGGAGCCCCTTCCATTTCTCCTCCCGCTTGGCTGAAGGGGCGCTGCGCAGCTCCCCCTTCTCTGCTGAAGCCAGGAGAGTCTTGCTCTCCCGGCTTCAGCAAAAAGGAACCCAAAGCCTGCGGAGCGCAGCGGGAACTCACGCTGTGCTCCGAAGGCTTCAGGCGGCTATCCCTGAAGCCTGGAGAGTGAGAGGGGTCGGTGCACACCGACCCCTCTCGCTCTCCAGGCTTCAGTGAAAGCAACGCTAAGCCTCCGAAGTGCGGAGGGAGCTCTCCCTCTGTGCTTCGGAGGCTTTGCATTGCTATCGCTGAAGCCAAGGAGCCTGCATTCGCTCTATAGGACACACACACTTTCCCCCTTAATTTTTGGAGGGGAAAAAGTGTGTTCTATAGAGCGAAAAATACGGTACGTGCTTTGCCACTGATCATTGGTCCTTCTAGCTGAGCATTATATGCACCAGTACCCTTCTTCAACCTTGAAGTCCCTAGTGGTTGTTGGAGTCCAACTCCCAACATCTACAGGCAGCTTAGCTAAAGGTCAGGGAAGACAGGAGTTATAGCCCATCAACATGTGGGGACCCAAGGTTCAAGAAGATCACTGTGGCAGTGGCTCCCCAGGGTTCTAGACGAGGGACATAGCAGGTTGGTGTCAGGCAGCACAGGATCCAACCCCCCATGGCAGGTTGCCAGGAATGGATAAGACAAGGAAAAGTTCTTACCAACTGCTTTTTATTCAATATTCACAGAGAGAGGCTGAGAAATTCAGCCTCTTGGAATAATGGCGTTGCTCCGCGTGAGTCTCCACCCCTCCCTCGCTCCCTTCACGTGTCATCACTATGGGTGCTGACAAGCGCCCTCTGCCTTTGAGCTCTTTGCTCTCCTACTTTCAAGGCTCGCCAGGTTTGGGAGGGTGTCTGGAATGCTTTGTAAATACGCTGTGTCTGTCAGCTGTCGCCCCCCTAGTGCTTCTTCCTCCTCCTCTCCCATTATTTCCCAGCTTTCCCCCTCATCTGCCTCTGAGCTGTGATCTCCCTCAAACCCCTGTTGTAATTCTTAACTGCTTTCTTCTTCTCTGGAAGGGTCAGGCTGGGGAGGCGGTCTCTACCGTACCTCCTCTGCCCAGTCCCTGACATCTGGAGACGGCTGCCTTAACGGTTGCTCGACAAACCCCCTTCTCCCTTTTTGCGTTCTGTCCTCCCCTTCCTGCAGGGCCGTCAACACCTCCCTCCGACTTGCGGCTGCACCCCATCAACCCATATGCCGTCCAGGTCCACTGGTGCCCCCCCTCTGAGCCAAATGGCATCATCGTGGAGTACCTCATCCTGTACAATGCCAATCACACTCAACCTGATGAGATGTGGACTCTACTGACAAAAGAAGGTAAAAAAAATGCATAGAGGAAACTTTTGCGCAGGAGTACGGGAGTAGTTTCGTTTTTCAACTTTCCCTCTGGGGTCATCTGCCAGGGGCCAAATGCCAGGGTGAGCAGGGATGGCGGTGAATAGGTTTTCTCTTCTTCTGCCACCCCCTCTCCCCCTCTTTGCTACCCAAATGAAATTGGACTGAGGGTTTCCCCACCCCTGTGGATGTTTGAAGAAGAAGCGATCTTCCTCGGCCTCGGCCCAGTATACCTGAAGGAGCATCTCCACCCCCATTGTGCAGCCTGGACACTGAGGTCCAGTGCCAAGGGCCTTCTGGCTGTTCCCTCACTGCGAGAAGCGAAGTTACAGGGAACCAGGCAGAGGGCCTTCTCAGTGGTGGCGCCCGCCCTGTGGAACGGCCTCCCACCCAGTATCAAAGAAATAAACAGCTATCTGACGTTTAGAAGACATCTGAAGGCAGCCCTGTTTAGGGAAGTTTTTAATGACTGATGTTTTGATGTATTTTTAATCTTTTTTGGAAGCTGCCCAGAGTGTGTGGGGTATAAATAATTTATTATTATTATTATTATTATTACTACTACTACTACTACTACATGGGAGCCGCAGAACATCTGCTGTGTTTTTTAACCAGTCTGCAACACTTGAGCACCTGCTGGGTTTGCTCTCTTGCTCAGGCAATACGTTCAGCACCGAAGTCCACGGGCTGGAGAGCGACACCCGGTATTTCTTCAAGATGGGAGCCAAGACGGTGGTCGGGTCAGGGCCGTACTCCAACGTCAAGGACGTGCAGACCTTGCAGGAGAAGTTCTCAGGTACACGCAGCAGCGCACACAGTGCAAGGTGGGGTTCGCCTTGGCAGGCCGCGGCATCACCCTCTTCTCTTTGACTGCTCTCCTGTGTCCCTCAGATATGCTGGACGTTCACTCTGTCACGGGGATCATCGTGGGAATCTGCCTAGGCTTGCTGTGTGTCCTCTTCTGCATGTGCGCCAGCTTTCGCAACAACAAGCCAAGGTAGGTTTCTGCCTTGCCTTGGCCCAAAGTACATCAGACCAAACTGAAGCCTGTCCGTTCGGCCATGAGCCTGCCATATCTGTATCGCAGCCTCTGTTCTGTGTCTTTTGTCCGAAGCCCTGGAAGGCCACTGCCAGTCAGTGCAGTGAGCGAGATGTGCCAATAGTCTGACTCAGTCAAAGAATGTCTCCTATGGTGCTAGAGAAAGCATTGTCACGGACACACGTAGCAGGATAATCTCAGTATAATACAAACGTAGCTGCAACCCTAAAGTGTACCATAGCATATGTTTTTTCTATTGGCTGACTAACACAGCTGCCTTGCTGGAATTAGGAAGGCAGTGCCGCAGTTTTTGAAAGTAAAGGTCTCAGCTGCTGTCCCTGGCTGCATCTCCAGGCAGGACTGAAAAGAAACCCCTGCTTGAAATCTTGGAGATCTTCTACCTGCCATTGTGGACAATAATGACCTAGATCAAGGTTTCCCAAACTGGGGTTTTCAGCTGTTTTTGGACTACAGTTCCCATCATCCCTGACCACTGGTCCTGCTAGTTAGGGATGATGGGAGTTGTAGTCCAAAAACAGCTGGAGACCTAAGTTTGGGAAACCCTGACTTAGAAGGACCAGGGGTCTAACTCTGTATAAGGTAGCTTTCTGTTCTGTATATCATCCTGCAGCAAATAAATCAGCAATTGGTCATTTAATAACCTGCTGATATTGGCCAAGAATGATCCTGTGCCTAGCACTGGTTCAGTCTGCTGGGAAATCTCCAGCATTCATTGAGCTGCAGGGGACGTTTCGTTACTGGTTGGTGAGCGCTTAGTCTTTTGTTCATTCACTCCTGCAGGGAGTCTGTGGCAGGCCTGGTTTCCCAAGCAGCCGGGAACCACACCTACTATCACCGGAGCCGGCAAACACCGTCCCTTCCTGTGGCCCCCTCCAACTCTCATGAACTGGAGTCCCTGATGACCCCGCTCTCTGATGATGCTCCCTCACCACCGGCGGACATCATGGAGCTGACTGAAGTGCAGGGCCTCATTCGTGGTTGCCCCCTGGATGACAGCATGGGCCACGTCAAAAGAAAGGTATTTTATTTGGTCCTGTGGTCCCCTTTCATGGGGATCCCCTTGCCACTTGGAAGGGAAACAAGCAGTCCTCAGATAACCTGCTCCCAAGGTGGGTTGGATATTTTTGGGGAGGTTACATCTTACAGTTTGAATTGTGCCTCGAAATGTTGAAGGCAGTGAAGATATTTTAATGCTGGCAGATTATGTTCCTGGCGATCCTGAAAGCCCAAATTAGATTGCTTGGAAGGGGGAGGGGGGCATGAAAGACAGGACCTTCAAGGTGGCTTTCTCTGAAATGCTACCTGTTCCACACGCAGGGCCAGCTAGACAATGCATGGATGAGATGTTGGGAAGAGGGGGTTTGAATTTGTTAGGCACTGGGAGACATTTTGGGACATGCTGAGAATGTGCAAAAGGGCCCAGGCACCACTTCCGCCAGGATGGAAGCAGGTTGCTGCAGCTTAAAATAAAAATAATAATTAATGTGATTGCTGGGGGTGGGGTGGAGAACTGAAAGGAGCCAAGAAGTGTCTGGTTTGGGGTGAAAATGATTATGACTATCCAGATGGGGCCAGATAAGTTCTGCAAAGAAAGTGCAGGAGCACATGATAGCCAATTGAAAGGCACATTTTGATTTTTTGGCTGAGTGCAAGAAAGCATCTCTTCACCCACCCCCATTAAGTTCTCTCCCATGGATCAGGCCTCTGTCCCACTGCCTTGCACCATCAATAGAGAAAACGTGTGCTGGGATCACAGGATCTGGGAAAAGTGAGCTTGAGCAAAAATAATCTGAACCTTGAAGAGCACATAGAGCTGAAGGAGGAAGTGGGGAAGAGAGTCGCTTTTCCAGCTTCCTCCTTCAGCTGTATGTACTTTGCGAGGGAGGAAACGGGAGCAGCGAAGAGGAGCGGGAGGCTGGTTCACAGATACCATAGGAAGACCTCAGTGGAGGACTTGCTGGCAACCAGTGCCCTCAGGCTTAGAAAACGCAACGGTCCCCTGAGCTAAGCCATCCCTGTGCTAAGGTAGTGTAAAATAATAATTGCTAAACCTGGAGTACCAGAGAGAACTTCTGCAGTACAGAACCAAGCTAAATCATGTGTCTTAAGAGATGTCAGTGGATCCCACTTATTGCTTCCCAAGATGTTCTGCATGTGTATTTAGCCCATTCCCCTTTGCTGGTTGGGGCTTGGTGTCAGCAAACTGCATGCCAGAGTGCAAGAAATGGTCATGGTTTTGAGCACCATTCTTTTTCCTCTGAGGGACGCGGGTGGCACTGTGGGTTAAACCACAAAGCCTAGGACTTGCCGATCAGAAGGTCGGCGGTTCGAATCCCCACGACGGGGTGAGCTCCCGTTGCTCGATCCCTGCTCCTGCCAACCTAGCAGTTCGAAAGCACCTCAAAGTGCAAGTAGATAAATAGGTACCACTCCGGCAGGAAGGTAAACAGCGTTTCCGTGCGCTGCTCTGGTTCGCCAGAAGCGGCTTAGTCATGCTGGCCACATGACCCGGAAGCTGTACGCCGGCTCCCTTGGCCAGTAAAGCGAAATGAGCGCCGCAACCCCAGAGTTGGTCACGACTAGACCTAATGGTCAGGGGTCCATTTACCTTTACCTTCTTCCTCTGACTCCTTCTGTGGCCAGATGTTGCCCCATGCACAGATTTGCATCATAAGGTTCTGGAGCTTGGTGTGTTTTATGGACAGGCAGAAGAGGGGGGGCTGCACCCGTGCATCGTCCCCACTCCCACTCCACCCCCCAAGTCCTGCTGTCATGGCAGTTTCTGCTCCAAGATCCCTTTATAACTTTTTCTTTCTTTTGCGGCAACTTATTTTGCCTGCCAATTGTGCCGCCTTTGCTTTTGCTCCCCACTTCGCTTGCCCCTCCCCGCCCACCCTTTTTCTTTAAAGCTTCCCAGAGTTTGTCTGGAGCATTTCATTTCATTAGGGAATGTTTAATTGGCCTAATTTAGCTAATCAGTTTATGCCTGTCTTTGTAGCCTGCGGAGAATGTGTAAGGTAATTAGGAGATTGACTGAAACAAGTGTGTGGCGAGCGCGTGGGATTTCGCGTTGGCGTCAATCATGACATTTCTTGCGGGTCCCCAGCTCTGAAGAGAAAGCAGCCGTCAACGGGGAGGAGGGCAAAGTGCAGTCGGGTGGCAAGAGCTTTAGCTGGGCAGGGTAGAGTTTCTTTACAGCCAGAGGTTTTACCAGTGCGGCTCTTTGCGGGTGGAGAAATGGCAGTGGACCTGGGTTAATGTCTTCTGCCTCCGCCAAGGACTCACCACATGGCCCTGAGGCAATTCACCCTCTCTTATCTTCCATTCCCTGTACAGTGGTACCTTGGGTTACATACGCTTCAGGTTACAGACTCCGCTAACCCAGATATAGTGCTTCAGGTTAAGAACTTTGCTTCAGGATGAGAACAGAAATTGTGCTCCGGCAGCGCGGCGGCAGCAGGAGGCCCCATTAGCTAAAGTGGTGCTTCAGGGTAAGAACAGTTTCAGGTTAAGAACGGACCTCTGGAACGAATTAACCTGAGGTACCACTGTATTTAAAAAGGGAATAATAGCTCCAGCTCAGCTGCTTGTAAACCGCTTACATAAGAACATAAAAAGGGCCTGGCTGCAGGATCAGGCCAAAGGGAGCCCATCTAGCTCAGTGTCCTGTCCTCACAGTGGCCATCCTGATGCCTCTGGGAAGTCCAGTAGGAGGACCCCAGCCCAGCAGCACTCGTCCTGTGAATCCCAGCAACTGGTATTCATAGGCTACTGGTGGCAAAGGCAAAACACCACCTTTTTGGCAAGTAGCCACTGATAGCCCTCTCCTCCATGACTTTGTCCAGTCTTCTTTTAAAGCTATCCAAAATGGTGGTCATCACTCCCTCTTGTGGGATTGATTTCCATAGTTTGTTGGGGCTGCCATATGTCCGGAATTTCCCGGACATAGCTGGGATTCGGTCCTCATAAACAGCGCCTATGTCGGAAGTGTAGATTGAGCTATTAAAAATAGTTCAGAATGTCACATTTAAGCTCAGTGAGTTTGGCCAAAAATACTTTTTAAAAACTCAACAACTTTTGTGTCCGGATTTTCACTTTTTAAATACGGCAACCTTAAACTATATGTTGCGTGAAGAAGTATTCATCCTGAATTTTCGACCATTCGGCTTCAGTGGATGTCCGGAGTGACAATCTGACGAGAGAGGGAGAAAAAGACTCTATCTACTATGTCCCCCTTTACACACCTGTACAGCAGGTCAGGTGGCCAGGAGGAGTCATCTCCGAGACCCTGTGAGGCTTGTCTGAGGAAGCGGAAGTATAAGATCTTCCAAGAGATGCAACACATGGTCTTTCATTTGCTTTCAGACTCCATATTATCTTCAATGGCAGATGCAGACTCGAAACATCAGAGCCAGCCCTGCCACTTGCCAGAGTGGGGCAGCTGCCTCAGGTGCCAGATGCTGGAGGTGTAACCCACCCCATCCTCCTGAGTCCCCAAAGCTAGTCTGTGCCCCCTAAGCTAGCCTTCTGCCCTCTAGTATTGCGGGATGGAGGGGAAAGTTGTCCCACAACCACTGTTGAAATAAGATTCAGCTGCCAGTCTGGTTAGATTTTGTTCATTGGGGCCGCTTACCTTTTTCAGTTTGAGGGCTGCAATCAGCCCTCCGCGCAGGGGGGGGGTATCATCGTATGCCACCCCACGCTCCCATGCACCCATTCTCAGGAAAGCATGGAGACTCACAACCCCCCTTCAGCGGTTCTGTACAGATTAGCTGAGGAAAGGTGAAGAGTTGCCACCTCTGCTGGACTCATCAAACAATCTACCTGATGACTGGGAAAGGGGTGATCTGCACCCCCACCACTGGTCTCTGCCCACCCTAGCACCCTGTTTGCTTAATTTCTCCCCTCCTTGCCACCACTGCCAAAATCAGACAAGCTGAATTTTTTGAATCATCGTTCAAGGGCAGCCCCACCAAGAGCGTTTTGCGGTAGTCCAGTCTGGAGAGCATGAAGTACGGTGGCCAAGTCCTCCCATGACAGCCCTGCTGGAAAGGAAAGGGACAACCCAGAGCCCCGCAGGGCCTTTGCCAGGCAGGGAGGGACCTGGGCATGAGTGCCCTGAGCACAGCAGCTGCGAGTGTTTTGTTTCAGCCTTGAGCTGAGCAGGGAGACATCTTCCGCCTGGTCTCCACGCCCCTGGCCGGCCGCTAGAGGGGAGCAAAGACAATCTATGTTCAAGCCTGCCCTGCAGAGGGGTGTGTGTGTGTGTGTTCTGCCACTACTGTCAGCATTTGGTGGGGGAAGGAAAGAGGCCTGCCCTCCTTTGAAGAGTCTCCATGTAAGAGAGTCTCCATGTGGCTTCATCATCCATTGAGACCCCGGGTTATCTTGGAAAACGTGGATGAACGCAACTCTTCTTCGCTGTTCCATCTGAGCTGTTTGGGGTTTGAGCAAGTGATGGGGAAGGGGTGTTTATCCATTTATCTCAAAGTCCTCACCACCCCCCTCTTTTCACACCCACTGAGAGGCCCCTGCTGGCTAATCCTGCTGCTGCAAACTCATTTCCTTTGTCCTGGTGGCTTTGATGTCTGTGCTAACCCACCAACCCAGCCTGGGTTAGGTTTTTAATGTAGCTGCTGGTCAGTTTCAGCTACAAGGGACAGCTGAAACTCCACAGTTTTCTGGTTTTCCAACCATCAGTTGGCCCAGTAAAAAGATGCAGCTTTCATCTTTGTCTTTCATTTTCTTCTACGCAAACCATTATTGACAGGTGCCAGTTGTTCCCCGACCTTATTTTGAGACAGATTTTGGGGTGTGATTTCCACTTTATATCTCTACAAAAAAGGGGGGAGGGTTGGGAAGCTCAGGGTCTGTGTTGTTATTTTTCTAAAAGGAAATATATGAGGTTTGGGGGGGGAGGAGGAAATGTGGCTGCCTAACCAAGACTTGGCCCATACAGTCAAACCTTGGTTCCCGAACGCCTCCGTTTTGGAACGTTTTGGTTCCTGGATGCTGAAAACCCAAAAGTAACTGCTCTGGTTCTTGAACGATTTTCGGAAGCCAAATGGCTTCTGAGCCATGTTTTTAAACCCCCCCCCCATTGACTTTGCAGCCAGCCCATTGATCCTCGGTTTTCAAACTTTTCGGAAGCCGAATGGTCTTCTGGAACGGATTAAGTAGTAGCATCTGATCCAAACTCAGCCTGCCCTCAGCCAGCCCCAATCGGCCTACCTTCTTATTCCTGCCCCCTCCTGTGAAGCTTCCCTTCACAGCTGAGAGATCCCTGCCCCTCTCCTGCTTGCATGCAAGTAGGAGTTGGGAGGCTGCTCTGATAGGCAGCATGAAGCCTCCCTTCACAGTTTAGTTGCTGGGGTCAGGGAAGGTGGATGCAGCCTGGAAGCTGCATTTTGAGCTCCTGCACCACCATCTTATGGGGACTTCCGAGCAGCTCCTGAAGCCAGTCAGAGCTAACTGCTCTGGGCTGCTGAGACTGCCGTTGCTGCGTTTCCCAGGGACATTAGATGAAATCCAGGCACATTCCAGGGATGGAATTTGTTCGGGGACTTATTTGCAAATCCGGGGACTGTCCCTGGAAAACAGGGACATCTGCTAACCCTAATTTAGCCATGCAGGCACCCAGACCTCCCCTCCAAGGTGAGAAGTATTTCTATTGCATGTTTAGCAATCGTTTCTAAATTTCCCTCCATGCCTATAAATCTGGATATGTTTACTTGGGTCCCCTTTGGTCCTACTTTTTGGTGGTGTATTTTTGGTGGGCGTTGTGCAGAGTTAGACATACTGTGAGTTGAAGAGTGAGAAGGACCCTGAGGGGCTCGTCTTAAGAGTCTTAGGCGCTCTGATTTAGTCTTGGCTTGGAAGGTGTCCTTGCCCAAGAGATTGGCCCAGCTGCCCTGGCAATAAGATTGGCACAAGGAGGCTCTTTAACGTGCCCAGCTCACCCTTCCTTGTCCCTTCCCATCTGGATTATTGACAACGGCATGCCATGGAAAGGTCACGGCACGAGAGAAACACACAACATCTGGTGTGCTCCCCTCCACCTTTTGATGTGGAAACGAGGTCAGCTCGACTTGAGCCAAGGTCAGCCTCATGTTAGGAAGCATCACACTCTGATTTCTCACCCGCTCCACTGTTTCCGTGCCAGAACAGCAGCATGCTAAACAGATGTCAGGGAAGGTCCCTCTACTCTAATACTTCCTCCTGTTTCATCTTCTCTCCCCCCCCCCCCCCCGAGTTAAAACATGATTGCATTTCTCTTTATAATCCAGTGTTAGAATCTGAAGGTCTGTAGCTCAGTGGCTAGAACACAGGTCCTGAGTTCAATGTACAGCATCTTCAGGCAAGACTGGGAGAGCATCCCTGTCTGAGAGCTGCTGCCAGTCAGTGTAGACAGCTCTGAGATGATGATGATGATGATGATAATAAAAATAAAAATAAAAATAAATTTTTATTTATACCCCGCCCTTCCTGGTTCAGGAAACCGGGCTCAGGGCAGCTAACAACAAAATTTAAAAACACTTAATTGGTGCTAAAAAAACCAGAACAGCATAAAATATGGTATAAAGTGTAAATAACAATAAAATCAAAAATCAATTTAGGGGGGAAATCCATCCAATAAACATTAGATGATCACCAGGGCTAGCTGGCTAAATTAGTCCCACTTGGGCCAGCGAAGAGACCAGGGGAGAACCAGCTGTGGGATCCCAGAGAGGGCAATATTCACAAAAAGGGGAGGGAAGGAAGGGGAACAAAAGATCAGGCGAGGTTCAAATTGAAAGCCAGGCGGAATAGTTCTGTCTTACAGGCCCTGCGGAAGGAAGTTAAATTCCGCAGGGCCCTGGTCTCGTGGGACAGAGCATTCCACCAGGTCGGAGCCATCACTGAGAAGGCCCTGGACCTTAGATAGATGGACCAAGGCTCTAACTTGGTATAAGGCAGCTTCAGACTAAGGATCATAGGTCAGCTTTAGAGCATCTGCTTTGCATGCGGAAGCCCCAGGTTCCGTCCCCAATGGCTGGCGGAATCTCCTTCCCAGAATCCCTGAAGAGAAGCTGCTGCCAGACAATTTTGAGTTTGATAGAGCAATGGTCTGACTTTGGATAAGACAGATTCCTATGGTCCTCCTCTAAGATATGAAATAGGGCTGGGGGTACTGAGAGCAGGACCTGGCATGCTTTGGGGTGGGAGGGGAAGGCGAGACAACACCCTGGCATTTCCAGTGGATATAGAGGCTTCTCTGGGTCCTCCTTGCAAGAGTGGGAGAGCTGTGTATGCCATTTTCAATTTCCAGCTAGCGCGAAGGTTGGGGAGTGGGTGGGTGGGAACAGCAGCCTCTGTACTTTTCGAAACACCTGAGAGCAAGTCCTTTTGCCCCAGCTGGGGGCCTCCAGCACCCAGAGAAACCGTCCCACTCAGGGATCTGGAAAAGGCCAACTGGAGAGCTGACCAGCTCAATCTCTGAAAGGCCAGGCAAAGGCCGAAAGTGTTGCGCATAGTAGTTTTTATGGCAAACCGGAGAGGAGAGGATAAAGGAGCCTGGACAAGCTCTCTTCTAGCTGTATAATTTAATTAGACTTGCAAACAAGGTAACACTTGTGGCCCACGGGACTGGAGAACGCCGCAGAGGAGCAGGTTTTGGCCTGGTTTATGAAGCAATAGTTTTTGAGTCTGGGATTGGGGGGTTGAGCAGGATTTGGCCATGCAGCTGAAACCTCTTGAAGGAGATCATCCAATGCAAGATAAACCACAGGCCTGCCAGCCTCCCATTTTAAAATGTCTTAGCATCACTGCTGCCTCATTCTTTCTCTCACATGCCTGTGGTTCGTTCTCTCTGTCTGTCTCTCTCTCCTGCCATGTTAACAGCCCAATTTGCTTCTTCATTTCCCATCTTGCTTCCTTCCTCTTCCTCCTCCTCTAATCAGGTTTTGGCTGTTGTCTCCACACAAGGGAACCTCTTTGCAAAGACAGTGGCCCATCCCTAGCTGATGTTGTTTTCCTTTTGGTGATTTTGACAGGGGAAGAAAACCCATGGCCTTTTGAAACACATACATCATATATCAACCCTGCTTATGAATGAATTTACTCGGTCCAAACTAGTCCAAAGCTGAGCACCTAGGGGCAGAAAGACAAGAAACTCATTCTTCCATCCTGCCCACTCCCACAAACAAACAAACAAGCAAGTTAGTTCCCTTAAGTCTGCAAAGGCAGACTTGAAACATGTGAGCCAAAGCCAGAGAAATTCAGAACCTAGCAAGGGAAGAAATGATGTAAAGCTGAATATATTTGTCTAACTTCAGAAGACTGCAAAATTCTGTTTCTGTTGCTTTTTTTAAAAAAAGAAATTAACCCAGCTCTCTTTAATATTTTTATTTTGTTACAAATCACTAAGCGGTAAGAAACTCATTAAAGAGTAGAACGCTTTGCAAGAGTTCATATACACTTTGTTGAGGCCCTTTTTGCCCTCATTCTCACTAAAGTGCTAGAAATGCAGATGAGGACTCACATCACTGAATACTCCTCTGTACAAAAAAATAAAAAGTTTTAATCCCCTCACCTAGAAAGCTAGCATGTCATGCAGCTGTTGACTACCTTTCTCCCTGACATACTAATTATTTGCTGGGATTAATTCCTTATTGCATTTGGCTACCTTAAGTCCAAAGTGACTCAGCCAAGACTCACCTCAGTGGAAACAAAGCCTTTATTTCATTATTTCACCAGGGCTTCAAACTGGTTGGAGAAGAGCAGCCTTACTGGTGCCCTCCAGATGTTTTAGACAGCTGTGCTGGCTAGGACTGACAGGAGTTGCGGTCTGAAACATCTGGGAAAGGCTGGCAAGGAACAGCCTTTTCCTTTTTTGCATTACTAAAAGTTCATTTTGTTTCCCTTTGTTTATTTCCACTGCTTTCATTTGCCTTGCAAATCCCAGCAGCAAAGTTTCCCCAAAACCCTTAGGCTTTATTTCCACCCACAGACCTTGGATCTTCCTGTGTGGCACCAGAGATAATGTCCCTTCCTTTCCTTACAATTCTGTAGCCTCCCTGGGAGAAATCGCTGAGCAGCTGGGCAAACAGCATCGCTGGCTATGGAGACGCAGCTCCCAAAGATCCCACCATGGCTTTGAACGGATCGTTGAAGATGGCGTCCAACGGAGGGCAAAAGGTCTTGCTGCAAGCGCTGGTCTATGAGGTTGTTACGGTGTGTATTCCCAGCAGGGGGATTCTTGCTGTTTAGAACAAGAAGGAAAAGATTTGTTTGCAGGGCTCACATAACACTGGGGACTGCGAAGTTACATTTAAATTCCTGGCTTCTCCTCAGAATGCCTGGTTGACTAGTTTACCAGGATAAAGTGCACTCTGTCAACAGAGCACCTATAGGAATTTCCCCAGGTTGGTGCCAGGGGTCAGCATAATTTGGCTGGATAGCTACTCAGACTCTAGTGACTTCCCTTGATCTGGACATTATACTTTTTTTTGTGTGTGGACATCACCAGATCTTAACCTATTACAGTATTTGTAAGACTGGCTTCCAGATATCATTGAATTTGCCCATTGCCACTCTGTGTTTATATGCAAGTTGTTCATATGTTTGTATAAGTTTTCAGTCTAATCGTAGAGGGGAGCCACATTTTTATTTTTCCAATTCATCAGTATCAGTCTTCTTGCTGTGGTAAGGGCACAGAGAGTCCACCCCCATTGTCCTTTTGCAAGGTTCCATGTGTTGCAAATATAATTCAAGAGGATATTTTGCTCTGTAAATGCAAGGTTGTTCCGTGCAGTTCTGTTGATCGTTTCAGTTATCTTCTGCCAAAAATCTTTCAATATAGGACAATGAAAAAACACATATTTTAGAGAAGCATTATCCCTGTTGCATCTCCAGCAGTTAGATACCTTAGATAGCGCTTTTTTAAACAAACGTAATGGGGTCCAGTATATTCTAAATATTATTTTTTGTTGTATGAGCTTCAATTTAAGGCCCAGAGACATTATACTTCAGTTGATGCAGCATAGAATAGCATTCGCCTTTTTGGTTCTTGCATCACACTGTTGACTCATGTTAAGCTTGTGTTCACTAAGACCTGCAGATCCTTTTCATATGTTCTGCTGTCAAGCCAGGTGTTCCTCATCCTACGTTTGTTCAAGACGCACCTCCTGCTTTTCGATAATCACACCTTGCAGTATTTCACTGCTGTTCCTACTCTTCGCTTGTCTCTTTCATAATACAGAACGACACGAACAAGGAACACACCCCCAGCAGCCTCAACCAGATGGAAGCAGAGGTCATCGTCCACTCCGACTTCTCAGCCTCTGACCGAGATTTTGACTCCCAGCTTTGTGTGCTGGACGGGGAACCTGTTCTCTCTGAGGACTGCGAACGGGAACACCTCCATGCGGAGAACTCGTCACGGCAGGCGTCCCCCAGCCTGAGCCTCACCAAAGTGTCCCGGGACCAAGAAAACGAGAGTGACCCTGAGGCCCACAGTGTGTTGCTCAGGATAGATGGGCAGGCCCACAAGATGGCCGCTGAATTTCTTGAGACAGACACTGGCTTCCCCAGGCCTGGCCAAAGCCTGGACTCGGCCGAGAGCGGGGACTCTGATTCCCTTCCAGAAGGGGGAGAAGATGCGCAAGCCAACCTGCGCAAGGCTTTCCCCACAGGCCAGTCGCAGGCCCTCTTGTGTAGCAGCCTCTCTAGTATAATCAATTCACCCTCAGTGTTTGAGAGTGTTGCCTGCGTCCACCATCTTTGAAGAGGGCGTTGACTATAAACCTTTGACCAGAGCACAGCTTAGAAGTAACGTAATACCTATTAAATAAGGCTTAGCCCTCGATTGTACTAAATAGCCTCACAGTTCCTGGTTTGGAGGAGGAGGAGGGCCTGGAAACCCCAGAGAGCCACTGCTGCCAGACAGAGTAGACAATACCAAGCTAGATGGACTTGTATCAGGCAGCTTACTGTGTTCCTGTAAGAAGGTACAGCGGTGCCTCCCAAACGTTTTTACTATGAAGACCTCCTCCCAACCCCACAAGTATTTTGCCTTTGCATTAGGACCCAAGAAGCTGCTGCCTGTCTTATTTTGTGAGCAGTTCTCCTGCAGCACTCACTTTGGAAACGTTTATGTAGCTGCTGGGGATGCGGGTGGCGCTGTGGGTTAAATCACAGAGCCTAGGACTTGCCAATCAGAAGGTTGGCGGTTCGAATCCCCGCGACCAGGTGAGCGCCTGTTGTTCGGTCCCTGCTCCTGCCAACCTAGCAGTTCAAATCACGTCAAAGTACAAGTAGATAAATAGGTACCACTCTGGCGGGAAGGTAAATGGTGTTTCTGTGCGCTGCTCTGGTTTGCCAGAAGCGGCTTAGTCATGCTGGCCACATGACCCGGAAGCTGTACGCCTGCTCCCTCGGCCAATAAAGCGAGATGAGCGCCGCAACCCCAGAGTCGGCCACGACTGGACCTAATGGCCAGGGGTCCCTTTACCTTTATGTGGCTGCTGAGGGTTAAGAAGGTGCCATGGACTAGTATTCTGGGGTCACAAAGGGCCAGTGTGGGCCACACAAGGCCCTCAGGGTGTTTTCATCCCACCAGGATTTCCCCCCTCCAGCCCACACAACCCCGTAGTGCCACCTTTTGGTGGTTGCCATGCAGCCAGGAGACGCCTTGGCGCAATGGAATGAGCGCTGCTCCCTTCTGACGTTGGCACCTGTGTCAGGTTTCCACCTCTGTATGGCGCAGAGTAAGCAGGTCTTTGGGTCCAGCTTTTATGAGGCCTTTTGGCCATCTGGCCTTGCAGAGGAACAGTAGGTTGTGTGACTTGTGAAACCGACCCAGAATCTCTTATGTCAATACAGGGCCCTATGGAAGGGTCTTCATTTGCTGATATAGGGCCTAAACAGGTGGGGTGCACTGCCTCTCATCTGGCTGAGCCGTTCCCTCAACTCCCCACCCCGTGCAAGGATGGTTGTATTGGTTTGTAGCTGCTGAGCCCTTTAACTGGGGGGCAGGGATACCTTTGCCAACCCCTGGCACCAATTCAGCTTATTTCATATGCAAGATTAGGAGGAACGGGCCATTTTCCAAATTCAGCCTTGAGGGGGATGCTTTTTACAAGTCTTAAAGACTATGTGATGAGGGTTGTTTTTTTACCCCTTAGAAATATTTTAATTATATTAAATATCAACTATCCAGAATTAATGCTTTTACCCCTATTTTTAAAAACAGGAAAGAGAACCCCCATGCCTAATGGCATCCGTAACTGGAAATGCCAAAAATGAATTTGCATTAGCATAACATAAATGCACATTTTGTTCAAACAGATCTCAGTTGAAATAACAGTTAAGAGAAATCCAACCGCCTCCCTCCATGTGCATGTCTTGTTTTGAACTCTACTTAAAAACACAGGTAGAGAGAAGTCACCGCTGCAGACAGAGGGATGAGAGCTGATTCAGTATGGAAGGCCATTCGAATGGTCGCCCCTCTCAACCCGCTTTCAGCTTAAAACTTTTGTCTGTCTCCAGTCTAACACCGAACCAGGTGACATTTTCCAAGTGTGTGATACACAGCAATCAGGATGGTTAAAGCTGCAGTCCTGCAGTTTCTGGGAGGCTGTTGGATCTCCCTCTCTGAAGTAGGAGAGGAAACTGTTGTGCATCAAGTATGCATTAGATGCTCTGCACTGCAGCTGGGCACAATATATATATATATTCCTTTATCAACCCCTTGCCCCAAAAGTAGAATAAAAGTTAACCACCTTTGTAAAAAGTGCCAGTAAAAGAGCCCTCTTGCTTTTGGTCCAAGGACTCCGGTAACGTATTTCTACTACCAGCACGTAGAATTCAGTCTGCAGGTATTCCGAGTGCACTGCAGCTCATCTGGTGTTCTTCTGGTGCTTAAAAGGAGCCCCAACCAAGCTGGCCCTCAGCATCCAGCAGCAGGAAAGCGTTGGGGTGGGGGCACAGTGGGGCTGTGGAACTGTTCCGAAACGCTCAACCTATTCCTTGAAATTTCCCTCCACCTCCCAGGCAGGCATCCTATTGGGTTGCGTCCTCTTCCGATGCTGACTTTTCTGATTGAGTAGAGAGGGTCACCCCTGCCCCCCTTGCAATGCTGCTGTGACATCCCTGCTCCCTCACTTTATGTGAGAGTTGCAGTATTTAGGGCCAGTTTATACGTTCAGCCGAATCAAGCGGTATGAAGGTTTTATTGGCCCGGACAACAGTTTCACTTTAGCCTTCACCCTGACATGCTCACAACCACAGGTCAGTTTTTCTTCCCCTGCAATGAAAGCCTTTCCACGGGGCTGGAGAGCCTCAGTCCTGGGGGGTCAAAGATGCACACACCTCCATGGGCCTCTTGATCTGGCAATGCAGCCCTCCTAGGTGCTGGGCTGTGTCCCTGACCTGCAATACTGCCTCCTGTTTGTCTCATGGAGAATGGGGAGGGGCAGGTGGGGCTGTAGGAACCTCTTAAGTTGGCACACCTCTAAATCTGTCCTGCTGTACCTCCATTGCTTCTGCCTCTGGCCCCCATGCAGCACTGGCATGCGGCCCCCAGGAGGTTACCCACAGGGGAATTTGTGGCCCTGGAGCTGAGAAAGCTCCCCCCCCCGTCCTTTCCCTATGTTTTCTGTGTTCATCATCAGCAGGAAAGCAGCCTTCCCCCTGCCCCCATGTTTCTGGTGGGTGCTGGCCCTTTCCTTGCAGGCAGGTGTTGCCGCCACTTATTACACACTCTGCGAGTGCTTCTAACAACTTGCTCCGAAAATAGAGAACCATCTCCAGCAACTGGGTCACCTCACTAGCCTGGATGTTTGTGTTAACACAGGCCGCTTTCCAGGCAGGAAGCCCTCCTGCCTCAGCCCCACTGAAAGCATTGGGGGTCCATTTAGGACTCTTGTTAATTTCCCTGTGGGCTAGGTGAGGGATTCCTGCTGTGATGGGGCCCTCTAGGTTCTTGTACCTAATATTTTAGGTATTGGCCTCTCTCTTTTTTCTCCTTTTTAATGTATGACAATGTATTTTTTATTTCCTCAGAGCATCTTTATATTATTTAATTTTTATATGAAAAAGGAAAAAAAATCTAGTAGTGTGTGTCTCTAGTGTAGCATTTGTACTGCTATTTCTCTATGGTGTTTCCCCCCTCCTTAACACAACAACTACCTCATGCTTGTTTTTTTTTATTAAAAAGAAAAGGAAGAATAAAAGCAGTAGATTTTTGCTCCTTTGTGGTGTTTGTTCTTATTCTTTTGTAAAAAAATATAAGTTAACTAAGTATCTATGAGTCATAGCCAAGGCTTAACCCACTCAGAACAGGTGCATTGAACATGGCTACTTTTCATTTCAATGGGTGGGTAGGATTAGCACTGGACACTGAGGTCCAGCTCTGAGGGCCTTCTGGCGGTTCCCTCCCTGCGAGAAGTGAAGCTACAGGGAACCAGGCAGAGGGCCTTCTCGGTGGTGGTGCCCTCCCTGTGGAACGCCCTCCCATCAGATGTCAAGGAAATAAACAACTATGACTTTTAGAAGACATCTGAATGCAGCCCTGTTTAGGGAAGTTTTTAATGTTTGATGTTTTATCACTTATTATTATTATTATTATTATTATTATTATTATTATTCTGTTGGGAGCCACCCAGTGTGGCTGGGGAAACCCAGCCAGATAGGTGGGGTATAAATCATCATCATCATCATCATCATCATCATCATCCAATTCACTTTTACAAAGTGTGCCAGCAGCTACCCACTTGGAGGCTTTAAAAAGGGTTCGGACAAACCCACAGTACCCTCAGGTCCCTGCCAATGACCAAGGGACCATGGCTCCTGGGGGGTTCCACCCTCTGGCTCTCAGAAAGAACATGGCAAGGAGGAGACTCGACCTGGTATCACTTTCTTTGCCTTCTTCTTTGCTTTCCCCTGTCACTTGCTTGAAGGGGAAATAAGCAAAAGCAGAGATTTTGAGGCTTTCATTATATCTGGGGATATTAAATCAGGCCTGGCTTTAGAACCTGCCCCTCCACCCTGTCGCCGGACCTGCCAATCACAGATTAATGAACTCCATCATGCCCATTGGTTATTTACATACATGTTGATAGGTTTTAAATGAACTGGAACCACTCAGGAAATAGATTTACATGCTGGTGTGGCCATCAGGATGAAAACATCTGCTCTGTGTGCAGCAACAGTTAGGGAAGAAAGTAAACCAGATGTTGGACTTAATTACAAAAAGCAGAGTGAGAAAGGGGGGGCATTCTACTGAGAGTTACTGGGGTGGTGAGGGGGTGTTCACAGGATGTACTCCTCTTCGAAATGGCCAGGTCCGATTTCCTGCCAGCATTAGACATGGTCAGACATAAATTCCGGGGGGGGGGGAGACAGCAGGGGGGTGGGGTGCTACATCCTTCTCCTGACCACACCCCCCCCCTGGAAATCTCACATCTCAATCTATTTTTAATATTTCTTCTTTCCCAGATGGGCTCCCAAACTGGAAGTCTTGGGAGAAGCATCAGTGGCAGTGATGCAATGTTCTGGGGTGACAGCGGGTGGCGGAGATAGGCTGATGTTGCCATTTCTGCAGCAAGGTTCTTTGCAGAGTCCCTGTCTTCAGTGTCCTAGCCGGCCTGAAAGGGGATATTTGTTGTTGTGTTGTTTAGTTGTTTAGTTGTTTAGTCGTGTCCGACTCTTCGTGACCCCATGGACCAGAGCACGCCAGGCACTCCTGTCTTCCACTGCCTCCCGCAGCTCGGTCAAACTCATGTTCGTAGGTTTGAGAACACTATCCAACCATCTTGTCCTCTGTCGTCCCCCTCTCCTTGTGCCCTCCATCTTTCCCAACTTCAGGGTCTTTTCCAGGGAGTCTTCTCTTCTCATCAGGTGGCCAAAGTATTGGAGCCTCAGCTTCACGATCTGTCCTTCCAGTGAGCACTCAGGGCTGATTTCCTTCAGAATGGAGAGGTTTGATCTTCTTGCAGTCCATGGGACTCTCAAGAGTCTCCTCCAGCACCATAATTCAAAAGCATGAATTCTTTGCCGATCAGCCTTCTTTATGGTCCAGCTCTCACTTCCATACATCACTACTGGGAAAACCATAGCTTTAACTATACAGACCTTTGTTGGCAAAGTGATGTCTCTGCTTTTTAAGATACCGTCTAGGTTTGTCATTGCTTTTCTCCCAAGAATCAGGCGTCTTTTAATTTCATGACTGCTGTCACCATCTGCAGTGATCATGGAGCCCAAGAAAATACAATCTCTCATTGCCTCCGTTTCTTCTCCTTCTATTTGCCAGGAGGTGATGGGCCCAGTGGCCATGATCTTTGTTTTTGTTTTTTTAATGTTGAGCTTCAGACCATATTTTGTGTTCTCCTCTTTCACCCTCATTAAAAGGTTCTTTAATTCCTGCATAGATACATTATTGGTTTGTTTTATTTATTAAATTTATTGGTCGCCCATTTTTTATTTTTTTTTTGCTGCGGCAACTCAAAGGAACTTTCAATATTTTAAGCAAACGAAAACATACATGCATTAAAAATGGCATTAAAAAAAATCTATATCTAAAAGACAATCCTGTTTTTAAAAAGCTAGATGAAAACATTCCACCCACACAAAAAGACCAAAGAACCGATGAAAAAGAAGTTTTTGCCTGGCACCTAAAGATGTAAAATGATGGCGCCAGGTGAGCCTCTTTGGGGAGAGCATTCCACAAATGGGGGGCCATCACTGAAAAGGTGTGTTCTTGTGTTGCGACCCTCCAGTCCTCCATGAAGGGGGTACAGATGACAATTAAAGGGTCCAGGTTGGTTCGTATGGGGAGAGGCGGCCCTTGAGGCATTGGGGAACTGAGCTGCAAGAGGCTTTATCAGTCAAAACCAGCACTTTGAATTGCGTCCAGATGTTCCAAAGTGAAGGAACACTGAAAACATAACGTTGCTTCCTTTTCAAGAGAATGATGTGCAACTTCTGCTACATGCAATGGAACTTGATGGAAAACACAACTTAAGTCACCCCCTCCCCCCCAAAATGGGAGCACTCCAAATATTTGCCCGCGTATGCGCACAGAACAGAGCAGAGCTAGCTGAAAGGCAACACATGGAGATCTGCACTGATCCTTGCAATGCATCCCTAGCTATTATTAATGTATAATTATAAGATCATTGTATAATTGTGGATGGCTGCATATTTTTAGAGGGGAAGTGGCGGTGACTGTCATGGAGCAACCCTGCACCTCTGAATTTGCAACTACACTGGGGATCAGTGGGGATGATCTGATGGGATAGGATGGCCCCCACCGGCCGTCGGCATGTGCTGCCGCCCCCGAAAGTTCCCCACCAAGGAAAGTGGCCCTCGCATTGAACAACAGCAGCAAAAGTTTTGCAATATGTCTGCGCGATGCAAGTTTGGCCTTGCCAAAAACGCAGACCCCCAAACACTGGTCTTTCCCCCAGAACAGCGAAAGCCTCGTTCCGCCAGCGTCTCCCTCCCTCTTTCCTCCTCCTAATTATCCACGAAAGTGCGATTGCTCCCGATGCAGCTGGGATTGTTTTTGCAAGCGCCGGTCTAATCTGCTCGCGACGGCTGTGGAATTCAGTAGCTGCTCCGGCGAAGTGAGAGCCGGCCTGGTCTGCTCTTCCCTCGCAAGGGGCTCCCGCTCACTGTTTGGTAATACAATCTAGTCCGGCTAGAAGTGATTCAGAGGAACTGGAGAGAGGGGGCGGGGCGGGATGGGACAGGGTGGCATATATGGAGCCGGAGCCCAGCTTGGGAACGTTCCCCAGGCTCCGCAGCTCGGGCGCTTCTGGCTCCGGATGAGAAGCAATACACTCCTATGAAAATAACGCTGGAGGTTTCTGAAACTTAGGGGTGGCTAGAAAGAAGCATAAAGCAATGACAAACCTAGACAGCATCTTAAAAAGCAGAGACATCACCTTGCCAACAAAAGTTCGTATAGTTAAAGCTATGGTTTTCCCAGAGGTGATGTATGGAAGTGAGAGCTGGACCATAAAGAAGGCTGATCGGCAAAGAATTCATGCTTTTGAATTATGGTGCTGGAGGAGACTCTTGAGAGTCCCATGGACTGCAAGAAGATCAAACCTCTCCATTCTTAAGGAAATCAGCCCTGAGTGCTCACTGGAAGGACAGATCCTGAAGCTGAGGCTCCAATACTTTGGCCACCTGATGAGAAGAGAAGACTCCCTGGAAAAGACCCTGAAGCTGGGAAAGATGGAGGGCACAAGGAGAAGGGGACGACAGAGGACGAGATGGTTGGACAGTGTTCTCAAAGCTACCAGCATGAGTTTGACCAAGCTGCGGGAGGCAGTGGAAGACAGGAGTGCCTGGCGTGCTCTGGTCCATGGGGTCACGAAGAGTCGGACATGACTAAACGACAACAAACATGAAAGAAACATGCCTGCCTCTCTCATCAGGCAAGGGATCGGGATCAGCCGATTTAAGTGGCAGATGATCCCAGACTTCATTTGGAATAAGGGGAGCGGCCTGCCCTGCAGGGATGTTGTTAGCGGGCGTTACAAGCATTCCCAGGTCTTTTGCACAGGAACTCCTGCATCTCTCTCCCCACCCCGCTTAAAAACTTAGTTTATATATTTGTTGACTTTGCTTCGACAGCTTTCCCTTTGAAAGCGACATACAATATTGGCACATGAGCACATGCAACATTTTTGTAGCTGACATGACTCTTAGCCCTGACCTGGTAACTGTCACCCGAGTCCTCACAGAATCATAGCATTGTAGAGTTGGATGGGAACCCGAGGGTCATCTAGTCCAACCCCCTGCAATGCAGGAATCTCAACTAAAGCATCCATGACAGGTGGCCATCCAACCTCTGCTCAAAAACCTTCAGTGGAAGAGAATCCTCAACCTTCCAAAGCAGTCTGTTAAACCGTCGAGCAGCTCTTACTGTCAGAAAATTCTTCCAGATCCTTAGTTGGAATATCCTTTATTGTCATTAGAATCCATTGGTTCTGGGTCCTGCCTTCCGGAGCAGGAGAGAAAAAGCTTGCTCCCTCTTCCATGTGACAGCCCTTGAAATATCAGATCTCCTCACAGTCTCCTCTGTTCCAGGCTAAGCATACCCAACTCCCTCAACTGTTCTTCAAAAGGCTTGGTTTCCAGAGCCTTGATCATCTTGGTCACCCTCCTCCGCACATGTTCCACCTTGTCAATATCCTTCTTAAATTATGCTGCCCAGAACTGGACACAATACTCCTGGTACTGGGACATTTTAGCCCCCGAGAGTGCCCCTTGTAGGCTGCTACAGAACCTGATTTTTTAGGCTCTAAGTAACGGCTCTGTTGCCTTTACACTGTCAGACCATTGGTCCTTTTGCGCTGACCTGAAGTGACTCTTCAGGTTTCCGAACGGGGGGCGAGGGAGACCATAAATAGGACGGGAGTACAGCAGTTCTTTAGGACGGAACCTGCGACCTTCTGCATGCCAAACATGTGCTCTGCCAGTGAACCACAGTTTGCCCTCGCTCCAAACAGTCTTCGGCAAAGGCGGGCCTTCGGTCCATCTGGCTTAGCATTGCCTGCACTGACTGGCAGCAGCTCTCCAGAGGTTCAGCCTAGAGCTTTTTCCCAGCCTTACGTGAAGACTGAACCTTGGGGCCTTTTCTGAAGGAGATACTCTGCTACTCAGCTGTGGTCCTTCTTAAAGATAAAAGGCTTTTGCACAGGAACTCCTGCATCTCTCTCCCCACCCCGCTTAAAAACCTCATGAATGTAAAAGAGGAGCTGATTTAAACACGGGAAGCGGCCTTCGTTCCCTTCAGTATTGAACAGTATACGGGGGCGGGGTGGGGGGCAACCAACAAGCAAAAGTACCCCTACTTTACACCCCCGGGACAACCATCTTCTGTCTCAAGCCGGGCTGCTGCGCAACGTCTGAATGTCAAGCGAGCATCTTTTGTTTCTCTCGCGCTCTCTCAACCCCCCGAATCCTAGCTCAGCACCTGCTCTCCGCTGACCGCTACTCTCGCCCGTCTCTAGTACCAGGTCTTGTGGGACGCCCGGGCTCAGTTTCGGGGCGCAGAAGTCCTCGTCTGCCCCTGCCCGTGGGAGGAGCGTGCGGGAGTCCCTGGAAAACTGTAGGAGGGTTTTTCATCCTTTATCGAGCCCTCTGTCTTTGCAACCCCCCTGCCCGGCCACACTTCTTCAGCGGTGTGGATTTTTTGACACCGTCCAGTTCCCAACACCACCGCAGTTGCTACTTTCGACAGCGCTGCTGATCCGGAGGAGAAATTTCCCCCCTTAAGGGAATCTCCAGCACAGCGCAGCTCATCGCCGCCGCCCCCCCGGTGCAAAATTTCCTCGACCGCCCCAACTAACTTTCCAACCCAAAAATAATCATCTCTCTCCCCTCTCCACCTCAAACAAAAACCCCACTGCCTCACATTTGCACCGCGCGCCACGAAATCCCTGCGTGTGTTTTCACGGGGCCGGGGGTGGAATCTGTGCATTTATTTAGGGGTGGGCTCTTTTTTGAGGGGAGGGGGCGCAGACCTTGCAGACCCACAAAGAGGGGCAACCCCATTATCGGTCGTAGCTTTTTCTTTGCAACGGGAGCGGGGGGAGAGGAAGGCTTTTCAAGCCTTTGCAAAGCTGCGCTGGGGAGGGCAAAGACCCTCACCTCCCAAAAAAACCCCCTGCTTTGATTCCTAGCTATATTTAAAGGAAACCCCCTCCCTCGGCCAAAAAAAGGAAGTCATTGGGGGCGCTTTATTTGGCCATGCGCGCTGGCCGGCGGGGTCCGTCCCGTCGCAGGAGCGAGGGAAGCCGGAGCGCGCCGGCCGGCCGGCCGTTGGCTCGCCTTTTGTTCTGCCCCCTTTGCTGGGGACTCCCAGGGGAGGGGAGGGGCGGGGCGGGAGGAGGAGGAGGGTTGGGGGGCTCGAAGGCGGCGGCGCTGCTGTTGCTGCTACTGCTGGGGCGCCGCCTGGCAGGCAGGAGAGGCGAGCCGGGCGCCGGGAGAGCCGCCGCGCCAGAGCGCACGCCGGCGAAGAGGCAGGCAGGCAGGCCGGCTGCCCGTCCGGCAAGATGGCGCAAGGCGGCCCTCGCCGCCGCGCAGGCTCCTCCCGTCCTCGCTGCCGCCGCTACTGCTTCTCCTCGAGGCGAAGGTTGAGGCGTTAGGCTCGGCCTGCCCCACGGACGGACGGACGGATCCCCTCACCCATCGCCTGCCTTGCCTGGTTCCGAGGGCGCTCGTCTTTGGGCCCGGCGGCGGGCGCACGTGCGCGGCCGCTGCTTTGTGCGGCTCCGTGGGCTCCTCGCCACGCCTGCTTCGCCCGGGAGAGAAGCGAGGCAGCTGCGCCGGACGGGGCTTAGTCGTCGAGAGAAGGGTTCGGGGGAACCCGCCCGCGGGGAAAAGAAAGAGGACCTCTCCAATCTTCCCGGAGCCAATGGCTCCCCGCGGCTGGCCCTTGCCGCCGCTTTGCTCGCTCGCCTGCCTCCTGGTCGCCGCCGCCCTGGCAGCAGGTAGGCACGCGGGGTTCCCTTCGGAGGGGCAGGGGGACGAGGGGGGGGCACCGATTCTCCAGGAAGGGTAGGGAGCCCCCTCCTCTGACTAGCTGAGATTTCAACTTTTGGGCGTGCGCCGTTTTCAGACTTTGTTTTTCTTCGACGGGGCGGGGGAGCCCTTTTCTCGGGGTGTGTATTATGTGTGTGTGTGGAAATGGCAATCGCACCCCGAAGCTCCGGACGGGGCTGTTGCCGCGCGATCGCCTCCCCGGCTTCTCTCCGGCTGCGTTTGGGTGCGCGCGTGGTTCTCCCCTTCTTTCCTCCCCTTCTCTGGAAAGCACATGGGTCTGTCAACAAGTCCTCTTCCAAGGAGGGAAACGTGCCAAGTCGCAGTAAATAAACCGACGACCGCGATCCGCCTGTTCTCTCCGCCTCCCTCGCCTCCTTCAGAGGCACAACGGAGAGGCTGAGAGAGAGGCGCTTCTGGGCGAAGCACCGGCTCTTGCAGGGAAGGAGCTGCGCTCGCCCTTCTGCCTCGGATAAAGGCTTCTGCACATGATAAAATCACTCTCGCCTTCCTCCGCACCCTCTTTGTTTAAGAGCATCAGGAGCGCTGTGCTTCGGACCAGACCGAAATCGCGCCCTGGTGCTCTGATTCCAGCGCTGCCTAACGAGCGAGAGATGCCTCTGCAAAGCTCAGAAAGGCATCTTTCCCCAGCGTCTGGGCCCCAGGGGTCTAGTGCCTCTACACAATGACTGGTAGCTATTGCCTGACCCGTCTTTGGTGTATTTATTTAATCTCGTTTACCAAAAAAAGATAGTGGTTGTAGTAGCTCAGTACAGTACAGCTGAGTACAATACAGCTGAGTACAGTACAGTACAGTGATAATCTGTTTTGCGTGCAGAAGGATCCCAGATTCAAATCCTGGTTACCTCTCCAGGTAGCTCAGGGAGAACCTTTCTCTAGGGTTTCAGCTGGGACGCTGCCAGCCAGTGTAGGCAGTACAGGCCCAGGTGGAGCAATGGTCTAACTCGCTGTAAGTTCCCTTTCTCTGTTCCTAGGTCCTGTTGGGTCTTATGGTAAGGAGCAGTGTGCATTGTTAATGCAGGGTTGAGCCACGGTTTTGCAGTTGCTTCCATTTGTTGTGTGTTAAGAATAGGCCATGTGGAGAGTGAGATTTCTCCCCGTACCAGTGCTGTGGTGAGGCAGGACGCCTCTGATTCCCAGAGCCAGGGTGCCTCTGATTGCCACCAGGTCCTGGGGTTCGGCAGTTGGGGGTGGCTCTCTCTCTCTTGTCCCGGTGGGCGTTCCCAGCATGTGATTCGCACTGTTGGGGACAGATTAAATGGACATTTGGTATGGTCCGATTTTGGTCAGTTCTTACGGTCATGGGCTAGAAGGGGTTTGTGGAGTATGGAGGTTGAGATACCCTTTCAGTATGAAGTGGGGTGCAAGAAGGGGTGCGTGTTTTCAGTTTGCTGGAGGGAAAGTCCAGAGAACCCGATGGGTATGGAGGAGTCAGTGGGTCTCGCGAGTCCCACTCTCCCTGCTCCTTTCAAAACACAGAATTGCTGAAATGGTTGTGGGACCCACTCTTGGGTTTCAGGGACAAAGCAGGCGTCAATGGGGATGTGCTGGCTTTTTCTCCTTCTTACTGTTCTTATCTGGGATGGCAACATCCCGGTACATATCGGGAGGTATCCATAGGAGCGCAATGGATGGTTAACGTTAAAGCATAAAGGAAACTTAAATGCACAAGGGGCAAATGCACCAAGAGTGTTTCCTGAGAAAGGAAAGTGGCTTGAGACAGCAGAACTGGAAGGCGAAGCAAGGTGAGCTCTTGAGATTACCCCAGCGTGGACCTTCATAAAGCCTCTTAGCTGGACTTTCAAGCTTGCCATCTAAACAGGATACTTCTCTCACTCCAGCTAATGTATATGGGTAATAGCAAACGTAGCGAGCTGGGCATGCTTTTGTTTATGTAAACGGTATTGGTCATGAGAACTCCCATGTTCATATGCTGAGCTGAACTATTTCCCCTTACGTTTGTTATATCCCACATCTCTCCTCCAAGGCTTGTAAGGTGGTCACATGGTTCTCCCCCCTCTCCTGTTTTATCCTTACAACAATCCTGTGAGTTGGATTTGGCTGAGAGGCAGTGACTGGCCGAAGGTCATGCAGCGAGCTTCATGGCCAAATGCGGGATTTGAACCCTGGTTTCCCAGGCCCTAGACCTGCACTCTTACCACTATGCCACATTGGCATGCAGGAAGAGAGGGGCTGTTGTCTTTGTGTGCTGCTTTGTGGAGGTCTCTGGTTGGTTACTCTTGGAAAGATGCTAGGCTGTGCTGGCCTTTTTCTAGAGTCAGGAAGACCTTTTCTCCGTCGAAGTTGATGTGCTTGAAAAGATGCTGATGAGAAGACTAGGCATCTTGGAGAAAAGCCTCTACTACACATAATAGGACTTTTAAATGTTTTTTTTTCCCTACCAGTTTCCAGAAGGATGTTCACTAACGTGTCTGCAGAAAAGCCACCTTTAAATTCATATTTTTTTAAAACACAGTTGCAAAATGTTTTCCCAAGTGGGCCATGGGGGATAAAAATGCCTCGCCCGCTCAGAGGCACTCTCTTTCTGTGTTGTTCCTTTGCATGCACTAGGGACAGGAGGGAAGATGAAGACTGCAATTTTGTGCATGCTTACCTGTGATTAAATCCATTGGACTTGGAGGGGCTTTCTTCTGAGCCAAGCAGGCATGGCACGGAGCCACTGATAGAGAAGGCAGCGAAATCACAAGCCGTTGCACAAACGTGATTGGGAGAAACAGCCTTCTTAAAACAGCCGCAAGGGAAGCAGGATGGAAAGTTGGGCATGAGATTAGTGTTCTTTTCCTGATCCTCGAAAGCAGGAGGCTTTATTGCAATGTGTGGTTTTTACCTTTCAAGAAATGCAGGAACTTGTTAGTTAACACCACCCACCGGATTGAAGCAGAACAGCATAAACATTACAGGGATTTCCCCCTTGGAACTGCTGAGCTGAAACCTTTGGCAATGATTGCAAGCATTTGCTCCTTCTGTTTGCCATCATTCTCCACTGCTCACCACTTTTTTTTTGATGCCCAGCCTCCAAATTTATGTGAATTGAATAGCCAGGAGGAAGGGGCCATTTAGGTCAGAAACGGGGAAAGTGGGAGGTTGCTGTGTCCCTTCTCCAACCCCACCCCACCCCACAACTTCTTTTGGGAACTCCTACAGCACAATCGGGACGCGGGTGGCGCTGTGGGTTAAACCACAGAGCCTAGGACTTGCCGATCAGAAGGTCAGCGGTTCGAATCCCCACGACAGGGTGAGCTCCTGTTGCTCGGTCCCTGCTCCTGCCAACCTAGCAGTTCGAAAGCATGAAGTGCAAGTAGATAAATAGGCACTGCTCCAGCAGGAAGGTAAACGGTGTTTCCGTGCGCTGCTCTGGTTCGCCAGAAGCGGCTTGGTCATGTTGACCACATGACCCGGAAGCTGTATGCTGGCTCCCTCGGCCAGTAAAGCAAGATGAGCGCCGCAACCCCAGAGTCGGCCACGACTGGACCTAATGGTCAGGGGTCCCGTTACCTTTTACAGCACAATCATCACATGATCCATTGTTGCTGGTGGCTGTTCATACAGGAGGACAAGGCTACCAGTGGCTACATGTCACTTTGGCCACTAGCCACAATGGCAATGTTCTTCCTCCACTGTCAGAGGCATTATGCAGGAGATCACAAGTGGGCAGAGTGCCCTTGTGCTCAGGTTCTGCTTGCAGGCTTCCCAGAGGCTTCTGGTCAGCCACTGTGAGAACAAGATGCTGGACTAGATGGGTGGCTGGCCTGATCCAGCAGGTTCTTAACTTTCCGAGAGCATGATCTGTGTACATGGCGGACAGTTGTGCACACTGCAGATCAGGGGCAGAGCAGGGGCTCAGCATGCGCAAGCTCTGGATTCACGCGCTGGGATCTGTCGTTAAAAGGGTCACAGCCGCTGCCTGCCAGAGTCTGCAATACTAGTCTAGGTGGGCAAATCAACTGAGCAGTTTCCTATGGTCTCCTGTAATGCTTTCCATGGTCTCTGCCTGCAAGCAGCTGACAATCTAAATTCAAACAGTAGTAGCTGGGGGTGGAATGGGGAAGAGCAGAAGGAAAGGAAGAGGCAAGGGATGCCTTGTCTGGAACAGGAGTGGTGAGCCTTTTCCAGCCTAAGGACCACATTCTCCCTGAATAGCCTTCCAAGGGCCACATGCCATTGATGGGGAGGCCAAAGTGTGCAGAGCACTGAATGTGAATATTACTACTGTAGAGCAAGCTAGTTCCTACACACAAGGAGCATGATCAAAGGACAAATTCCAGCCAGGCAAAGACTCTGGGGGTGCGGGGCAGGGCCAGTGAGGGGTGTGGCCTGAGGAGAGTTCAAAGGGCTAGACAGAGAGGCCCAGAGGAGAGCTGCCTTTGACCTCTGAGCTCCCACTGCTGGTCTCAAAGAGACCAAGAGGGAAAGGAGGGTATTTTGTTCACTGGAGGTGAGATGCCTCTTAGGAACCGAATAATGAGAGGGATGAGGCTGTGGGTTTCAGCAAACGAAGGTCCCTAACACTTGCACCTCCAGCAGTCAAAGGTGAGCAGAGTGTGTATTGTGGCCCTTGTGAAGTACAAAGCGCTGATTAACTAAATGCAATTAGGGAGCTCTGCTTATTAGCACGTGCCTGTCATGATGTCAGGGCGGATAATAGTATGCAATTAAGATGATTGAAATAATGCTGATTCTTTTTTCTCTCTCCCCCCCATCTGACAATCTCTTGAAAGCTGAACCCTTCATAAATGCAAACCACCAGACAGCTAGATGGGTATTAGGAAGAGTAGAAAAACAACAGACAAACAATCCTGATTTTTGCAGGGCATGGTTTTGCTTTCTGATCTTCCTGAAGATTGTATCTCTTGTGGCTTACAGGAATCGAGGTATCCCTGGAGCTCACCTCCCAGTCCTCTTTGTAGGAAATATTAATTTGTCGTGTGAAACTTGAAACACCAATGCCAGTTATACGCAAAGCAGTTACTGTGGAAGTTAAATGGGCGTTACTAACCTGCTTCTACTAGTTTTAACGGGTCTACTTTTGAGTAAAATGTGGTCTAGCCAACTAAAAGGTGCACTTTTAGCACTCCTCTTTCCAACAGCTTGTGAAAGTAGATCTTTAATGACCCCATTTCGCAGAAGAGACTGAACACTTGTCCATTGCATATTCTTGTGAATGCAGCATTGAAATGTCCTGTGTCCTGATCAAGCTTTAACACTTGCCTTCGCTGGTTGTTGTGGCACTGAACTGGTATGTGTGCCTGAAGGAGGGAAATCTGTGTGGTTGGATTGCATTATTATTGCATTATTCTCCTCCCACATTTGATTTGTGATTCATGCAGGGTCTCAGAACTCCACTGGTGGCAGCTCTAAGGTATTCCAAGTTGTTCCACCAGTGAACCAAGTTGTTTCATTCACAATTTTATTTGCATGCCATTTTTTCTGCAAAAAAGAATCCTGCTCAAAGCGGTTTACAACAAAGAAAACAGGAATGCATCTCAAAATCAACCATTGCGAGAAAAAGTTCATGATAACGTAATAAAACAACAGCGTCATGGCAAATATAACAATATACAAAACCTCCCAGCATTTCGGTACTGGAAATATAACAATATTGCATTAAAAGCATTTCACCCCTTGGTGAAAAGGAAACAGTAACAGGGAAGCTTGACAGTTTCAGCTTGGTCCTAGAAATGTTTCCGGTCTGCTGTTGCTCACAGCCCTTCTCCTGCAATGACTTACAAGGCTTCCAAAGGCTGGATCAGAGTCTGGCATCCTGCTGTCACAGTGGCAAACCAGATCCCTGTGGATCCTAGCAGCTGGGATTCAAATTTGGAAGGGAACTGGGAGCCATTTTGTGGTTCGCCTCAGGTGTCAACATGTTTTGGGTTGGCCCTGCTGCTGAGTCTCCACTGGCAGTGAGTTCCACAGGACAGGGCCTGCCACGCAAAAGACTCAGTCCCTAGTAAAGGTTGATCAAATCTCAGGGGCCTTGTGAGGAGCCACCAGAAGTGCCCCATCGGAGGATCTCAGTAATTGAGTTGAAGGATAAAGGATCAGGAATGGGTAACTTGAAACACTAGGTTTACAACAGCTTGCAAGCCTTGACACTATATATTTAAAAAATAAATCCAAAAAATTGTCTTTGTCTTGAGTGATGGACAGCTTTTGTCTGCTGCCACAGAGCCCAGTTTTCAGGGACCAGAACAGGATATGAGCTGCAGACCCTGCTCAGTCAGAGCCCTAGAATTAAATCTTGTCATTTATATTTAACCAGAGCTTCACTTTTTAAATTATTCAAGGGTCTAAGCTTTCATTAATTCCTCTGCCTACATGGGTTTAGTTTTGTTTTTGATGTGGAATGGGATTGCTTTCACCTAAATTGGTGTAATACCCCCATATATATCTCCCCTTCTCCCTGCTTAAACCGCACGCCGGGTATCATTTAACGAATAAAAAACGTTGACATGATATATGAAATTAAAGCTGGCGTTGGGCATAGAAATGCATTTGAAAGTGCCGAGATTGGATCCGCTCTCATTTCTAATCAAAACAGCCAGCTTAACAAAAGGAAGGAGCAGATTGGTTCTCCGGCGTGTGAACCGAGCTGTGCTGGAAGTGAAAGAAAGGTGGATGGGAATGGGGTCGGGGGGTCAGCTGATTATTTACAGCAGCTGTCCCCCAACCTGGTGCCCTCTGGATGTTTTAGGCTACAGCTTCCATCGGCTGGGGCCATAGGAGTTGTCCTTCAAAACCTCCTGAGGGTACCTGGTTGAGGGAAGACTGATTTACACGTTAACATTCCCGGGTTCGAGTGCAGCTCTCTGTTAGGTGCAACTGCTCTGCTGACTTCCTGGAAGAAAGATCTAGTAGTGATGTATGGAAGTGAGAGCTGGACCATAAAGAAGGCTGTTCGTAGAAGAATTGATGCTTTTGAATTATGGTGCTGGAGGAGTCTCTTGAGAGTCCCATAGACTGCAAGAAGATCAAACCTATCCATTCTTAAGGAAATCAGCCCTGAGTGCTCACTGGAAGGACAGATCCTGAAGCTGAGGGTCCAATACTTTGGCCACCTCATGAGAAGAGAAGACTCCCTGGAAAAGTACCCTGTTGTTGGGAAAGATGGAGGGCACAAGGAGAAGGGGACGACAGAGGACGAGATGGTTGGATAAGTGTTCTCGAAGCTACCAGCATTAGTTTGACTAAACCGCGGGAGGCAGTGGAAGACAGAAGTGCCTGGCGTGCTCTGGTCCAGGGGGTCATGAAGAGTCGGACACGACAAAACGACTAAACAACAACAAATGTGGGCATGCAGTGAATGAGTGAGCCAAAGTGCTGCTTTTGGGGTTGCTTTTCCGGTGCATCTTGGAGGAACAAAATTCCCATTCCACGTTTCTCTCTTTCTAGTCTTTCTTTACTCCTGCTTTTGTGCTCAGGAGCCCCTTTTGTCCTTTCTCCTTGGAACCCAAAGTCAACTCAGCTGTCCTCCATGCTGCCTTTGGAAGTGGCTGTCCGTCAAGACTGTCTTCTTTTATGCCATCCCCACTAGGCTTTCTGATCCACACCAGCTCCTTTGTGTGGCATGGAGAGATCAAGGGAAGCTGGCTTTATTGCCATGGCGCAGTGGCTGCTGTTGGGATGGTCTGGATCTTGTTCCCATGGTAGCCACTGCTGGGTTGGGCCTTCCCCATTCCACCAGCTCTGAGGAACAGCTTGTCCAAGCAGATCCACATGCCGGATTTTCCTTGAGCGAAGCCCCCGGCGTCCAGCGAAGTTGAAGGTTGGAAGCTTCAGGTCAGATGTTCAAGAAAGCCTGCGAAAGAGAGCCATAAAACAAATATAAAACAGACCAGAAACATCAGAAATGAAAGCAATTATTGTAGCAACAGTAAAACTAGCAGTAGATATAAAATCAGTCAGGAGGATGCGAGGCTGCCTGCTAAGTCTGGCAGCTTTAACAGAGGATTAGATTAATTCTTGAAGGACATGGCTATCAGTGGCTACTAGCCACAATCATTATTCTCTGTTACCTCTACTCTTGGAGATACTGGGCCTCTGAATACCTGTTGCTGGGAATCTCAGGTGGGGAGAGCAGCATTTGAAGTTCACCAGGCACATTTTGCACCTGAGGATGGGCTACTTGCACCCAAGGGAAGATGCCTAGGTGGTAGGATGACGCCTGACGTCTCCACTGTCGGGAGGTGGATGCCTGGGGATCCTTGGATCTTGATTGTTTTCACACACAAGCAACACATCCTGTAGAATCCTAGCCAATACGTTTTATCTGCACAATCAGAATGAATTTCAGGAACCCAAAAAGTCTTATTGAAAAATATGACTTTCGAACCGTCTGGACCCAACATGGCAATGAAGCAGTCCCTCTTGGTGACTGTAACCCTAGTTTAAGGAGCTATTTGGCACCTAGTTTATATATCTGAAGGGATGCGAGTGGCGCTATGGGTTAAACCACAGAGCCTAGGACTTGCCAGTCAGAAGGTTGGCGGTTTGAATCCCCACAACGGGGTGAGCTCCTGTTGTTTGGTCCCTGCTCCTGCCATCCTAGCAGTTCGAAAGCACATCAAAGTGCAAGTAGATAAATAGGTACCGCTCCAGCAGGAAGGTAAACAGTGTTTCCGTGCACTGCTCTGGTTCGCCAGAAGCGGCTTAGTCATGCTGGCCACATGACGCAGAAGCTGTACGCCAGCTCTCTCGGCCAATAAAGCAAGATGAGCGCCACAACCCCAAAGTCGGTCATGACTGGACCTAATGGTCAGGGGTCCCTTTACTCTTTACCTTACCTTATATATCTGAGCTTCTAACACTGGCCCGGGAGAGTGGCCTTCATATCTCCGCCGGAGCACAATTTCTGTTCTCATCCTGAAGCAAAGTTCTTAACCCGAGGTACTATTTCTGGGTTAGCGGAGTGTGTAACCTGAAGCGTATGTAATCTGAAGCGTATGTAACCCGAGGTACCACTGTATAAGCTTTAGTTTGGAAGGGGACAGAACTATTCAAGCCCTAACTGCTATTTCCTCTTCACGCTCTTATTTCCATTTTCTGAACAATACCATTGTTCGTATCCTGTAGCAAGTCAAGTTCTCTATGGACTATAAACATCTGTTAAGTCCAAATGATTAGGGGGGTTGTGCATGAAAGAGTCAGTTCAGAATTACTTCAGTCTCACGAACTGGTCTGAACTTTACTGGAGTTCTTTTTTTCTTTCTTAAAAAACTTTACAGAGTTTTAAAAAAACCAATAAATTATGTAGCACGGCTCATGAAAAAGCCAGTCCTTGGCCAGTCAACCCAAAAGAGTCTAGAAAGTTTTGGTTTTGCAGGAGGATAAAAATAATTGTTTTCATGTGTTTCGCGAGCCCGTAAAAGCAACAGGGCAGGAAGTGAGCGGGCCCATAATTGCACTTTCAAAGAAAGAGAGGCAGAGAGGGACTGGCCAATGGCCCCTCGTGGAGGAGGCTCAGCCATGCTCCCCAGGGCAGCTTCATCCTAAGAGAGCTCCATGGTAGCTTCAGTGCAGGTTTCCAACAGAATATCTTGGGAAGCATTAATGCTATGATGCTTAGTGCTAGTGTGTCCTTTGTTTGGAGTGTGGAAGGGTCTTGACTCAGTGTTTTGAGTGCAAAAAAGTTCTCCGGTTGAATCCTTGGTCTCTCCAAGTAGGAAAGACCCCTTCCCCAAACCCTGGAGATTCAGGAAGGGGTTTAGGTTGCAGCAATCTGCTAAAATGGAATTTCTCTTCCATTGATTTCATAGAGGTTTCCATCCAGACCTACTATGGATTCCCTGCTAACAAACCTCCTCCCTTTTATCCTGATGCACACCCCTTCCTGGATCAGGAAGGGCTGTGCATTGGAAGCCCCTGCTAAAGGGGAGGATTTCCCTCCCCCATTATACCGTAATTTTAGCAGAGGATCCTTGCAACCCATTGCCAAGTCAAGGGGAGAAACTCTCCTTTAGAAGCCCCAGCTTCAGGACTTCAAAGTATCTTGCATGTAATGTCACTGTGATGTCATGGAACTGATAGGTGGGCAGCCTCACCCACCTGTCTGATTTGGCCCTACAAGGCTGATCCTGATGAAGATGTGGCCCTTGTAGATGAAAAGGTTTCCTACTCGTACTGTAAAGCAAGGTCCTAGAAGAGGGTTGCTCACAGCAAACCCAACCCCAAAGGCCTTCAAGCGAGTCTTCAGAACATGGATTAGATATTAGACCAAGGATGGCGGACTTCAGGCATGCAGGATCTCCTTGGTTTGCTTGTTTCTCACTAGAATCCAGAGGCCACCGATCACAACCAGGTGCAAAAAGGGCCAATGTGGTGTAGTGGTTAGAGTGTTTTGTGACTATGACCAGGATTCAAATTCCCACTTGGCCATCAAGCTTGCTGGGTGACCTTTGGCTGGGCATGCCTCTTAGTCTGAGCTCCCTCATAGGGTGGTTGTGAGAGTAAAAGAGGGGATGAGGAGAGCCATGAACACTATCTTGAGCTCCTAGGTGGAAAGTAAATGTAGTAATAAGTACAGAAAGAAAGAAAGAGAAAGAAAGAAAGAAAGAAAGAAAGAAAGAAAGAAAGAGTGGTTTAGTTAAGAATTAAGGAGTTTGTGATGATGATGATGATAATTTTATTATTTATATGCCATCCACCTGAATGGGTTGCCCCAGCCATTCTGGGCAGCTCCCAACAAAATATTAAAAACATTATAAAACCTCCAACGTAAAAAACTTCCCTGTACAGAGCTGCCTTCAGATGTCTTCTAAAAGTCATACAGCTGTGTATTTCTTTGACATCTGATGGGAGGGTGTTCCATAGGATGGGATAATGATATAATAACAGTTATTATGATCAGTATCAGAACCAAGCACACAGGTCCTTTTGAACCTAAACTCATGTTCTTCTCCCTCTCCTCACCACCCTGTGCTTTTAAAAAAGAAATAAAGAAGCTTTCTAGTTGCAATCGCTAGAAGATTAGGAGTCAGAACCACATGCTGATCTACTGTGAATTACTCAGAGATCTCCCAGTAGATCCCAATATGCTCCCTGCTCATTCCCCACCTCCCCATGTTAGACAGTGCAAGGACTGATCCCTTACGGTAGCTGTAAATAGATTTCATATGACCAAACCTCTCACGGTGCCCCTCTGTGGAATCCCTGATTGAGCCTCCTGTAGCTTTGCAGAAAAAAAAGAGAAAGGGTCAGAGCTAGTTTGATCTCTTTCTGGCTGTCTCCTTAGAGCCCCCCCCCCAAATTCCTTCCTGTTTCCCCTTAGCAATTGTATTTGGAGTGCTAACACCTGGGAAGGCTTCAGCTTAGTTTTGGAGCATCTGAAAAATATTAGGAGGGGTTGTTTTTTTAAAAAAATGCAATGGTGGGTTCTGCATTTACGGTGGCTTCCCTCCTGAAGCAAAACCCCCATTGTCATTGTGGGGGAGGAGTCTGGGAATCCATTCACAGCACAACCCTTTGCAAGTTTACTCAGAAGTAAGCCCCCACCACGTTCAATGGGGTTTACTCCCAGATGTGGGTACACAGACGACTGCAACCTTGATACTGTGCAGTGGTAGTTGGTGCTGTTCAGGTTGTGGAAAGGAACGGCAGATGCCCAGTTAAAAGCGAGGGTTGGAAGATGGGGAAAACAATAATTAAATCAACTTCAGAGTGCATTGAAAAGCTCTCATTCACCCCCAAGCTGCCTCCCCCCCCCCCTTTCCCTCTCTCTGCAAGATAAATCTGGGAGTTCAGCCTTTCCCCTGCTAATTGTTTTCTCTCTGATCAAATATTGGGTGATATTTTTTGGTTAAATAACTGTTTGTGTCGCCACACATCGTATTGTTGGGGAAGATATGAAATGTTTCTCACAGGAGAACTGGCAGAGAGGGGGAGTTTTCTGTCTTGAAGTTTTCCCTCCTCCATTGTGACATTGTCAATTACATTTTCCTCGCTCCCACCCTCCTTTCCTTTGCCATAATAAAAGGTAAAAGCGATTTAAAAGGAGGGAGAGAAAATTCCCCTGACAAAGCCCCAGCTGGAGTGGAGATGAGCAAGCACTTAACTGACTGGTGAAGAATCTCCCAGTTATTTAAGAAGCTAACTTGGCATAGGAGGCTACAGCCCTGGGTCAGAGTTAGACCCATTTAAACTTGCTTGGGCTTACCTTCAAGCCCAGCTGTGTTGGGCTCAGAAGTATATAGCACAACTGTATATAACATAACTGTATTATCATATTGCAGTGTTGCACATCCTGATTTGAAAAGGCTTCCTTCAAATCTGTCTTCCCACCCTCCCGCCTCGGGGCTCTGGCACCATGATATTAGATTTGATAGGCATCCAAGATGTGAATAGGGCTATATTAGGAAATTAGCTGCAATTATTATCTTTCCCCCTCCAGCGAAGTGAATGGAGGCCTTTTCCTCCCTCTCCGTTAATTGTGTAATCTTATTTACAATTGCCTTAAACAAAGAAGAAGAAGAAAATGGAGTTGAAATCCACCTCCAAAACCACTTTTAACCTTTTGCCTCTGGCCTGGGGTGGTATTTCAGTTATTCAAGGGCAAAAGACGAAACATCTCATCCATATCTGAAATTGCCTTCATTTCAATTGAGGCCACTCTTTTGCCAGCGAATCCGAGCTGATCTCTAAACCAAACATTCATTCTTCTTTTATTTTTTTAATAGTTTTTTTAGAGTTTGGTGCCAGGCTTGGAGGTGCCCTCTGGTTGAGCCCCCACATTGCCTCATTGCCAAACCTACAAATAGTGGCAGGGGATGTTTGGCAGCTGAGGAGACAAGTGACCACTCTTCCCCCTCTGTGGCTACCTCCAGAGCTTAGTGAAGTGTCGCTCAGTGACAGAGCAACTGCCTTGCGCTCAGAAGGCCTGAGGTTCAAACTCCTGCACCTCCAGGAAGGGTTGCCAATTTCCCCTGCCTGAAACCCTGGAGAGCTGCTGCCAGCCAGGGTAGGCAGTACTGAGCTAGATGAACCAACAGGCCTGACGTGGTGTAAGGAAGCTTCCTGTGTTCCTGTCCCTTGCTCAGTGATCAGAAACTCAGATGTATAAGCCAGGCACCAAATGACTCCTCAAACCAAGGTTACAGTCGCCAAAACGGAATAGCTAGCTGCCATTTTTGAGCAAGACTGCTCTAAAGTTTTATTTTTCAAACGATGGACCGGCTGCAATGGATTCTTAGTTAAACATCTGGCTAGTTCAGATGATAACCTTGAGCTAGATTAAGAACTTCAAGAACTTATAGAAGAAAAGTCACTTGATCCAGGGATATCTACATCTATTTTAGCCTCTTCCTACCAGGGTTCGAAATTAGCAGGGAACCAGGCGCATTTTGTACCTAAAGATTCTCCATTTGTGAGAACCTAAATAAGTCTGAGTGCCATTTTTTTGCACCTGGCTGACACTCAAGGATTACTGAAATGTATGTGCTTTGAAGCCTCGAAGTATATGTTAAGGATAGACAATACGTTAAGGAGTTTAACAATAGAGTATTTTGAAGATGGAAGTATGGTACCAATATTTTCATTGTCAACACCAAATTAAACATGTACAGTCATACCTCGGAAGTCGAACGCCTTGTGAGTCAAACGCTTTGGCTCCCAAATGCCGCAAACCCAGAAGTGAGTGTTCCGGTTTGCGAACGTTCTTTGGAACCTAAACGTCCAACTCGGCTTCCGCGGCTTCTGATTGGCTGCAGGAGCTTCCTGTAGCCAATCGGAAGCCACACCTTGGTTTCCAAATGTTTTGGAAGTCAAACAGACTTCCAGAAAGGATTCTGTTCGACTTCCAAGGTACGACTGTATCAACAATTTCTGCTTAAAATGTGATATTAATAATCTGTCACGTATGTGAATTGTGTATTAATTCATGCTTATCAAAATAATAACTAAAAAGTGTTGCTGACCCCCCCAGTGGCAACTAGACATTCTGTTTTGGCGCCCACAACCCAGGCCCCAGAAGCCATTTGGCTTCTAGCTCTTCTATCCCAGTTTCTAACACTGATTCCTACTTCTTTTTCTTAATGGTGACACGGACCATTCATAACGTAGGAATATTCTTCACAACTGTGAGTGGGGCAGTGGGGTGGGGTAAGTGAAGACAAGCTACAACAATTAACTATATTAACACTGTTCACAGTTCCTGCTCAGGCTGCCCAGGAAAAGCATTTTGGTTCCTGAAATTCATTTTGATTGTGTAGATAAAAAAGAACTGATAGAATTCTACAGGATGTGGTGTTAGCATGGGGGAAACAGGTAAGATCCAAGGATCTCCTGGCATGCATCCAGATGGTGGAGTTTCCAGGTGCCATCCTAGTGCCCAGGCATCTTCACTTGGTCACAGGTGGTTGAAATCCTGGTGCAAATTGTGCCTGGTGCCTGGCTAATTTCAAACACTTTTAAGTGGTGACTAAGGTAGCAGGGGCAGGACACGGGTGGTGCTGTGGTCTAAACCACAGAGCCTAGGACTTGCCAATCGTAAGGTCAGCGGTTCGAATCCCTGCGACGGGGTGAGCTCCCGTTGCTCGGTCCCTGCTCCTGCCCACCTAGCAGTTCGAAAGCACGTCAAAGTGCAAGTAGATAAATAGGTACCACTCCGACGGGAAGGTAAACGGTGTTTCTGTGCACTGCTCTTGTTCGCCAGAAGCGGCTTAGTCATGCTGGCCACATGACCTGGAAGCTGTCTGCGGACAAACACCGGCTCCCTCGGCCTATAGAGTGAGATGAGCACACAACCCCAGAGTCGTCTGGGGAAATACACAATCGCTTTGAGGTCCTCTCCCCTAGCATGGAAGACGAAGAGCAGACTCCATTTGAGGATCTCTCCCTCATTACAGTCGATCAGGTATATGAAGACGAGCAGCAAAGTCAGTCCTCAGGGAATGTGCAGGCGACCTTGGAACGGACAGCTCACGGAAGAACCCCGTCCAAACCTAAGAGGAGGCGTGTAGTGGTGATAGGGGATTCCCTACTGAGGGAACAGAAGCAGTGATCTGTGGGCCTGACAAGATGTCTCGGGAAGTGTGCTGTCTCCCGGGGCTAAGATCCAAGATGTAACTGAACGACTGCAAGGAATCATAAAACCCACTGACAAATACCCCTTCCTCTTGGTTCATGTGGGAACCAATGACACTGCAAGCAATAGCCTCCAGAAGATCAAAAGAGACTACGAGGCTCTGGGCAGGAAATTGAAGCACTTAAATGCACAAATTGTCATCTCATCTGTCCTCCCAGTTGAACGGCGTGGCCCAGGGAGAGAGGGAAAAATAGTGGAAGTGAACAGCTGGCTTCGCAAATGTTGTAAACAGGAACGGTTTGGATTCTTAGATCACGGACTACAGTTTCTTGAAGATGGACTTCTGGCAAGCGATGGGCTGCACCTCACAACGGTTGGGAGAAATGTTTTTGCCAAAAATCTCAGAAACCTCATCAGGAGGGCTTTAAACTGACTAATGTGGGGAGGAGACAGTGCTCCTGAAGGTAGAGTCTATCAATTGATGAAGATGATCATCCAAATGTC